CACCGTAAACGGGACTGAATTTTCATGGTTTACGGCTGTTTGTGTTCCGTACTCTCATGATAATACGGTCCGTATTACTGCGCCAGATATTACGGCAAAATTTCGCCCCTAAAATAGTCGTATAGTAACCGTCAATGGCCGTATACGGGCCGCACTGTTCGACCTGGGAAGGACCAATGGACAAGTTCATCAAATTGAAAAAGTTAGCACCGCTTAAATCAAATTCTAAAGATCGAACAGTAATTCAAGAGGAATTTACAAAATGGATTTGCTCATCAATTCGTCCCTTTAACCTTGTTTCAGATCCTGGTTTGAAAACAATGTTACAAACAATTATTGATATTTGTGAGTTATCTAGTGTATTTCGATTCAATTGATCTGCTTTATATTTTTAGGTAAAAAATATCAAGGATCAATTAATATTGATGATATTCTTGCCACACCCACTACAATTTCAAATAATGTTAAAAAATTAGCTGAATACTACAGGTCTTTATTACGATCCATATTAATCGAACAAGCTGAATCTGGTACATTAGATGTTTGTCCTAACCTTTGGACTGATAATCACAAGAAAATAAAATATCTAGGTGTAACAGTTTATTTCGTAACTAATGGATATGAATTATTTACATTTGATTTATGTTGCACCAGATTTAATGAAATTGGCAAAGCAGGTGAGTCTGCTTTAAAAGTAACTAGATTAATCAAAAACAACAAGAACCTCTTCAAAAAGTTTCTTTGTAGGCTATACGTGAACAATTAAATTTATTTGGTTTATTATCGTATATGGATAACAATAAGATAACATTCACAAGTGATCGAGGTGCAAATATACTAAAAGCATTGAAAGGTAAATTTTTTAATTACTTTCATTGTTTAATATGTAAAGTTACATTCTTTAGGGTATCCTGTAATTTACTGCTTTGCTCACCGGATAAATAACGTGCTAAAATTAGCAATCTACCGAACAGCGCAGAATAACAAAAAACGAGTTTTGATAGCATCATCAACACCAGCAAAAAAGCAACTAAAAATGCTCCCACATGTTTGTGATTCATAATCTGATAGCAGTTCATCCGAAGATGATACTATAGCACCGTCACCATCCAAACATGGTGAAGCTAATACAGCATTATCAGATTTACCACCAAAGCCAAAAGAAGTTTTGAAGACAATCGCAACAAGTAAAAAACTTGTAAAATATGTGAAGTTGGTGAGTAAAGTAGCTAATACAACAAAACGATTCATTTCTTTATAAATAAAATTTTATTTCATCGAGGCTGGATTAAACAAAAACATTGAAGAACGTGGTGGTGTAGCATTAAAACAAAAATGTGTTGTCCGATGGCTTTCTATGTCAAACATGCTAGAATCAGTCGACGCTTCCATTGAACATATAAGATTTATATTATTATCAAAGTCATCGAAGAGTCAATGTTATTTCAAATTGAATAATATCAATATTGATGCATTAAAAGATTTAATTGGTCTATTAAGCAAATTAAAAAATGTGTCTTCGCTAGTACAAACTGGTACTCGACCATCGCTACACATGGCTTATATTTGTATCAATAAACTAGAACGTCATTTAAGTGGTATTAATGTTAATGCAGATGGTGAGAATATTGATATATATATGATCGTCATGAAGGTAGAATTGAACTTAATGAGACAGACCAATTGCTTTACGCCAGCTTTTTGTTTCAGGTATTGATTTTTTTCGAAAACGTCTGATTCAATTGTTAAAATGTATGTTCACGTTCGATGATAAACATCTTGCAGCTGCTATACTTCATCCGCTTTATCGGAAGCTAACATTTGCTACAACATACTTTAAAAGTATTGCTCATTTCTATATTCGTGAACAATTAAATGATATTCTCGGTTTAAGTGAACAAGTACATCGAACAAATTCTGAACCATTAAAAAAAAGCACAAGTCCATGCAGGATCAATTCGCCGATCCTGATGATAACAGCGATCCTGATGATATTGGCCCAATAGCAATGATAACATTTAAAAATGATGAACTTGAAAGGTATTTACGAATGAATATTGAAGATATTTACAAGCAATCAAATCCTTTAAAATTCTAGCATGATCATCAAAGCAAATTTCCCGGTTTATCATTACTGGCTCGTCGTCTCTTTTCTATCCGGATCACATCTGCTGGAGTTGAGCGCCAATTGTCATTGGCAGGTTTGACAATAACCCAACGTCGTTCTTCTCTTGATCCTGATAGGGTAAACGACGATCTTTTTGTGCGTTCTATACAAAATGCTCTTGATTCAAAACCAGATTTTTTTTCTCTAAATACTGTTATCTTTTGTACTCGTATATCTACCCTTTATGTAAATATGTTGTATTGAATGAATAAATATTTCATCTAATCATGTCATCCTTATTCACATGACTTTCTTATCTTTTTATGAAGGCTGTTTTGCGATTTTCCTCAATGATTATATAATAATAGCCTATAGAGACTACACACAGGCTCCAACAGACCAGGCCAGGCAGGCAGGCCAGGCTGAGAAAAACTAATGACAGGCGCAGGCAGGCGCGAAACGTTCATAGCCTGTCATGGGCAGGCCAGGCCCACACGAAGTAGGCCTGTTTGGACCTCTGGAATGAAGTGATTGAAACAAATAGCATGTCGAAAGTCGAATGAAATTGAAGATAAACTAGATGGTATTCGAGTTTCACTCGTATACGAAATGCGGTGCAAAGCACAAGTCGAGTAAACGAAAAAATAAAAAATTTAACGGAAATGGAAGAAGCAATCTTAAAATTAATTAGACATCGTTAGGGCTTGATTAATTTCATAATCGGTCGAAACATATACCTTTTCGTGTCTTCAGCAGTTGTAATTAAAAACAAAAAAATCATTACATTTTTTTTAGTTCACAAGTAATCATAATAGAATTCATTACTGAGAAAACGTTTTTTTTCGTGATTATCACCATAATCTTAGAGAATGCTTTTGATTGAACATTAAATTAGCGCAATGATTCACTAACTTAGATCAGATGCGAAGAAATAGACTATTGGCTACTATGGCTTGATGACATCATTTTTAGTATCTCGAAACTCTAACGATGAAAACAATATAAAATCATCGTTTTTGAATGATATTTTTGGGCGAACGAAACTTAGTATTGAAAATTTGAAAATAGATGTAACAAGTTCGATCTTGAAACTGTCATACCTAGTTCGAATGAATATTCTATCAATTACGATTTTGTAGATTACCGCGTCACTTAATGAGAATTTTTTATGCGTACTCAAGTTAGAAAGAAACTAGATGGTATTTAAGTGAAACTTGAATACGAAATCCGATACAAAGCTCGAATCGGATCTTCAGGAAAAAACTTCGATTCAGAGAAATCTTGAATACTTTTTATGTAACCATAATGAAATTCATCACTGAGGAAACTCTATTCATGCTGAGCGATATATTCTTAAGGATCGATTTCGATTGATCGATTAATTATCTTCATGATTCATTATCATAGAGCAGCTGTAAACGAGTAGACTATAGTGGCTAACATATGTTCATGACGTCACTTTAATTATCTCTTGATAAATTTCTTTTATTTTCGCCATTTTTGAACCACATTTGTGAGTGAACGGAACTTCAGTTTAAAGATCCGAAAACAGATGCAAAAGGTTCGACCTTGACACTTTGATCTAACATTTCAACGAATTTTCTATGACTCTTCAATCCCGAGATCATGGCACAAGAAAATGACTATTTTGATGCGTAGGCGTCAAGTTAAAAACAAAACAAAAACTCGCGACGGACTACATGAATGCGGTGCGAAGCACTGCATTAAATATTTTTCTNCTTCAATCCCGAGATCATGGCACAAGAAAATGACTATTTTGATGCGTAGGCGTCAAGTTAAAAACAAAACAAAAACTCGCGACGGACTACATGAATGCGGTGCGAAGCACAGCATTAAATATAAATTTTTTGTCAAAATTTTTATGATTAATCAGTTGAAAAAGATGAAAATTGTTGAAATGTCTTTTATGGTTTATTTAAATAATCAGAATTTTATAAATGAGAAGAATTTAATTCAAGAAGCAATACCAATTTAAAATGTCAAAGAGAATGTCAGTTCTGTTTGAAATGAATAAAGACTGAACGTGATCGGAATGTGAGATAAGAAAAAGAAGAATAAATAATAAAGTATTTATTAAAAAAACAGAAATTTCTTATGAAAGAAAAGCATTTTATTTTGGTTTTTATTCGAAAAAACTGAAAGCAGGAAATAAAATTTCTATAAAATGAAAGTTCATGAAATTATTAAAATTTCTTAAAATGAATCTGAAATCTATTTGATTAGAAGAAGAATGAGAACATAGAATATGAATTCGTATTTTATATTGTATATTTATTTGCATAATTGAAAATATTTGAAATTCGATGAAACATATTCTAAAATGAACTCGCTTGTTATTTTTCTTTGTAAGAAAAATCTTCAAATTAAAAGGAATAAATTGAGATAGAAATTTGAAAGAAAAATAATCTCGAATATAACTGAAATATTATTATTAGTTGAAGTTTTTCTTTTCTTTTGTGAATAATTGGCAGACGTTATTTGAATAACAGAAAATGTTGTCTTTGTTTTTTTTCAAATCTAATGTTTTCTATTTCTTTGTTTTTTTGCATGCTTTTCTTTTGTTTCTTTCAAACATGATTTGTTTTTGAGAAATGATCAAATATGAGATTAAACTAAATTGGAAAAATTCGTTTTTTTTATAGAAAAAAATATTCTTTAATTTTTACTCTGTAGAAAATACGATAAGAAATGATTCATCTATGTTTTAAGTAATTTGAAGTTTATTTAGTGTAAAATTTCTCGACGAAAATATTCGACTTACAGTTCTATTTATAAGATCAATTTTTATACTAATTTGAGATGGAAATCAAAGTATTCTTTTTATTTGGATGAGAGAAGAGCCAAAAAAAACTTTATTTCTTCTGTTTGAAAGAATTAATAGGAATCGATTCTGACGATTGAGTACTTTATGAAGTTTCAATGAAATTGATTTCTTTTATTTGACAATCGCTAAAGAAACAGGTTTTTTCTTTTATTACTTTATCGTTTATTCATCTTTGTATTTAGGAAGATTTTTTATATTTACTCAAGAATTCAGCCATATCAATTCATTCGAATTATATCATTCAATGCAAATGATTAATATTGTTCGACATTTATACAACAATAATATAATTTATCGTGATATTTGTCCACGAAATGTGATGATGGACCGTGATAAAAGGTTAAGATTAATTGATTTTGGTTTTGCCTACATCCTTAAAGATGATCAAGCGGTACAAAAGTTACCAATAGAAGGAGCAACAACATTTGCTGATATCGATTTCTTAACGGAATACATAGAAAATCCTCAAGCATATTTCTGGTACAACTATAAACGAAATTTTGATTTATTTTGTGCAATTAATGTTATCACATATATGATAAATAAAGAAGTTAAAGAAGGGATGAATGGAATTCATAGTACAGGAATATGCAAGAATAAGAAAGTACGTAATGGCTTACAAACATGGAAACGTATGCAAACAAAGAATAAAGCCTATGATGCGTTATTGCAATCCATAGAAAACTTATCCATGGAATCAGATTTTGACAATATGGAATTGATCTTAAAAAACAATTACAAAAATCTTCAAATGATTGATAATGAAAATTATGAGAAGTGAAAGATAATAAAAGATAGATTTATGCACGAAACTTAACTGAACTTTTCTTGTTATTTTTCTTGTGTTTGTAATTTTCTTTTTTTTTTGGTTCATATTGAACTTTATTTAATGAATACTAAGGATAAATTAGGTAATTAATAAAAAAAATAATATTTCGTTACTTAATAGATGTGTTTTATATTGTAATTCATCATAGACTATTGAAATATTGAATAATAAATGAGATTCTCGTTGATGATATGAGTATGTTGTAGTCAATAATCATCAGAGATTTTGAACAAATAGAAACAGACTAATTACAAACTTAAATTAAGAGTTTTTATTGGATTTAATTTTCAATTTTCATGAAATGTTAATCTTTAAAATAGACAAACGAAATAAAAATAGAAATAAAATACATTAAAATATTAGAGTTGGGTGCGGGTGTAAACTTTCTATTTAATGCAGGGACACCCACACCCCCATCCCACACGAAAATACGTTTTCTTTGCTTCTATAAAAATTTAATTAATTCAAATCTTAGAAAACCAAAGTAAAACTATAATATGGGCAGGGTTGTCACCTGATGAAGCCCAAAAAGCGGAAAACTAATGCTGAAAAGCGGAAAACTAATGCTGAAAAGCGGAAAACTAATGCTGAAAAGCGGAAAACTAATGTTGAAAAGCGGAAAGAAAAACAGAAAAAGCGGGAAAAAAAGCGGAAGCTTATATTGCTGCGGATTTGTGGTGCTTCTGAGAATATTAGCCATTTTTTTCATATTTATTAGATTTCTTTTTATTTGATCAAAGTTTCAAGACATAAAAGAATGATGGCTCACGGTATTTGTGAACAATAAGAATTGATTCAATAATATCAAATATTATTCTGTACGTAGGTTTGATATGCAACACGTTTTATACGAAAAAGCGGAACAGCGGAAAAATAGCGGGAAAAAATTAAAAAAGCAGAACAGCGGAAAAAAATTGAAAAAGCGGAAACTTTCCGCAAAAAGCGGAAGAGGTGGTAACCTTGAATATGGGTCAAGGAAAGAATGTTGTCGGTAATTTGCTGTTAATTTAAGAAAATTTAATAAAAATCGGGTTGAGCTCCAACTTGACTAGAATTTTGACTTGTGACTTTACTCAAAGTGACTCTGACTTGACTTGACTGGAGCCAAAAAAAGTCTATGACTTGCCCATCTCTGTTCATTATTATGTACAAAATATCAAGTTTTAAATAATTCTATTGCACAAAGTTGAAAAAACACAACGAATGTGAACAATTTGTGATTCAATTCTTTGTTTTTAATATAAACAATAACTTTATTTTATTTATTTTTCCAACTCCACTTTTTATTTAACAAATTACATAGACAAACATGATGCCTCCATACTGAATATAGTATGCTTAGTTTCTTATGTAAGGTCGGCCGTATGCTAGCTTTAATTCTGCATTGGGCCGGACCAATCTAAGCTTCGGTTACTATCTTCAGGCGAATCTGAGATTGGACGAAATCCAACATTGGCCGCTAACATATATACATATTTATATTCTCATAGAAGTAACGCCTATGTGTTTTGATTAGTTGAAATGATTGTTCTTAAATAACGCCAGAAAAATTCTGTTTTTTTTTAAAGATTGATGTATTTAATAATCGTCATTGCTCGAATTGGCGTGATAAAACTCATCAAAAAAAAGCACTTACCATCCGAAGGTAATACAGTAGAACACATTATAAAACAATCAACTAACTATATATGATTCTGCAAAAAATAAAAATCCACTGGTAACTCATGTATTCATCAATGTTGATCAATCGATTTTCATTTTTGAAACAGCTTTTATTCTAATGTAAACAATAACATATACTTTAAACTAATGTGATAAAAACTAAACCAAATGCTCTAAAAATCCAGCCATGTTTGATAATTTGTTGAATGGAATGATTGCATGCGTCGTATTAGCTACCCATAGTGTACCATAATGATCGAGAAATTCAAATCTTGTCACTTGTTCAATGTCTGTAAAAAATTTGCCAAGTACATGACCACTTAAATCTTTGATTTCAATCTTTGAATTAGGATATAATGAATAATAATGATGAAATAGATCCATTAGTATACATAAATGTGGTGTAGTTGATTCATAATTATGTCTTACGATTGCCCAATCTTCTTGTTGTCGAACAGAAATTTGTGAAGTACATTTCCATAATACAAGAATATCATGACAAGCAACACCAAACAAATAAGGCGCAACTATTGATGACCTTGGACATTTATGAACTAAACCATTTTTAACTGAATCATTACTACATAATGACGACATACGACACGGCACTTAAAATAAAAACATTCTTAGTTAATATTGATTTTTCACTAACGTAAGAAAATGTTTGTTTGTTTCTCATTACTGTATGTGTTTGTGAATCTAATTGTGTGTCAACAATCTGTTGTTGTGTTATATTGATTTCAAGTTTTAACCCATCGTTCATTTAATAAATAACCATGACTTTCTATACGTATTGCAATACCAGCGCGTCGATCAGGAGTTAAAAATAAACGTTCATCGGTATTCGTATCGGTAAGTGAATGGTCAAATTGATGACTAAAATTATCAACCCATGTATTTTGTAACAGGTGCTTTTTATGAGACTATGAAAATATTCAACAGGTCCAGCTTCTAATTCATTTTCAATTCATCTATGTGTTACAATACGACACTGAATTGGATCAACTAGATTGTGACATTTGGAATGTAAATTATGTTTACAAGATTTCAAACAACGTGAGTGATTCGGAATACAATGAAACGGATTTCATGACGAATGAATAAATGTTGCTGGACATGCACGTGATGGCGATGATGATGAATTGGTTTTAACCATGGTAACCATGTTTTTGTCTAGAAGAAATCGGTTTCTTTTTCTTTTTCTTAACTTACATGACTATCAATTCGATACCCTTGAAGTGATTCTATTTGTTCGAGTTGTTGTAGTTGGCATATATTTAATCGATCAAGAGTAAGTATTAATAGTATGCAGCCAAAAATAAAAACTAAACCCAATAGAATTGGAATGATTAATGATGTCAAACTGCATCGATGACTTTTCTTCAATAAACGAGGTTTCACTAAACGACTGGCATCGCCATAATCGTGATCGCAATGAATTTTACTTATTTTATCATCAGTCAGTATAGAAATGTTTTGATTCATGTTCATAAAATAAAACCTAAAATGTGTTTTCTTGAACGATATAGAAAATAAAATGAAATTATAAAGTAGCTAGTTGATTCGATGGAAATAGAACTGTACGAACGAACGAAAGAAAGAAAGATAAACTTTTGAAAAATACTTCGAAAATAAATAAATAGACAGATTGACTAGTATATGAAAGGAATCGATCTATAATACTAGTAAAACAAGATAAAAAGAAAAATCATGTAAATATGTTGCTGTCGTCTTTCACTAGATGACATTTGAACAATTCGACACTTATAATGTGTACATAGCAATCGAGATAAATAAATTAATATTACAAGTAGATAGCATTCAATCTTTATTCGACTGTCAATTATCAACTATTATTAATATCGTATTGAAAGCGAATAATTATTTCAGTGACTTTCTACAATACATTTTTTTCTTTCAAAAAGAATTGTAAGCAAAAATTTTCGATTCCATCTATTCGCTGATCAAACTTGACATAAAAATGAAAAATCTGTTTATCAGAGCATTGTTTTAAAAAATATCAACATATTTATTTGATGTATTCTATCGATTGATGGCTGGGTTTTCTTTTGATTTATTGCGCATAAATAACTGTATTCACAGCTGTACTCCGACATACGCAAATCGAGTAACAGCTAAGTTTTCTAGCCATAATTTTGAAAGAAAATAAAGTTTGCTAAAAGTTTGTCTCTTCGAATGACTTCCTGCATATGAATTGAAATGTGCTATAGAAGATCAGATATTTACTCGATAATAAAAATCGATTCTAACATTTAAATGAGTATATTCTGATTTTCCGTTTTCTAGATCACCGAGGCTGAATATAATAATCGTTTGATGGAAGAAACGTAGCGGGAAGCATAAAAAGAAGAGAAAAGAGAAATGCGCAGCAAGAACCACAGAAATGTTATAATTTGCGTAGCATTAAGTAGTATGACAAGAAGAAGAAAAAAAGAAAGATTTAATCTACAATCATTTCTTCGTTTTCATAATACATTCATATTGATAAAGGATTTCTAGAAAAAGCAAAAATTGCTTTTATTGTTAAATAAAAAATTTTCGATCGATTATTTATTATTGACTTTCGAGGAATTGAGTCAATATTTGCGTCTAAAATAAGCAAAACTATATTGGAATAGATGGTATGTAAGTATTGTCAGATAGATTTATAATAAGAGAAGCACATTCAAAGGCTAACGATGTCTACAGAACGATAATCATACAATATAAATATAATGCTGACTTGCTTGCGCATGCTTCTTTTTCAAAAAAGAAAAAGAAAGTTGTCAATTAATATTCTAGTCATCCTTTCCAAATGTTTATCAACACAGTTTATACGTAGAAATATCAAGCATTCCTTTGGTAATTATTATGAGTGTAAGTACGAAATTGCATCTTTAATAAAAATAATCGAGTATTCAGAGTTGTTGATCTTTATGGGTATAATATTTCTAGTCGACGCTTTTACTTTTGCTTTTAGCTTGTTCTAATCATAAATTTTCAGAGAGAGAAAAAAAATATTCTGAATAATCAATTTACTTCTCGTATATTCAATTTTAGTTTTCTTTCATCGGATTATCGCTACATCATTGGAAATTTTACTCCTACCCATAATATATCATCATTCCATATGTTATCTTGTGTAAGAGATAAACCATATCATAATCTTGTATCTATGAAATGCTAGAGATTATATTTTCTATAGACTAATTGAAGTTTTGATATTATACGGATTGTATACTATGCGTTGTTTAGATATATTCTATATGACAATAGTTTTTGAAAAGAAAATTTTAATTCATTTTCTATGTTTTAGTTGCACGCATAAAGAAATAGAGAAACAAACTAGCTCTTTGTGTTTTACATATTTTTTTTAATGTTGACGATCAGATTTTCGATGGTACATTCATTTATATTTTTTTGTCGTTTTTGATTGATATAAGACATTCTTTCTGCATAACTAGAACCATCAGAATGCTTTATCAGCAACTAGCAAATTCATAATCTGTCCGAATTGTTCTATATAAACCAATGGGATGTGAAATAGATGCTAATCGAAACGCATCAATAATCATCATCATTATCACGTCCATCTTTAAATGGCTCTTTTCGTTACGTATCAAAAATGTAACATTGCTCAGCCTTTTCTTTTTTTAATGTTGTTTCCATCTGTTTTGTCCCATTAAGTCATGTAGCTACAAATGGAGCTCGTCATCATCATATATATATATAAATATATATACATAAGTACAAATGAATGTATTTATTGGAATAAAAAATAACGGAAATAATATTCTAGAGAGCACATGAAATAAAGAAAGATAGTTAGACGAGGGATAGTACAAATAACTGTGTTCCTGTTATTAATAATCGTTTGCACGGAAACTGGAGATATGAGAAAGTAGTAGAATGACGAATGAATTTCTATTCGTCATAATTCTACTATCAGTAATAAATTTGTAAAATGTAATGTGCGTGTACGTGGTATATATACATATGTGTATGTGTATGGTAAGTGCCACCGATCTGTTTATTCGAGTTTTCCATTTGCTGCTTTCTGTGTTTTTCTTCTTCGCGAGCTAAGATCGACCTCAAGTGAATAAAAATCTATCCACATTAACAATCGATTACACGTGTGTGATACGTATGTATAAAAATCAACTCCAGCTCTGTTAATAATATTTCTTGAGTGACATTTTGCTTCGCTCGGATGCTTTCTTCTCTTGTTTTTCTCTCTTGACGATCACATCGAGATCCAACAAGGCAATGATTCAATGTACTTCGACTTCTACTATTCCTGCTACAGTTGTTATCAATGTAAGCGAGGGCCATGGTAAATGGCATTGACAAAGCAATAGAACCTTTGTTCCGCTGAGCAGCCGTCACTCTTTTTTTTCTATCCCTATGGCGATTAGTTTGCTGCCTCAATTTCATCATCGCTGCATAGGAACCGGAAGGAAACCGAACAAAATGCCACGCTTTCTATGTTTTTTTTGCCTTCATTTAAAATCTACAGCCTACGGCGCCCTGCGTCCACCATCAAGCGATTGCAGATGAGAATCGCCATGCAAAAAAACGGATGCTTTTGCACGCAAACACACGAAAACTTCCTTTTTTTTTCTCGTTATTTTCTTGTGTCTTCATTTATTCCATCTGTGTTGTATACATACGCATTTCTTCCCTTGTATGTTAATCATTTGACAGCGATATATGTTTGATTCCACATGTATATATCAAAATCTTCTATTGTGATTGACACTTCGTCAAGGTAAATTCAAATATTAGTTTTGTTCGCTGAGGAACACAATCAATTCGCTTTTATCTGTTATTCTTTTCTTTCTATTATTCTTGTTATAATTTTTTTTATTGAACGACGCCGTCTGGAATGCGTGAATACATGTATGCATGTAGTCTCGTTGTTTCGAATGCACAGTGAAGTCAACATCCGCGAATGAATTGTCTCAAAGAGCTATCCCGCCATGATGTGCACACACATACACACAGACATATACTAGATACGACTGCACACTACTTCATGATGTTTTCTGGCGGCTGCGTTTTCTCTCCTCGTCTTCTCATCTTTCTTGTTCTGTTACTTGGTAGTTATAAAAGCATCACATTAGTAAGACTAGCGACGATGCCGACAACAACAATGATGACGAAGACGACAATTGAGTAGTGACATTGTACTTCTATCAAATCTTTTGTACTCATCTAAGGAGAATCGTATGATATATTATATCATTTGTTAAGTAAGAACAAAACTATCGATGTATGTACTTCTCTCTATCTTTGCCTCTGTTTTATTCGATTCATTGAGTATTATCTTTTGCGTTAAATAATAATCTTTTTCATGTCTCAATGAACGGATTGAAGAAAATAGAATTGATCGATCTATTTTTATGTTGAGTTTTATGATATTTCTAAGATGATTGAAACCTTAAAGACAGAACCAAGAAAAATAAATGAAAAGTAAATATTGTCTACCATATTGATCAAGTGTTCGTTCGTTGATGATGTCTTTCTGAGTTTTTTCCTTCATATCTCTCTAATTAGTAACGAGATGCAGATTCGATCTTGTTGCATGCGCGACTGACTGAATATATCTGTCTGTTTTGCGGATGCAAACAAGTCATATTATCATTCAACGAGTAAATATAGAAGAGAAAGATGGTATAAATTCTTTGACTGAGAAAGACCTAATGAATAAACATTGATCTTATTGATAAGGATAGGATTGTCAATGCTTTATATTCTTAATAGCTTATGTCATTTCATGCTCATTTCTTCATCAAAAGTCTATTTATCCATTTTTCTAAATGCTTTAAGAATATTGTTCTAGTCTCGTATAGGCGACAACTGTTGGTATTTACTTGACATACATTTAATGCTGCCGTCACTCCCAATTGGTCTTAGCAAGAGTATAGTTAGACGTTAAGGAACGATAAAGAACAAAAGAAATTATTTTGTTTAAACTACTGTGGTCAATGAAGAAGAAAATTGCATACTATCATTACCAATTCCATTTTTTGTCACATGGTCTTTTGTATACGTATATTTATACTTTCGCAGATTATCTAGTCTCTTTCATTTCTTTTCTCTTTTATTTTTATTTTGTATTAGTTCGTCGATGTCACATTAAATCTATCGTCACCATCAAAAAAATATTCCCTGGTGAAAAATAGTGAGAATAATGACAATTTCCTTCTTTTTTTTCCTGTTTTCATGTCTTACCTTTTTAGTTTCTTTACTTTTTTCTTCCTCCTTTTCTTGTCTTTTCTTGTTGAAGTAATCACTACTTATGTACTGTCATGTAGTTGACACGAAACTACAAAAATCTAAAGATTGTTCAAAACAACAAAATTCAAATGAAGATGATGATGATGATGATAATAATTGCTGATTCTAGTCTTCATTGAATATATGTATTCCGAAAAAAACCCTGTTTGTCTGCCGACATCTAATTATCACAAGTAGTATTGCAACAGCAACTGCTGCTATCGAACGTACTGTAACTATACAATAAGATAAAGAGAAAACAGCAAAATCTCATGAACAGTTTACGCTCCTGATCAAGATAATTATCATCATTAAATAACACGATGATATCTATCGAAGAAAATCGAAACGCGCACATTGTATAAGTATCACGCAAACGGTATCGGTAGCAGCACTTGCTTTTCTTTTAGGTTAGTGTCAGCGCCTGTGGAAAGAGTAGAAAGAGAGAAACACAGAGAGGGAAAAAAAGAAAATGGAGAACGGAGAAACACAAAGAATTTTATTAGAACGACAAGACGTAAGATGCGCGCTATGTATAGGATCGCAAACAAGCATGAGAAAAGTCATTGCGTTGTTCGCATGCTTATACGCGTTGATGATTATAGGGCGACGACGATCCGAAAACAAATCAAATGTAGCCATTATTTACCGCATTCCTATCCTTGAGTTTCGCTCGTTCGTTGAAGATGCGTTCACAAATAAGACACACTGTCTTATATGTGAGAAAATAATCTTGACTAATGCCATTTCTCTTTCTCAATTTCTATTCACGATCATATAAATAAGTTCTCGTAGTTTGTTTCCTTTTTCCTCATTTTCATTGTTCTTATTCTATTCCAGATAGACTATTATAAAGTCAAAGCAAACAATAACAATAAAAATTTTATTTATATTTCCATTATTTTAGCATACTTAAGTATGCCTTTAATCTTATAGTTCATAGTTTGTGCCTGTGTGGCTGTTTTATCTGTATTTTTTATTGCTGTTATTATTATTATTATTAATATTCGACAATATTCCCATGTCGCGAGCAATACAACGACTTATGAAAGATTATCGTAAAGCAGAGCAGTTAGTGGGACGTTCATCTAATGAACCATTTTCTGATTTTTCTAATGCTGCTACATTTACAACACAAACATATGCACAACAAATGGCACAAATAAGACGTGATCCAGATTTAACACAAGATGAAAAAAAATATCTTGTTGCTGTTGAACGTAAGAATATATCATTTTCTTGTTATTCTATTAACTAGATAGTGCACACTTTTTTTATGCTCTATCATAACATTACTTGCCAAGAAGAAACCGTCCCAATTTTCTTATTTTCTCTACTATTTGTTTGCTACATTCTTTTCTTGTATCAAAGAAAAAAAGGAATTCATTTATTATTAATCATTAAAGATAGACAAGTATATCTATTTTTTTTCCTTTTTTGTTTTTGCCATTCATCTTGATCCGATAAATGAATACATTTAGACACGACAAGAAAATTCTCAAGTAGTCTTACTAGAAGGAAACATGAAATTTAGTTTTCATGAGGAGAAAACAAAACTTGACATTCAGAAATGAATTCGCTTCCTAAATTCCAATGAATCCAATCTCGAAAGAATACTGTCAACAAATATAGATGATCTTGAATAAAAATAATGAAAATTTTCATTCAGATGAAATAGAATTATCGGGTTTCAGATATTCTAAACTGAAATGTCTATTTTTGCTTATTATTTATCCAATATAAAGTTCGGAAATGCCTCAAGGCAAGGAAATCTTATCCATGAAAATCTTATTAGCAAGAGAGATGTTTACAGATAAAAAGTCATTTGAAAAGCAATGCTTGAAAACCAGAAAACAATTAAATTGATTGATGGTCACTTTGCTCAATAAGAATTTAAATAAAAAAAAAACTTTAACGACAGCTGACACCACGGCCGCTAGTGAAACAATAATTTTCTATTCTCAAACTGTTTAAGTAACATATGGGACCCCTAATGCTAAATTCATATTTCTAGGTGGCGATATGGCTACCACTCGCCGATATCTTGATGTGACATCGAAAGGACCGTCAACATTAGCCAACAATGACACTTCGATTGCACCAATTAATATCAATTGTTTAGATCCATTAGGTCGAAGTGCACTTTTAATAGGTTTTTATAACGATCACAAAGAAATTCTTTTTTTTTTGATTGCGTGTTCCTTTTTGTTTTATAATTAGCAATTGAATATGAAAATATTGAAATGATTGAATTATTATTGAATTATAATGTTGATACAGGTGAAGCTATACTACGTGCTATTGATGAAGAATTTGTTGAAGGTAAATTATTTAATGACATCAACATGCTTATATACTTTTTATTTAATAGCTGTCGAAATTCTTCTTCATCATGAAGATCTTAAACTACTCCAGCCACCGCCGCCACTGCCTCCACCATCTCTACCGGTTAAGAATAATTCCGATAATGATAACAATAAAGTAAGTTGTCCTCATTTAAATAATGAATACGCCAGTTGTGCTCTCTGGTGCATCTATCGTCATATGCTACATACGCTAAACAAAAAAGAAAAAGAAAAGAAATGACAACACAAACACATAGATATGCCGCTGCTTAATTTTCTTACAATATATTTGACATTGAAAGCTACTATTAACAACTTATTAGATAGAATAAGATAAGATTGTTTACGCTTGTTGTATTTTCAAATACTTGACAATCTGTCTAAAAGTCAATGCTTAAAGCATGTCTATCTTGAAAAATAATTGGTTAATGAAAAATACTATGGCGTTGTCAATCAAGAATGCTAATAATGGGTTGATTGAAAAGAAATTTCTTTTTTTCTGTTATGAAAACATCATTTAATATAGTCAACATTCTTGATCTATTCAAAGAAAAAGCTATGTGAAAATCAAGTATAATTCATTAGTCAATTTGTTAAATAAATAAAAGCATAAAGAATCAGATATTTAACCAAAATACACATATGAATTATACTGTTTTAATATTATTTTTGTCTATCTTGATATAGTTTCCAAACAATACTGCAATAAATGATAATACAAATCCATTATTCAGATTGGCCCAGCATGCATTAGAAAGAGAAAAACATGAACAACAACAACAACAACAACAAGGACAATCATCGCCAGATATTTCAAATAAAGTAAGATAGAAAATTTCAATGTTCGTCCATTAGTTTTGCTTTTAATAATATGTATGTGTATGTGCATTAAATAAATATTTGAATTGCATTTATATACATATATATATATCCCTATACATATACAAAAAAATAGTTAAAAGTGGCTTGGTCTTACTTCCATACATCAAAATCAAATCTATCATCGACGACACATGGTGATGGCGTTGAAAATATAATTACTACTACTACTACTACACCCAGCTATGAGGTGGGTTTATTTTATTATAAATAATTCAAGAAGCTAAACTCAACAAATGCAACCTGCCTTCTTTGAACCTTCTTCTTTCAGCAATGTATCTTATCAGTTGTTTCCTGCTTGGAAAAATGTTCAATAAAAATTTATATATTATTTCGCAGAAAATCACATGTGTTTATAATCATGAATAGTAATTTATTTAGTTTAGAGATTACGTCTTCGTGCATTTATAACATATTTATTTTAAGCATGTAAATCTTCCGATTTATTATTATTTTGCCTACATATGTTGCATTTTTTCTATGTCTTGATCTTTCGCTTGTCGTCGTCCTGTTCTTCGTCTTCTTCGTCTTCAAACTTGTTTTGTTTTTAGAATCCAAAATCTAAATGGGCATTTATCCTACAGGCAGTACGGAAGAAGAACCAATCGGTAGGCCTGTTGATCGTATAAAGATGAGAGGGCTAAATTTCGTCGTATTTTCCTTTCTACGCTCTTCACGTGCATGAATGGATAAAATAATTTTTATGATCGACGTTGTCACTGCTAAAAACATACACGTACACACATGCACATGCTCTTTATTTTTCAAATTACATAGATATACACTTATTGTTCATACTCACATTTCCTATCTCTATCGTTGTTGTTGCCGTTATCTTCATTGTCTTTGCGCTAGAAGGTTTCGTAAGAAATTTGCTCGTTTATTATTCTGTCGAATATCTTGAAACAAAACAAACGAGCCCCAATTAAAATATTTTAATACTAATAGAGACAGTAAAACAAAAAGACTCGAAGAGCGTGTTTTATGTGTGTGCGTGAATGAACGTATTTGTGTGTGGTTTTTGAATATGCAGTATTATTTTTTGAATTTGAATTTCAAGTAAGCACGCTAGTAATACGTATGTTCATGTTAATATACCCTATAGAGAACCTTATGTAAACGATGGCAGAAAAATGCCCGAAAGAATAATTAATAATAACTAGCTAGTATATATACTGCGTTGACGTAGCGCTTATCTATAAGTGAAAATCGTCACCAGTGGTTGTATGTTTGTCCGTATGCGTGTGTTATAATAATTGAATAATTGATAGGAAATATTTTTCTTTGATACATCTATTTAATTGTATTTCTTATGTCTATTTTTAGGTCAGCGAACAACTTATTATAAATACATCTCGATCATACACACCGGATATCACACCCATAATTTTAGCTGCACATAAAGACAATTATGAAATTATCAAAATTCTTCTTGAAAGAGGTATAAAAATTGCTTTTTATTGCTTGCTTAAATTATAAGACATTTGACTGAAAATAATTTGAGAAGAATTTATTATAAAAATAGATCACGAATTCAATGAAGTCAAACAAAATTAATAATTGCTTGATGTTTCATCTGTCTATATTGACATCGAACTAGAACTTCCTAGATAGTGAAACATTTAAAATTCGCCCGATGGGATAGAGTTTTTGTCTCTTGAGATTCTCTGCTTTTTTTCTTATTTTTACTGATGAAAATAAAGTAGATTCTATGAGTATGATCGATGACAGAATTTTTTACACTAGTATCGTCTGTCTATTTCATTAATTGGCTCAGTTCTATTTCTTAAACACTTGTTTTCTATGACCATTTAATACAATAGCTTTTAATACTTCTATAGAAGTATTAAAGCAGCATTAACAGCATGATTTCATACTATTTTTCAAAAATATGTAATTACTTCAAGTAAAAATTTTAATTCAAAGTAACAAACAAAAGACAGGAAGAAAATTCTAATGGATTCTACTAAAGTGTCAAAATTAAACGCATTTTCACGAGAGAATGAAATGACTGCCAGCAATTCATAGTAGTCTAAAAATTTAACTATGCTCATAAGAAATTAAGCAAGCATAGATCGGAAATGAACTGAAGAAATCGTATTATAAAATTCGTAACACTTGATGTCATACTCTTATAATATTAAAAGAGACATACGAGCTATCGAGTTCTGAGCAACATCTAATAAATCCAAAGGAGTTAATTTTTTGAAATAAAATTTATGATTGTATGAAAAAAAAAATTTGAAATACAAAATATATTGCTCTTATTGGAAACAAATAAAAGGAAATTGACATGATAGAATAAGGAAATACTGCAAGTCAATTCAATGATTAGAAAAAGATCTATATTAGACACATATTCTAATAGGATAGGATAGGGAAAAAAAGCAGTGAATCCCATGGGACACTTTCTTTATTTCAATCCAAATTCTACGGACTGCAATTCTTCACTATGAAAAACAAATCATTCCATAAAATTTCAATTCAAAAAAATAATTTTCATTCTGTTTAGGTGAAAAAGTAACTGAACCCCATGATGTTCGTTGTGATTGCGAAAATTGTAGCGTATATAATAAAGAAGATAGTTTAAGGCATTCAAGGTCACGTATTAATGCGTATAAAGCCTTATCATCACCGTGTTATATATCATTATCAAGTCGTGATCCCATAATGACCGCATTTGATTTAAATCGTGAATTAAAACGTTTATCACGTATTGAAAATGAATTTAAACAAGAATATGAACAATTAGCTCAACAATGTCAAGAATACAGTGCTGCATTATTAGCTGAAACACGTTCATCAAAAGAATTAGAAATTATATTAAATTATGATTCAGAAAATCCGCCGGTGGTCTCTGAAACAACGGAAAAAATGACATTAGCAAGATTAAAATTAGCTATACGCTACAAACAAAAAAAAGTAAAAATAAATTTCAAGAAAATGAAATTTTAATTTTTTTTTGTTCTTAAACTAGTTTGTTTCACACTCGCATTGCCAACAATTACTTGCTTCTCTGTGGTATGAAGGTCTACCTGGCTTTCGACGTCGTCATTCGGTGATTAAAATGTTAATAACAGCCCTTGTTGGTTTACTTTGTCCTGTATTATCTCTTACTTATTTAATAATGCCAAGAAGTAGTATTGGTCGAATCATGCGACAACCATTTATTAAATTTATTTGTCATTCAGTTTCATATATATTTTTTCTTAGTATGATATTTACACACATATATATAGTTGACGTCATTATTAATTTTTCTTTCGATTTATTTCTTCTAGTTTTACTTTTTGTTGTTTCATTACGAATTGACTTTGGAAAATTATTATCAGGCATTGAAGTAGAAACTAATGAAAGACGTGGTCCACCACCAAATCCAGTTGAATTAGCTGTATGTAATAGATAATGATTATTTTTCTTCGTATTATGTATGTGTTTGTAATTTTAGATTATGTTCTATGTCGCTGGATTTATTTGGGCAGAAATAAAACAATTATATCAAGAAGGGCTTCATCAGTACATGGTAAACGTAATAGAATTTTATTTCAAATTATATTATTTTTATTATTTTAGGCGGATACTTGGAATTTACTTGATTGGATCACTAATTGTCTTTATGTTGCAACAATAATTCTTCGTGTAATGGCCTATGTTAAAGTGAGTTTGATCGAAAAATAGAAATACTAACCGAATATGATATTTTAATCAAATTCAGATATCATTTTTCTTGAGAGATGATCGAAACATAATGAGGTGAAGTGTACATTTCTTGTTAAGAAACGAAAAAATCTTGAGTTCAATTCAGAATTTCTGCTTAAAACGCTATGAGTTGATCTTTTAAGAGCGTGAAATTAAAATCTGGTTGTAGACTATAGACGAACGATCTTCTTTACGGAATCTGTTCGATTATTAAAGTGTTAGTTTAGAACTAACGGTAAAATCATTCTTTAAGAAGTGACGTAACGATTATGTGGTTTAAAAATTTATTTACTTCTCTGAAATTTCAACCCACTAGATAAAAAAAAGAACTCTTTTTAAAACAGGTAAATCGAGAAGAACGTGATCTACAAGGGAAATTTGTTGCTGATCATGTTGGACATGGAACAACAACTATACATCATTCTCATCCTCAACATAATTTAACAACTGATCCAACTGGTATATCAACCGGTCATAATGTTAAAAGACGAGATTGGAATGCATGGGATCCAACACTAATATCCGAAGGAATATTTGCTGCAGCTAATATATTCAGTTCGCTCAAACTGGTTTATATATTCACCATTAATCCACATTTAGGACCGTTACAAATATCTTTAGGACGTATGGTACATGACATATTAAAATTTAGCGTATTAATCTTACTTGTCGCATTTGCCTTTGCATGTGGTCTTAATCAATTATTTTGGTATTATGCAAAAATGAAAAAAGCTGAATGCGAACAAGATCCCGGTCTTGATGACTATTGTTCCAAGGATATTTTTAAACATTTTTCAAAGTAATTTCAATTTTGATTTTAAATTAATATTGTTTCCTTTTCGATACATGCTTCGTGCCTTGTTTTAGTCTTTTTGAATCTTTACAAACACTTTTTTGGGGTACATTTGGTTTGATTGATTTACAAACATTTCAAATCTATAAAAAGCATACGTTTACTATGTTTATTGGTTTAACAATGTATGGTGTTTATTCATCAATAATGATTATCGTTCTTCTTAATATGCTTATTGCAATGATGAGTAATTCATATCAATATATAGCTGTATGTATTTGCTGTTTGTAAGATTGAAAACTAATTCATTTCTATATACGTATATTTAGAATTCAACGGATACTGAATGGAAATTTGCAAGGTTCGAAAAATAATTGGGTTTTATGAAAAATAATTAATTTCATTTGTTACCCTTTAGAGCTAAACTTTGGACTAGTTATTTTGAAGATGGTGGAACTTTACCACCACCATTTAATATAATTCCAAGTCCGAAATCAATCTTTTATACTTGCCGATATCTACATCGGCGAGCATTTAGTTGTTCAAAAACACAGATGAGAAATCGATGGCATAGTATTAAAGTAAGATTTTCTTTTATGTACTCATTTATCATTCCTTACATGTAATAGAATGAATTTATTCAAAATTCATTGAAAATTTGCGTGATAAGTAATAGTTAATTGTTGGTCAATGAATATAATTGAACGACTTAAAAAGACGATTATAGAGTTAACATACGAATCATGATTAGAATTGCATCGAACCGAAAAAGTTACAATTACAGTGAAATTATTATCATTTTTAGTAAATTATATTATAAATAGATGCATGTACATCATATTTGAGTTCTAGTTCTCTAGCCAGAAAGAATAGTTGAGACATTTGTAAGTATGATAGATTTTTGTTCGGATTCTAGATCATTTATTCGTCTGTGTACATACGTAGATCTACGTTAGTCAAGATTGTCTTTCTTTCTTTCCTTAATAAATTGAAAACGATCACGGTGAAATCAAAACCTGACCATGCATATTTGAGCTATATTGAGTTAGAAAACAAATCAATTACAGTAAATTCTAAAACATGAAACCAAAACCAGTGGAATAATTCTCTCTAATTCAAGGTCGGAATCAAGCTACACTGAACATGATTATAATCGTGATCGTTAAAAAAGTTGTTCCCGAAATCCCTGTCGAATTAGAATGTGAAGCACAATAATAGAGTTGTTGTTGTTGTTGTTGTTGTTGTTGTTACTCGCTTGGGTAATGGTTCCGTTCAATTTAATCAGAGACACAATTCATCAACATTGTTTTATTATATCCTTCAGAAATTTAATTAGATAGCAACTCATACATATATGAATGAGACACTATTGGTCTACAGAGACCGTTTACTAATCAGATTTTCTTCAGTCTATGACACATGAATAGACCTCAGTAAGTTGCCTGCTAATAGGATGTCTGTGACGGTCTGTCACTCCCATTTGTTACTATCTGTAAAAAATAATTTGGACCTGTCGGACCGAAGTCCTACTGTACTTCATAATTGATTCAAAAACAATATTTAAAAATATGAAATTTTTGTTTATAGAGAGTTCTGGCTAAAATCAATGAACGTGAAATTAAATATCAAACTGTTATACGTGAATTAGTCAAACGATATATAATGAAACGCCAACAAAAGGACCAAACTGAAGGCGTAACAGAGGATGATTTAAATGAAATAAAACAAGATGTATCAGCATTTCGGTAAAAGAAATCTTTTTGTTTGTTTGTTTTTTCTTCTTGTAAATTAATGAATATGATTTTAGTTTTGAACTCTTGGAAATCTTAAGTACAAATGGATTTAAAGTTCAATCATTGAAGAAAAATCCAGGTTTGTAGATTCTAATTGATTTTATTTGTTTCTGATTATAAAAATTATTTCATAAAATTAGTAACCGGCAAATTTGAACCAGTTGAGGAATCTCAACGATGTGAGAAAATTAATTTGTTTGAATTTTGCTGTGATTGCATGTGGTTGACATTACTTCCTTTCCTGTTTCTTTTTTTTTAATTTCATCTTTTAAAATCTCTTTCGATTATTCGATTTATTTCGTTATCTAATGAATATTTATTACATATCGTTTTTTTCTCTACTGTTTTAGCTGCACGCGTTGGTCGAAAACGAGGCAAAATGAATTTCGAAAAAACAATGAATAAAAGTATGTTCAATATGTCATCAGCTATACGCAATGCAAATCCATTGGCACCAACGCCAGATCCAATAAAAGCTGATAATATTCAATCACAAGATTCACCATTATTAACACCACTTTCGTCAATGCTCTCAAATCCAAAACAAAAACTAACAACACAATTTAAACGTGCTATTACAATGGTTAAACAAAAGGTTGATCCATTAAATGATACAACATCAGTATCATCATTAATACCATCGCACGGAAACAATAATGACAAATCGTTCGATTCACCAATTTTACCAAGTTTAGCCGAAGAATCAATACAAAACAAAGATAACATGGATGATATTGGTCACATGCCACTATCGTCAACATTTGCATCAAAATCACAATCATTTCTTTGTAATAAATCTCAACCAATATATCCATCACCAAATGAAATTTTACCACGCTTTAATAATGATTCAAATAATTCACCATCAGCAACAGTTCTTGCAATGGATTTACCAATAGTACGAACACATCATCCAAACAGTCCATCAGCACGCATAGTTAAGCAAAGTTTACAACAAATACATTCATCTATTCTGCAAACTATGCAACAACACAATCCATTATCACCGCCTACGGCCTCATCACCAACTACACTAAGTCCAATATCATCATCAATGTTGGGCACAGGTGAAGTGGCCATTTTGGAAACTATTTTGTAACCATATCATATCAGAGTCCCTGTTTCGTTTACACACATATCATTATACATTGCACTATGCTATTAAATGTATACACACGCACACACATACACATGCACATATTTTAGCACGCCTTCTGTATTCTATCGTGGTTGATCGATATTGCTTTCTGAATAATACATTCGATATGTAAGTCTTCTTATGTATATATATATTTATTACTCACAAAAAAAACTGTAGGATTAATAGAAAGACTTCTATAATAAAGTATCATAAAACTGAATATTGAGTGATTTCAAAAGAAAACTTATTTTCTCTGTGATTATAATCATATTTGAAAATTGTTTTCTATAAAAGGATTTATGCAGTTAAATCGATGAATAACGTAATATTTCGAGCTTTTTCTATTATATTGGATTACCATTAGCTTAATATCTTTCAATCAAATGTTTTTTTTTATGAACAAATGCCTTTCTTGTTTGTTTAGGAGATTATCGATTTTTATGCAAGGGTCGTGCACCTATAGCGTCACCTGATCCTGTGTCAATGACTTCTGACGAAAGTTCAAATACGCCCGACTTAGAAACCATATAATTTCGATTGAACAACGATGGCTGTTTTTATGTGATATGTTTCATTTTATTTTCGCTCTTACTCTTTTATTTTGCTGACAATATCAATTATCGTTTTTATGCAATACCAATATACGATGCCTCTCTTATTCGTTATGTGTCTTGGGTGTGTGTGTGTGTGTATGTGCGTGTGTGTGCGTGCGTGTGTGCTGTGTCATTTTGCGAGTCGCCCATTATCAGATAAATGTATCTAGTATTATAAGCATAGATTCAATATACATCTTGTGTGTTTCGTGTGTCTTTTGGATCTGTTTGTAAAGGACTTTTTTTGCTTGAAACTGAAATGAAGCTTTTTCTTTCAAAATATATTTGTATAAACTATTTTGCAAATTCGATGATTTAATGAATGCAGTCATCCCAAGTCATTATCGATCAGTCGGATCTTGTCGGACGGGTTATAATTCCGATGTCACATGATGACCAGATTCGGGCGGTTAATTTCTGGTGACTTATAATTATTTTCTTTGTTTTCCTATGAAATCTGGTAACCGGATTCTCCGAGAATCGACCAGATTTACATTACCGGAAAATACCAGGTCAGATAATACGATTGGGCCGTACACGACGTGACCCGGCAATATCCGGTAACACAACTGTACCGGAATCCGCCGTGCCGCATGACGCTCGATTTCATAATAGATCCGGCTTAATCAGTATCACCGGAACACATCGGGTGATATCAGAACGGAACGATGCCATTCGCCGGATTATCACTTCCTACAACAAAGATCCTACCGAAAGCATCTGCGACTAATTATCAGATACTAAAGAAAGATCTTGTGATCCATTCAGACCGTTAGTTAACAGCTCATACAAGCGATGATAGGCATGAATTAAAAATTATAGTTCATTCAATAGGTTATTTATTGAAAGTCAATCCACATTAGCAACATGTGTAACGAATAATAAGACTCTGTTGAGTTTATATCGTAATGACAAACTGGATAGAAATGGAGTAGCTTACAGCCACTCACGGCAATGATGTTTATTCGTTTATTCACATATCCAGAGTGTAACAACTTCATACATAACACACGTATATATAGGAGAGAGAGAGATAGAAGAGAGACAGGAGAGAGATATATTATAATAATGGAAAGAGAATAGAAGGAAGAGGAAGGAGAATCATCGAAGCGTGCCATCAATATCGGCACAACATGATTATGTACTTATTGATGCTGAGCGAAGTTATCAACCCGGATGAATCTTACGCCAGTCGTTTATGATAACCCATGCTAATATAACCTTCCATGTCGCCTATTTTTTTTATCAACTGTGCCGCAGTTACGCGTAACTATGGCGCAATGATCGCAGTGAAGATTTCTATAAGAAACTGCGCTTCCTGTGACGCAGATCAACGTAACTACGTCCTAGTGATCGCATCCTACGATCCGTTGTAGGTATAAATGACGAATTATAAATTATTCCTCCTTTTTTTGTAATTGGTTACACTCGAACAATAAAACTTAGTCACAGAAAATCAGTATAAATAGCAGTGCTCGTCACATTTTCGTTCATCAGTCATTCTACTATAAGCACTAGAATGCATATTTTTTCTTTTTCTTTTTCTTTTTAGACTTAAATCTTTGAAGTTTTGTCAATTGTTTGTAATTAATTTATTTTTCTTTTATTTATTAAATTTTTCAAATCTTTTTTAGATATTTATTTTTTATTATTTTTAAGTTTTAAAATTTAAATTTTTTAGGCTTCAACTTTTCAATTATTTTTTATTGTGAAAATTTTTAATTTACAAATTGTTTCTTAGTTTTTACAAAAAATTTCAAGTTTATAGTTTTAAGTTTTTATTTTCTGTTCAAAAAATTTTTTGAACTCACAATAAGAATACAAATAAAATGAAAACCTAATCTATGTCATTTTTTGTACCAATTGCGACGCCACTGTGACCCATAATTGCGAAAAACTTGGACGCTGTTATGCGTAACTGTGATTTTTTCATCGTAGTTACGCGTAATTACGTCGCAATTTTCCGCAATTACGAGTGACAGTGCGATCGCAGTTACGGCATAACTGCGCCACAGTTTCATCATAATGAAACACATGGGCTGATTACACGATCATCTCCTGGTCTAACGCGAAATCCAGAGTCATTAATGATTACCCACAGTGAGATAAACTTGTTATATATGCATACTATGTTGTTCGTCCATGCAACTCGACATCATTTCAAATCACCTAACAAACGCTCTTGATGGGCGCTACGATGTTCCTTACAAAAGTTATTAATTAATTCATATGCCATTAAATCGTTTTTGAATATCGTTGAGAATCATGTTACACGAGGGAAAAGTATCATGCAACGCTATAGCATGGTAACCAGACCGATTCTCTACGACTTAGTGACTCTTTCGATCGGTCAAAGATGGGGTGATGAGCGATTTTTGTCGAAGAAAAGCATAGTTGGATCCGTAACGAAAGACGCTTAGAATCCTGTTTTACGAAGGAAATGTACATTGGAACTGTCTAGAACTTATGTAATATTTCGATTGATGCAAAATGATGTGTGGAGCGATATTTTGTTGGGTGTGTGCAACAAGATGACACATTAACAGGTTTAGAATATTATTAATTGATGAAAAGTTAAGTGGTGATGGCCCAGAATGTTAGTCAGATGCATTATCTAGGGATTATTAATTATTTTGATGGGTGAAAAATGATGAGTGGAGCGATTTTTTCAAGAATTAAAATACTACATGATAACCCGGTAAACGGGTTTAGAATTTTGTTTAATGAATAAAAAGTATGGTAGGATGGTTCTGGATTATTCTTAGCGTGAGCATTGGTGACTCAGTTATTGTTCGATTTGGGTTACAATATTTGTTTGGCGATCTGTTTGGGGTGATGTTAGGGGCTATGTGTGATTATTCATGGGACGTAGTTGCGTCGGTCGGTGTGCGTTTTGGAAGTCTACAGTTGATTCATCTTGTGATTGAATAATGCTTGTATGAGAGATTTTTTATGAGGTTCTTGTCATCGGAATCTGATGGAATCCGGTGAAAGATGTGGTGAGGACCTTGTGAACCCGGAATCATCCGGTAGTCGGGGTGGATTGGTTTTGGCCATGTTCAGTTGTATTATCCGGCAGGAACGACCGGACTATTTTCCTTTGAAGTCCGGTCCGGATTCCGGGAGCAGAGATTTCGACAAAATACCTGTCGGATTCTGCAGATTTTGGTGGGAAACATACCGGCTTCTGGAGTGACCCAGTGCCGGTTCCTATGGGTCCCGGTAGGATCCGGAGGCAGGATCGAATGACTTGAGATGTTGAGCACAAGAGTTTTTATTTATTTAATAATAATAATAATAAATAGTATAAACAGACTGCTCTCTTGATTTTTCTCAATGTATTTGTAAAAATGGATCACAATGAACTCGGATGCTTTTGTTCGGCTGCTTCATGAAATATTGATCGATAACAATCTGAACCCAGGTCAATGATTCCGGAGGACGGATGCGGAAAAATCACCGTATCTAGTTGAAAAGTACGGGAAAGCGCTGGAAAGTGGAATCTGTATTCCGATCGGGAGTTGATGGATTTTTCCGGTGCGTCCCAGTCAACTTCCAGCGGGAAACCACAGGAAATTGACCGAAATTCACAGGAAAATAATCCGGCTATTTCCGAGTGGAATACTGCTTTCACTTTCCAGCGCTTTCCGGCTGTTTCCTGCCGCACCTCCACGACCTGGGAAAGTGTGATTGAAGATATCGGATGTTAATGAATGTTTATATTCGTTTTCAGAGTTCATCCGAGTAATGAAAATCGATCCGATCTTCTTGATTGCTAAAAGAAAAGAAAGAAATTTTTCGTACATCTAGGCAAAGGTGCACCAACAGTTGAGCACCGACACGTGAGCCTCACAATTTCCAGAATTCGATAAACAATCAAGATCATCATCAGATGATAATATAATCATTCTATGATTAGGATCTTCATTATCATACAGCACGAATCGATCACCACCATTAGTTACTTTAAGTTCATCAGAAATAAGAATATCATTAAATGATATTGGTCGAGGTAATGGTAAATCTTTTCTTTTCGTTTTCGTTCAATAGTGCGTTGTGCAGATGAATAGTTTGGAACAGCTGAGCCATATTTTTTTTACATTTAAGAAAGTCTGATAAATAATACGTCGTGGTGGATCATGTGATAATGTTGCACTAGAAATAGAACTAACATTTTATTTGAATTCCATTGCTATTATTTCTTCAGGATTTGGTGCATGAACATGATCCGTAACTTTAATATATTCTGTTCCATCAGAACGTATGCGACCAGAACAGTTATTTCAACAACAAAGCCAAATAATTTGAGATTTATTTGCACGACGATAACGATAACCACTAAGTAAAAGTTGATCCTTGGTTTTCGAAGATTTTGCGATTGGCATTGTTAATAATATTAGAAAATTATAGCAATATATCATTAAGTCATCAATACCATTAAAAGATGTCGCATATTTTCGTGCAATATTTTCCAGTGAATTAAGTGATCCAATATTAATTTCGTGTGTTCTATACTTCATCGATGAAATTTCAATCTCGTGAGACTCAATTGTCGGGTCACCCTAGACAAATAATAGAGATATTGATATTGATGTAAATACGTAAGCTTTGATTTGGTTCATAAACAACAATATAATTTATTGATGAATTGTAAAAGAAAATAAAGGTATCTATGTGAGTATCTGAACAAGATGAAAGAACTATAAGTAATTTATATGATGTAGTAAAAAAACTGTTACGCTTGAAAAATTCATTACTATTAAAGTGAGAATTTTAAGAAGTAAAAATATTATTGAAGTGTCTCTTCGATGAATTCATTATTTCATGAGATATAAACATAAAAGCACAGTCCGAAGCAAAATTCATTATCAGTATGTGCTACAGAAAACTATTCATAATGATTCTTTAAAGCCAGCTTTACTACTAAGATACGATATGTCTATGAAAACGTTTTATCATATACATAATAAGATTCTATGCGATAAACAGTTCTCAACCCATGTTGGAAAAACCGGAGTAAAATTGACGGTTTACCGCGGTTTTACCGCTCCGGTTACCGGCTCCCATCAACACAAATTTACGGCGGTAAGCCGGGGGTTTCGGGAAACACCGCGGTTTACCGCCGGTATTTTTCGATTAACCGGTTCGCTGAGCGTTTATAAAAAATTGTTGCTAAAAGTCATTGATCGGGCTATTTTAGGCATCTTTTTTTCCTATATGATGACGGTAAAAAAAAGGGTATCGGAAAAACTAGCGGTTAACCGCGGTATTACCGCTCCGGTTACCGGCTCCCATTTCATACGAATTTACCGCTTTTCTAGAATTACCGCGGTTTACCGCAAAAATTGAAGCGGTATTCGCGACATGGGAATGATTTCACAATTATTACAGTCTAATAGACCCATACGTAACTTCGCAAAGTTATGAATATATGCATTGTATTAATAGGTAATAATTGTAAAAAAACAATGTTTATTAATTGATATCTATCAAATTATTTTTAAGTTCTGAATCTGTGATGATTCATCTGCAAATATTAATGCGAACTATCGCATGGAAGAAAATTTCATCTCAAAATTTTTTCAATAAATCATAGTAAATGGAATATAGACTGTAGTTCTGGTTATCAAAACTGATCAAATAATGTCATTTTGATCAGAGTGAATATTTGAAGAAGTCTTTTATTAATTGAAAAATTAATTTTTTTAATAATAGGACATTATTTTTGTTATTTATTATTCTGTACGGTCTTAACGACACATTGAATCTGTCATATGTTCATTCAAATGAAAACCTTAAAAAGCCACTTGTCACAAATCATAATAATAAATGCATTTTCTTCGTTGACAGTTATATCTATGACAAAAAATGGCACGACTGCGAAGATAGTTAAATCATTAAACAACGTGAGAAGATATGTCAAATAATTTTTCAAGCAATCGTTGTGAAAGCAATCGTTGTGAAAGAATCGTTGCGAAAGAATCGTTGCGAAAGTAATGACCTATCTTGTATGATAAAAGCACGCTTCGTAAAATTATTGTTGTAGAAAGTCGATTAAAATTTCTTCAGAAGAAAATAATAGATCATTCCATAGAGCTCGATCCCATGTTGAATACAGGCAAGAAAAGCATTTTTATTTAGTTAAGATAAAACCATTGATGAGTATTTTTGTTATTTTAATAAAATATTTCTACATCATTACTGTTATTGTCATAAATTTATTGAATGAAAATGAAAATGTTTTCGTCCGACTACATCTATGCGACACAATAAAGATTATCCAAGCTTCTTTCATTCGTTATTTACTTTTCTTTAAGTTGTTATTTGAATAGTAAATCCATTAATTACGATATATAACTAGCAATATGTTAAATTCTCACGAAAGCATTAAACAAATAATCAACGGAAAAATAGTCTACACGTATAACATTTATAATTAAGAGCAAAAGTGAAGTAAGACTTTAAAAATCATGATTAGTATCGTTCCTAACGTTTATAATCAAAATAAGTGTATGGTAGAAACATATCTAAAAAAAATAAATATTATATAGTTTCATCGCAATAAATATATCGTAAGAGTATCCCACAAAAGAATTTCCTTCGCTCTACCTTACAATGTTGCATCTTCATCTTCATTCGATTTATCAATATCCCAACGCCAATTTTTTAATTGTTCCATAGCATCATAATGTTGTTTCATCTGAATTTTTATATAAAAATTTTTTAATAGTTAAATATCACAAAAGCTCTTACTCGATTTAAATGTCGGTCAACACGAGCTTGTACATAATATTTCGTTGGCCTTCCTCGTACTAGAAAGCGAAAAATCTTGATTTTATATTGATTAAAAACATCAAAAAAATTAATACATACTTGTTAATTGATTGAAAAGTGGATAAGAATTACATTCCGATAAAAGAATAAAGATTACAAATGTAATAAAACTTTAAATAGTAAAATGATGAGTTTCTAACATATCTATTTGCTATAAAAGAAATAGTAGGAGTTTATGATCAAGTCTTTTTATCTAATATATATATGATTGGAATAATTCTGTTTTTTCGACTACTAGACAAAATGGATTCCGACTGATTAGATAACATATATAATTATGAAAGTCTATTGACTTCTACACCCACCCATTCAGGCATACTAATTGTTGTCTAAAAATCGTTAATAATAGAATAGATAAGTATGTTTCCATGTGTTTCATTACGATGAAACTGCGATCACACTGTGATCCGTAATTGCGAAAAGTTACGCGTAACTACAATGAAAAAACCGCAGTTATGTGTAGTTACAGTGAAAAATTCATAGTTACGTGTAACTGAGTTGGAGTTTCTCGCAATTACTGGTAAGTGCCTTTACAGTCAGGGCGCAACTTCGCCGCAATTGTTACAACAGATTACATAGATTAGGTTTTCATTTTAGTTATATTTTTATTTTGAGTTAAAAGAAAAATTTTTAAACAGATAAAATAAAAAACTTACACTATAGAATTAAAATTTTTAAGAAAAAATTAAAAACAAAATTTTAAAGAATAAAAAAAATTAAAAAATTAAAACTTTAAAAAAGTTCTAAATTTAAAACATTGAGGAAAATAAAAAGTAAATGTTTAGAAAAATTAAAAAACTTAACATCTAGAAAAAATTAGAAAAATAAAAGAAAAAATATATTAATAAAATTAAAAAAGATTAGAAAAATTTTAAAAAGAAATTCGGAATATCTATTCTATAATTAATACTAGAATGACTTATGAAGCGACTGTGATGGGCAGTGCTTTTTATACTAACTTTTTGTGACTAACGTGAGCTGAAAATATGGCTTATTTACATACGAACTATGGTCACGTGGAAAATCCCTAAGGCTCTGTCAGTAGGAGAACTATAAAAGTCACACTTGTTTTAAATTAAAACTAGCACCAATGCGCAACTTTTGCCAGAACGGAATTTTAAAAATTTGCCTTAGTCCGTGTTATAGAAGTATTTTACTGGAATAGGGGTCAAAATTTGACTAAAAATGGCCATCTGTTGGTATAGAATCCGACTTTTTTAAGTTCAGGAATCAAATATAAAAAATCTGATCGGGCAAGATTTTACTTACACTTGAAGCTTAATATCTTAAATCGCTTGAAACTAGTTTCATGTTTTCTGACAAAACACCTTGTTTGAGTAAAACGATATATAAGTTTAAGAATCATTTTTTTGTATAAAGTCGAAAAAGATCTACATGTTATATTTTTACACTGTACTTTTTCGATGATGTCATGAATGATCTCAACTCGCTCCACCTATAAACGGTCTTTGCTATTAGCTTTATTCTTTCAACTGACGCGCCGATACTTATAAATATGAAAAAGAGAGTTTTTAACCTAATAAACATAACTAACATTGCTTTTAACCCTTTCAATAGAATGGAATCGATAGAACTATCATTTCTGCACATATTCATTGTATTTCTTCTTTCCTGAACTGATTTCTTTAATTACAAGACAACGATCTGTGAAGCCAGGTAAAACAAATCGTCGTCCGGTCGGTAACTGCCAATTTTTGATTCGAAGAACATTTTTATGGAAAATAAACCTCATATTCGTGATCAGCGTACTGAATAAGCTATGTCCAGATCAAATCCCGAAAAAAAAAATTGTTTTTTCCAAAAAAAGTACACTATTTTGTTTAGAATTTTATACTGATTCCAACCATGTACGCATTTTTTCAGAAACAGTTCGGTCAAAAAGAACCTTACCGTCACTTGTCTTTTCTCGAAAAACAAGGCAGTACGGTTTAATATTTTTTCGATAAATCACTTCAAATCGAACTTTTTTTAGAAAACCTATATATACATTCTGAAAGAGGAGACTTTGAGGCATCTACCCATGATAAAATCTCAAACATTAATCTTTTCGAAACAAATCAACTTTTTTAAAGGGGGGGGGGGCGGCTTAATGCCTTTGACAATAACCAACATATCAAGTAGGGACATCATGGCGGGTATTGTCNAATAAAAAACAATTATCTAAATAACGATCGCGATTATTTGATAATTGTATAGGATCACCTGTTGGTGATAAACCTTGACAATAAACATCATATCTAGTAGTGACATCATGGCGGGTATTGTCTAGTATGGGGATGTGCTTGAAAATTAATAAATAGTAACAAGAATACATTTTCTATTAATAATATTGATTATTAGACTATCAAATATAACTTAACAAAAATTTCATATAATACCAAATAGGATAAATTCGAAATGATATTATCGAAATTTGTTATTATGCAGTAGCAAAAATATGAAAATTTACTAAATTGTTCAAAAGACAGTGAACTAAAAATGACTTGATTCTAATCAAAAGAAATGGAAATTTTCGAAAAGCAATAGTTTCTAATTAAGTAACTAAAATAACTTCAGTGTAAACTGAAACTGTTGATAGATTCATTTTTCCTATAATCTGATGCCAATGTGCATCTCATTTCATTCTATTCATTAGACTCTATGTCGAATCATGTAGCTAAACTACTTAAAATATGTTCTTCTTCCAAAAAGCTATTTTCAAAATAAAATGAACTCGTAAATAACTTCGCTATTGAACTTAATCTACCACATGACTAGAACCAGTGAAAGTCTTTTGCTCTTTTAATCGATTTTTTTTAACTCATTGAACTAGCGAGTTCTCACACATTTAATCAACATTTGAATAGAATCGTAATTGTATCACACTAACTATGTGTAAATTAATTTCAAGAAAAAGAAGTATGGTTACGTATGCTGCACATAGATGGATTTGACTTTGTACTACTTACTACTTTCTATGCTCCAGCAAAATGAATGATATAAAAGATAATTTCTATTAACATTTGATAATATCAAGTAATGAAATTTTGGAAATATATTTATTTTAAAATGAACGCGCGAGATTTGCTTTTCTTTGTTTTTGCATATTTCTTACATTATTATATTCGACCGAAAAAGTATCAACATCTGTAAAACAGTTTTATCTTCTTTGAGTTAGTTTTTTTCTCGTTTCGAATATTATATTAAGATTAATAATGGTCTATCGAGATCGTCAAGGTTTATCACCAACAGGTGATCCTATACAATTATCAAATAATCGCGATCGTTATTTAGATAATTGTTTTTTATTATGTATCAATCGTGATGATGATACTGATGTACCTGAAATTCGTCGATTAGAAAATGATGTTATGCGAGATTTATGTGACAAAAATCAAATAAAACCTCAGCAACAATCAAAACTTTATATACAAGATCAACGGCGACAACCGACCGAAAACTACGATTATGATGATGAAGATATAATAAGACCATCAAAACAAACTAAAGTTCGTGATTATGCTTATAGACGAAAAGATAATCAATATGATAGAGAATCTCAATTAATAGCAAATCGTTCGAAATATCAACGAGATGATACTATTGATAATTACTATGCTAATGATCAATATACACGACCTGGTAAATATAATCATCGAGATAATTATAATATAATTCAACATAGCGATGATGAATTATCTGTCTATGAAGTAAGTCAATGACAATTATGTTAAACTAAACTTAGTTTATTATAGGTATATGTACCAACAAATACATTAAATCGTTTAGGAGATAAACGAACCGGTAATAATATGGTTTTAATTGATTATGAAGATGTATCAATGTTACGTGATATACGAGGACCTTCATCTCCATATGGCTACCCACCGCAAGTATGAAATTTATTAAAACTTAACTGAAAAAAATCAACAACAACATATAACTATAGAATCTATCGTCACAATATAATAACTATTCACCTGTAAATCAATATCCATCAGATTTAACGAGAGATCGCGATGGTCAACAACAATTTTATCAAAATACTCCATTACAACAGCAGCAACAATTAAATAATTATTATGTTAATGAAGGAGATCGACCTCCTTGTAAGTTTTCGAACATTGATTGATTTTATACAAAATTTTTTTACTTATTCTAGATTCACCTCAATCTGGTCCATTTGTACCAACAGATATTAATCATTCAAATGCAATTAATATTCGTCGACATATTTATTCACCATCTCAACTTCCACAAGGTCTTACTGAAGGACAACTTGTTATGTTACTGCAGAAAGGTAGTCAATATCAACAACACAAATGTGAACCAACAACACCGCCAACACAACTTTTTCCTAGTCACAATGAAGTGCAAGTAAACAAAAGGATTTTACAATTGATCGTCAATTTAATCATTTCTATTTATTATTTAGCCAACAGTAGTCACACTTACTCCGCAAGTTAATTCAATGCCAAATACCAATATCGAAGCTTTAAAAACTCCTGCATATGGTTAGTTTTATTTTATGGATTCTCTTTTTTGAAATTACTCTATTGAAATCATTTTAGTTGCGTCAACACCAATAAAAATGCCTCAAGTACCGTGAGTGTGTTTTATTTAAATTTCTTTTACAATTGTTATTCATTAGAACACAATTAGTTGATCATCAAATAATCAATGACGATAAAATTTCTATCGTAGATGAAATTACAAAACCAATGAGTACATTGAATACAAGAACGTCAATAAAAATTTCGAAAGAGTTGGAATCAAGAGAAGAAAGTAGAGATAAGAAAAAAGACTCGTAAGTTTTAAATTCCTTGAAGCTAATTTTTCTATTTTAATAAATAATTCTTACTAGTAAAAAAGATAAGAAAGGAGACAAGGAGTATGTATTTTTATCTTGTTGATTAGTTGCTTAAATTCAAATTCATTTATTTTAGTGGCGGTGATCATAAAAAAGACAGTAAAAAAGAAAAATCAAGTGGAAAAGATTCCAAGAAGAAAAAGAAATAATTTTCAAATGAACTTTTTTTTTTTTCTTAAAGAAATGATTAGAGAAATATTCTTTTTTTTTTGTTCTTTATCATTTACTTAAATATATATGATTATCATGAGACAATTGTAATTTAAAATAGGAGGTGCATTACAACGATTAATTCATTCAAACGGTATAAGCAAAGAAAAACGATCTATCCAAATGAATGTAATGAAAATAATAGAGTTGATCATAATGAAGTGTGTGCGTGTATGTTTGAGATGGCATCTTCCTCACGGCGAATTTCTTTTGGTGTATATTCAGTCTGTTTCCGAGACAGGACATAGATATGAATCGAAATATCCAATTGATGAATGTTAGTCAGCTGCTAGCCTATGTGTCAGAGTATATGTTCGTCGGCAATATCCTTTCACCTTTTTTTCTACCCATAATTACAAGTAAAAGAGATAGAGACACTCATCGATCTCTCTTTATGTCAAATATATGCACTTTGAGTTAAGAAATGGATGGGAGGAGGGTCTTGTCAAATAAATGAACAGTTCTAATGATTAATTCGTATTATATGTACAAAAGTGTGGGTGTGCGAATTTTAGTTGTTGTTCTTTTTTCTCAAAAGCGTGAAACTAATGTACTTAAAATAAGATTCAAGAATAGATCTGATCATTTGAATTTCATGTTTTTTCTTTCAGAATAAATTTTCATTGGTATGAAAAAAAACACGTTTGTAAGAAATCACTAAACATCAGAATTATAGCGCTTGTACATCAACAAGCAGATGTGTTTCATCCTTTTTTCTTTCTCTTTGTATCAATTTTTTATTTTGAGCTCACGTTAAAATGGAATAACAACGGGATATAATTGAAACAAACTGTCCGTTGTTGTTCCGCTAAGTGTCTATCTATCTTGGGTAGATGTAACACCCACAACTAACCCATCTGTCTGTCACTCGTTTCCTTAGTTCGTTTCTTTTGCACGTCAATGGTGTACATCTAATAGAGCACAACAAAAAGAAATGTGTTAGAGTCAGTAACGCCCACCCTCGGGCATACCTATACGGCTCATTTCTATCAGGAGAAGCCTTTTCTTTTCGCAAATGACCTAATTATCATTTTATTCAAGGGAAAATGAATAAGAATAGAAAGCGAAAGAAACACAGGGGGAAAGGGAGTAGAAGAAACAATATATTGTCGAGGTGATAATTCTCATAAGGAATGTCTTGTCTTTCTATCGTTGTATAAATATAAATTAATATTGCGTAGGATTTATGGGTTCGTTCATGGGTGACAGTTGCATTCGTTCGTTCGCCTTTCGATTAACTGTCATCTAATGGACTCGCACTCACACTCATCGTCTCGAAAGTGATTTAATTTATATACATATATACGTATAGATATATTCATAATATACCTCTACGGTATGTCACATTCGTCTCTCATTTCTTTCTACGTTCTCGATTAATTCAATGATTGATCAAATTTATAGATAAACAAATATCAACGCCGTCGAGCAAGCAAGCAAGCAAATATATAACGTACAAAATAATGAGAATGTTTCTTTTTCTCTCAATGTTTCAACAAAAAAGAAAAATACAAACTAAAACCTCTCTTATTATTATTATTAGCGAATTTTTCTCGATCAATCTATTTGAGATATGTAATGCCGGAATTATTTTTTTGATAATAATCGTTTACTAATGTATGTTCTATGTTGTTCAATATCGAACTATTCATTTAGGAGAAAAAGCTAAAATGCTCTGTAGGTGGTCTACAAGATGATAAAGCATATGAATATTTATACACGGCAACAACTCGTACCATTGCATAATTCATCATAGTTTGTTTCATCAAACAAATATGCGCGTGTTAGTTCGAAATGCCGCATAGTAATTCTTCTCGTTGATTACCAAACTCGACATTAAGTGAGAACGAACCGAAATAATTATCATTTTTGTTTTTAAATAACACAATATTTCATATTTCATCAACAAATACTAATTGACATTGATCAAATGAATATTGACGTGAATATAACAGAAAGCTAGTCATCCCGATGTCAATCGTCGTTGTTTTTCTTCTTATCTCTTTTTATTCCAATCAGATAACATCGCTCTCATTTATCATTGGACAAAAATGCATATTTTATCAATCGACCAATCAAATCGTATATATGATGTCGAACAGAAAAGGAAGAGAGAAAAAGAGGGAAAAAATCGATAGTCTGCATTCGACGAGCGCGAACATCTTTTATGTCTTTTTTTCACTCGCATGAATGCATTTATCTGATTAGTCGTTATATTGCGATAGAAAAAAAAAAGAAGAAAGCCAGAACATATACACATACATAGACGAAACAGAAATTGCCTTGTACACCGAGTCAACATAGAGAGAGAGAGAGGTGGGTAATAGAAAAAAATCTAGATGGATGTATATCTTGTCATAAGAATCTTGCTCTTTTGCCATATTGCTATTCGCTATTAGGTCGTTCTCATACATAGAAATATGAAAATGCTGTTGTTATCTATTCTCTTGGTCGACGCGTGTAACTTGTAGTTTCAACAAAAGATCCTATCGAAGACAAGATATATGAGCGAAGAGAAAAAAAACGAAGGATATTTGCGGATCTATCAAAAATTAAGATAAATCAGTTTCATCATCATCATCATTCTTACATTCTTTATTCGATTAGACAACAAAATAAAAGAGCCTTAAAATGGATCTATTCGATTTATCAACAACATCATCAAATAATAATAATCCTAATGTACATCGTAATACTTGGCCTAATTATCCCGCAGAATGTTATCCAACAAGTGTAGACTATTATCGTCAATATGGGCCAGCACGTAAGTCTATTAAATAGATTTTTAATAAAACTGTTTTTTCTTCTCCTTCTTAGCTCTAACGTCTATGTCTTGGGTTGATTCAAGTAAATATTCTGTTCCTAACTGGCCATCTCAAACACCATCTGGATTTTCTTATCCATCTTCTCATCCTCCACCTCCACATGCTCATGCATCTTTTATCTCAACAACAAATCCATCAGCAGCAACATCATTTGGTCAAACATATTATCCTCCCACACCACCCAAAGATCTTCCACAAGATTCCTTACTTGATTCATCAAGTAAATCACATGAATTACTTAATAATAAAAATTATCATGCACAAAATCAGCATCATCATCATCATCATCAAAATCTATTTCCTAATACAACATCACCAACAACAAGTGCAGCTGCTGCAGCAGCCGCAGCAGCAGCTTATCATCATCATCAAAATTGGGGACATGTACTTAAAGATCCCACTGCTTTTTGGTCAACTATGAAATCACCAACAGAATCATCAAGCAAACTTTCAAATTCAAATACGAAGAAAAAAGCTAGTCAAGGTTTGTAAAAAATAAAAACAAAAAAAAATAATCATGCGTTCTTCTATGTTTTATTGTATTCTTTTTTTCGTTAGCTGAAGGTCGTGAATGTGTCAATTGTGGAGCTAAAGCTACACCATTATGGAGACGCGATGGTAATGGAAACTATTTATGTAATGCTTGTGGCCTTTATCACAAAATGAATGGACACAATCGTCCACTGATTAAGCCCAAACGACGTTTAGTATGAAAATATTCTTTGAAAAGCAAATCATTTTAAATTCTTATTTTCTTATTTATTTATTTTCTTTTAAAATAGTCAACCGTTAAGAAAACAGGCGTTCATTGTTCAAATTGTAATACGAGCACAACAACATTATGGCGTCGAAATGGCCACGGTGAAAGTGTTTGCAATGCCTGTGGTTTATATTTTAAATTACATAAGGTAATTTCATTGGCAACATATTCATATAGATATACACATTTAAGTGAAATATATATAAAGAAGTCATAAGTGTGTGTGTGTGTGTGTGTGTGAGTAAATAGAGTTTACATGATGAACTAATTTAAGGATATAGTTTTTCCTATGTCCATGAAACTACACATAATTATCATGATCAATCGTAAACGCGTTCAAATTCATGCATTGTGTTAAATACGTGACAAATTCGATTAGAGAAAAAGAATAAGATTTGAGACATTGTCCTCATGCATCATCATCATCGTCGTTGTCTTCATCGTTATTATCATCATTATAATATTCAATTGAAAAAAGGATGAACCGTTAGAGTGAAAGAAAACAGTGAATGAATAGAATGAGAAGAAAATGAAGTATCTGTTTTTCTTATCTGACGCAATAACAAAATTAGAAATTTTAATAGATAAACATAAAATTTTTGTTATTGTTGAGTTCAATTTTTTGTTTCTCGCTTCTAAACAGATCATTATATTTGATAGGTTAATCGTCCAATAACATTGAAAAAAGAGAACATTCAAACACGTAATCGAAAACCAAATACAAAACGTACTGGTAGTTTACTTGCAAGTAGTTCATCGTGTAGTATGAAAGATAAAGATCCATTTCCTTATGGACTTTTAATGAAGAATGAACAAGCATTAAACGGTTATCATGCTCAAGCAGCTGCAGCAGCCATGGCAGTTAACAGTGTATCAACATCATCATCACCGTCATCATCAGTCTATCATCAATCTCAACAAGCAGCATATGCAGCTGCGGCAGCACTTCGTCCATTATTTTCATCATCAATGTTATCATCCATGGGCACAACAAATACAACAGGCAGTTCATTATCATCATCATCGAATTCATCATCACCAACCAAATCATCTTATATGACAAATCAACAACATCATGTTGGTGTTTATCCTCCGTACTTTTAAACGAATTAATTTTGATGAATCTCAATCTAAGAAAGAGAAGAAGTTCTGTCTTATTTTTTTATTTTTTTCTCTTTGCTTTCTTATTCTCTAGAATTTTTTGCGCATGTTGTACATTGTGTTTGTTCTCTTATATCGAATTCTTGTTTTCTTTCATTTTTCTTTTTCTTTTGGTCTTCTTTCTAATAATACAACAGCAACAGATCGTGCCTCAAGCTCTTTATTATTTATTCTAGTTCCATAGAAACAAAAGGAAAAATACAAGATATTTATCGCTAAATATGCAAGCTGTTGTAGATTTCTATTCTTCACATAGGTATACACACATATAACCGTTAAGCGATCATCACCAGTAACATGAATATCTATCTATATCTATTTATCGATCTATCTATTTCATGTCGCTCGAGGCTACACTATCTTCATTTTCTCCTCCTTACATGACATTATTTTTCTTCTTCTTTTCATTAAATCACCTAGGTAAACATCACCATATGGACACCGTTATGGTTGAGTTCATTAGCAATAATATATAGAAAAGTAAAAGACATGACAAGGGCGGGCAAAGTCAATCGAAATATAATCATCTATATATGTATGCAGGAAAAAAAAGACCTAAATTGTATATCTATTTAAAATGAGTAGCTACTTTTTTCAAGTATGAAGGAAGCTAAATATAATAAATAGGTGAAAATTTGATTGCCGAAATAATGATTTTCTTTCTTTTGCATAAATATATATACACCACTGTGTTTGTCGGCATCAGTTTTTAAAATTTCGATTTTATAGCGTACATCCACTATTCATTACTTGCTGTGTATCTCAACATGAATGTGCTAACGATGATATAAGTTACGAGAAGACATACAGAACCGATAATCGATATTGTTGTTTGATGACGCACATTTCTCTTGTTGTTTCATTCCATCATTATCAACTATATTCATCATCAAGGATAGATTGGCATGTTCGTGCTAGTTGTACACCAGCCGGTGCTCATTCAAGTTCTTCTTTTTCATGTGATCAAACAGATTTTAGTTTCAATTTCACTAGGCGAACATCACAGGTTGTTTTATTTTAGTCATCGGCAGGGTGTGTTTATCACTATCTATTTTCTCTTTTATCCTTTCACTTTTTTAATTCTTTTTTCTTTTTTTTTGAAAACAAAAGAAAAAATCTCGAAACACGACACCATCTGTAGAGTTGACTTTGACCTGAAGGCAATTGAACACGACACCATTAAGACCTAGCATCATTCACAATACTTTACACATGCAAACCATCGAGTGACAAAATCGCATTTATCTTTTTTTCCATTCTTGTTTGATCTTCTTCTTTTGACATCTAAACACAACAGAATTGATGTGCTTCGATGAACATGAACTATCATCGAATGAGAAAACGAACCCAACAGTTCATTATACTTGACACATCTATTGTCTATATGAATGGGAAAGGAGATAACGGATGCGCACAATTCTAGTCGTGTGAAAGACAAAACAATGTGTCAAAATTATGCATTTGAAAAAGAAAGGTGATATAATATTGCCTTTTAAATTAAACTTATACTGATCTAGTCTAAATTTCATTATATATTTATTGATCGGTTGCAGATTTAGAGGAGCGATAATAGCACGACACACTCTCGATGTCATCGTATTTTACTATGTTTCGAGTCTTCTTAAACTCTTTTCGTAGTGTTCTTTTTGTTTAAATTCAAATATCGACCAAATTTTACATTTTATTTGATCAAAAACGAAAACATAGCCATCAGGAATATACATAATGTTTCGATAATAAACGATTCATACATTGACACAGATAATCATGCCATATGTATCAATCAATAAAAATTTTCGCACTCTATTTATGAAAAATTCTTTAGTTTTATACAATTAGCTAGATATTTAATGTGCAATAAAAGAAAAGTAGTCAAAGAAATATTTTTGTTTATTCATGACTAATTTTTCCCAACAAAAGTCACATGTTCTATGTTCATGCTGAGCAATTAGCTAGCCTCTTTTCACCAATATAAACATTGCCGTTACGTTCAATTCATTAGTACCCAACGGCGATATATACTTATCGTCGATCAGTATTCTGCTAGTAGATAATGGTCATGCAATTCCATTGAGAATGGGTGGAGAAAAAATAGATTGGAATCAAAAACAACACGCAGATAGTTGCCCGAATACGTCATACAATGATGATTATGATGGTGGTGATGATGATGATGATGTTGAACAGATTCATCCCTGGAGAACTATTGTTTTATTTCCTTTTCTTTTTCGACAAAAGTCAAAAAAGAAATGATTCGTCTCTATTCTTATCTCACACTTTGATTTTTCAAGTAATTAGTTGTTATTTTCCAATAATGATGAGAGAAGTCGAGTGTAAGACAAATCAAGATAAGAGAAAACAGAAGAAGAAGTCTTAGGAATAGTCTGGTTGACGAAACGTGACGGAATGCATCCATGTTAAATATAGCAGCGGCAGTACTTTGATCACAGATTGTACAGAATGTTCTGTCTATCAAAACTAAATCAAGCATATTTTTGATTTAACTCCATCTGACACATAGAATTTCTTTTGGTGAACATAAATGTTTAACTCTTGTCAACAATATTTATATCAAGATTTCGATCAATAAATTTAACAAAAGAGAAAATGTCAAACTCTCTAAATCTCATGTCGTTTCATGGAAAGTATTTCACATGATTAAATGAAATATGAACAGAGTAAAAGATTTGTAATAGATCTTTCGATTACAATCAAAATCAAATAGTTTTTCAAATCAATAAATCTAATCTTTTCCAAAAAATTGATCTGATTGCTTTGTATTGAAAAATTCTCTGAAATCAAAATTAGATTTAACAGTGGATCAAAAATATCAATAAGAAAGAAGAACAATCATCATAAAGTATTCTTCTTTTTTTATCGATCTCCGTTATTCTCAGCTAGTTACTGCAGAAAAAAGATCATGTATGAAAAATGTACTTGCTATTCGCACTAACCCGTTGACAATTCTCCATCATGTCACAGTGTTACACATGAGTCTACGTATTTAATGCTGATAGCTAATTGATTTTTTTTCGCCGATTATGAAGTAATAAATAAGTTTGCTTATTTTTCGAAACATTTTACTTTAAATTTAAAGAACATTGAATTTCAAATTTTAGTTAGAAGAAAAACTAACGCATATAGCAAACTCCGAATGATGAATCCAGTTTCATTGTTAACTAACAGGAAGACACATTGAATGGTGTACTTTGATTTCAGTTTTCAAGACCTGTCAACTTAAAATGAAGTCATTGATTCTGACCTTGCGATGAGATTTAAGATGCATCAATCATTGTAGAATAGAATTCGAAACTGTTTTGATAATCACAAACTTTTGAAAAATGCTCACTATCGAACTATGAGATAGATGTTGCACATTTTTTCTCAACAAAATAAGTCAGTGAATTTCTTTTACAAGCCTTGAAGTAACAAGAGACGATTTATTTTTATTCAAAACATTGTTGTTGCGTCTGTATATGGAAACTGAATGAATGTAAATTGATGAATACGGTACAGACATATGCAGGAAGTGTTTTTCAGTGAAACGTTGTTTTAGATGTTCATATAATAATTTGGTTTTAAAAATCATTTAAATCATCTTTTAGTTCGCTCAATTACATTGTGATAAGCTATTACTAGCTATCGTTGCTGGTAGAAATAAATTGCATTTTAAAAATTTTTTATACGAGATATTCTTGTGATTTGGTTGCATTTCTATGAGATGTATACCATTAGAAAAATCAATGAACCCTAATTGTCCTAGACTAGTTAGAGATATTTACACATGTCACTGAATTAGTAACGACAATGTTAAAATTTTAAATAGAGAAGCATTTATGTGTGAGATACATTTTCATTATAAACCGCTTAATAAGACGAGAATTTTATTCACAATCAAAGATATGCGCGAATAGACTTTGAATTGTATGGCTAGTGGACGGTTGAATAGTCTTACCGATATCGTACCGTTTGCACTCATCCGTCATCGGGGGTTTGTATTCGTATATATATATATATATATATGTTCAATTGTACAAGTGAAACGTTTTCATTGAGAAGATTTTCATCAGTGTATAAAGTATTGAATAAGTATTTACAAGCATCCGATAGTGCCATCTATGCCTAGTAAATATACCATTTTTGTATGGTTCTGATATTGGATCCATCTGTTTTCCAGTTTTTATCCTCTATCTTATTTTTCAGTGTCGCTATTAGAAAATTTGTCGTTAGCATCTCTAGTTTATCAATCTGTCTAACAACCTGAGTATTAATACTCACAAGCAATAATAATATAAATAATAATAAAAATAATAATAAACAAACAAAAAAGGACAGATTGGTGTTTTACACAGGAGTCAACGTAATTAAAAACCAAGCTACCCTCCCTTCAAAGTCAGTGAATTTAACCCTTTAACTGTCAAATTTGACAGATGATGACTTGTTTTTCATCTACATTATAGGAATATCATATAGTAAGTCCAGAGAATGATATTGTCAACGTGACTTTATATGTAGAACAAACGAAAAACAAAATCGAACAAAGCAAAGGGGGTAATAATTCACGAAAGTATTTCGTCACGAACTTTTCCCTCTCACTTTCAGGCGATCAATTACTGAACCCAATGAGCTTTCATTACAGGGCGTATATTAACAAAACAAAATACCGTCCATTAGTTCATTACTCAAAGTAAGATATATGTATATTCGTTTTATTATTTAAGATAAAAGAGGAACGAAATTTTCACTATCTGACTAAATCTCTATAGATGTACAACTATTCAATCAACTAGGCTAGTAGAGTTTAGTATTTTTCACATGACATCAGATATACTCAGGTCAAACGATAAAATGAGAAGGCTTCCTATTTGCATTTTTTTTAAATCCAATATACGTATATCTGTGTCCAGTGTATTTTTTTAATTCCATGATTTTGCTACCCATTTTACTGTAAAGACAATGCTAAGGATTTAATTTCTTAAAATCCTGCCTCTTTTAAATAAAAGTGTTTTCTTTTTCATGAGGTATTGAGAAGTTTTCAATCAGTTGTATACTCTCTTCCATTAAAAGAGACAGTATGATAATGAAATCAAGCGATTAGCAAAATATATGTACTGTAGCTGAATTAAATTCTTAGCTTTTTGATTTTCACTCATGTTTATTAGAGTCAATTTAATAGTTTTATCCTAATTGATTGGGCGCTTTCTTATATATATATGTTACAGGGGAGATTGAAATGCAGGGCTATTTAAAATAGCCTTTAGGGGAAATTGGAATTTTAATTTCCCCTAGGACAAATTAAAATTTTGTTTTTTCCGGGCTCAATTTATGAGAAAAAGTAAAGGTTTTGATTTCAAAACGTACTGCATTCATATCCACACTAATACTAGCACCCATACACGCACCTACACCCACACCCTCATGTTCACGTTACATACATACCCACAAATAAAATAAGTGTCTTTTGCGCGAATTCAGGTATTTGGAAAAGACTGATGTGATGGAACTTGATAATTAGATGCCAATGTTGATGTGGGTGCGAATGTAGTACGTTTTGAAGTCAAAATCTTTACTTTTTCTCATAAATTGAATCCGGAAAAAACAAAATTTTAATTTGCCCTAGGGGAGATTAAAATTTCAATTTCCCCTGTAACATATACACGTAAATTATCATTAGTTTCAACGAAGACGCACACTGTGATAGCGAAGTCAATTTAATTTTGGATCAAAATCACAATCAACAATTACTCGAACAATCAATAGAAAAAACTTCTTATTCAAGACAAAAAAGGTATTTTCACAAATCTCATTCTAACATTAGATTAATTATATACTATCTGCACATCTATTAATTGTATGCTCCTTATTTTCTCTCCATGTGCTTCGATCTATGCATGTATGTGTGTCTGTATGTGTATGCAGTTTGAAACTTTTTCAAATGAATGATTAAACTTCTTTGGAGGAATAATTTTTTTTGATTTATTGAAAGTGTCACTGTCAAGCAAACGGGTCAATATTATTTTATGCCAATACGAGAACAAAGCTCAACAATGGCTTTAACTGAAAATAATGGTAAAAAGAGAAACATTGATGTATTTGAGTATAAGTATTAAATAGATGTCCATAGTTGACGATTGTTACTTTTTCTGATTGGTTGTTAGGAGAATCATAGAAACTTGATTTTTTTCAGGTTAAAAAGAAAACAAATAAAATTATCACACACAGGTTTTGTTTTTGAGTAGAACGTTTTCTTGAAGGATCTTCAATAAATTTTATAGAGCTTAAGAACACAAGAGATTATCAGTGACTCAGTGGGTAAATTTTTCACTAGAGAAATATGAAATATGTACGCGATGACTAACTATTTAGCGTTTATTATGAAGGAATTTTATCATGTGATAAGTTACGCGTGAGCTAAGTCTCACTCGATTGAGTAGTTTTCATTAAGTCACAGATGAGACTCGAATGATTGGTGTCTTTGGACGTTTTCTTCGCTGATACTTATATCAATGAATCTTCTCAGAAAACATCGTGTTTTCTTTCGTATTCGAAGTCAATCGGATGAAAGTACGATGGATGAAAGAAAACGAACATCTCTCTGAAAATTAACTTGAATAATTATAGTTCAAAAAGAAAGATGTATAAGTATAAGTCTTTATTTTTTTTCTCGATAAGGAGTATCTAATAAAGTGAGTACTATCTTAGTAGTAATTTATTATTGGCAAAAACTTTCACTTTTCTTTTATTTGCTTGAGTTTCAAATAATCAATTTATTTTGAGTTATTTTAAACAAAAGAAATATGAACATAGAATGTCTTTGAAAATTGAATCAAATTGAACTAATATCTTTTGTGCATTCGAGTAGAAGTAGGCGTTGATTTAAAACATCGCTCTTCCCTTTCCGTTTTACGCCCATGTTACTTTTTATTCGTATGCCTTTCCCCCTTTTTCCAATAGAATTGTCTGAGAAAATGTGTGTTTAGTAAGCTGTTTGTCTAGTGTTGAAACCACTTCCATGCGGATGCTATTTTTCTACTCCAGAAACGCTTGACACATAATTCACATGACACTTATAAGAACATCATGAAATTGTGAATCTTTGATAAAAAATACCTATTTACTGTTTAATAAAGATTTGATATGTTAGTTATTTTTTGAATTAGAAATAACTATGGCCGTGACTTTTAGAATGAGAGGTTGAACGGAAATATTTGTGCCAACATAGTTGTGATAAAAAAAATTACAAAGCGGAGTCAAATTTTGTTTGAATCATAACTTCACTACACAAAAATTCATGAGGGATTAGTTAGTGATAGTAAATTTAGTTCTTTTGTGACAGACACACGCCTGAGATAGCGTCAACACTAGCGGTACTATAAAAGCGTTGGTTACTGAATCAAATGCGAACTGATTAAGTATTTTAAAATGCTGCTACCATAGTGATAAACCTTTAATCAATTCCATCATATTTGAGTTATTCTTCTTTTACTAGGTTTGATTCATAAAAGTCGATTATGAGGAAGGCGCCTCTACACCCTCAAGAGATAACTAGTATTTTTTGATAATAATATTCTTTTGATTAGTATTAAAAAATTTCTCGATACAGCTAAGTTTAGTGAACAAAGCTCACTGAATTCCTATAGACAATCTTTTTCATCACTGCAAGTCTTGTGCTTTCTTCTTGGATTTGTTTTCTTACAAAATTCTATCAACAAACAGAAATCTTTTGGAGATTTTGATTTTAAATAATTTCCGTTTATTTTTCTATTTCATTCTAGTAACTGATAATTCATCATTTTTATTATCATCATTATCAAATCTTCAGCAGGCATCTACATTTAATCTATTTAATGATTCATCACTAAGCTCTTTTTCTTTATTAACACCAACTATGAATTTATCTGATATAACAGCATTGAAAATTTCCAATTCAAATCATAATAATAATGATCATATAAGTGATGATGATTTTGCTGCTCTTTTTGTTTCATCGATGCTTTCAACAACATCGAATAATTCATTTGATAATATAAACAATAATAATAATGAAAGCTCAACTAATACAATAGATGAAGCATTTTTAAATCAAGTCACTGATTTAAATTATTGCTCATCACCAATCATTGATAAACAACAAACAATCGGACCACCACCTGGTTTTGAAAACTTTCCTTTTAATTCATCATCAACATCGGATTTACTTGTTTCAAAAACAACGAATAGTAATCCAACAATATCATCCATCAGTAATGGTGCCAATGAAACATCAGTTTCGTCTTCAGATACAATTAATTTTAGTCAGTTATTAAAATCGACAAACGTCGGTAAGTACTATTGAAAGTCAAACGAAATGAATAATTTAATTTAATATTCACTTTTCTTTTAGATCTACAACAACAACAACAACAACAACCACAATCAATCGTTGGTAATGCTGGAAATATTCGTTCATTATCATCGTCATCATCTCATTCGCCATTTATATCCGATGAACAATCTTTGTTTTTTCCAATGTCCACTCAATCATACTCATCATCATCATCATCGTCATCATCATCAATTCTTCATGCAACAAGTCAGATTTTTTCCGCTAATGCGCCTTCTTTATCCACGACGACGACGACGACAACAACAACAATAATAAAACCTAATTCTGCTGCTAAGCCGCACATACCCAATAGTCTTTCATTATATAATAATAATCACTTATCATCATCATCATCATCATCTCTTATTACATGTAATACAATAGGCAGTTCTCTATTAAGTACAACATTTGACAATGACAAAAAAATGACAACTGATAAAAGAATTACACCGAGTCATATGTTTTCATCCACAAATTCATTCTTTACGAATGAACCTGCAGGTGAATAAAAACTTTAATACTAACAATAGAGCTCGTATATATTTTAACTCAAGATATTTTTGATTAACAATATTCTGCATATGTGAAGAAGCAAAACTAGTGATCGTGCGATATCGATCATTTTCTAGTAGCCGAGAATAACAAGCTCATAGATGGAACCGGTCGAGTTTTTTCTGCCCGGACCGGACCGGCCGGTCTATAATAATGCTAAAACTGGCAAAAACCGGCGGGTCTTTTCATGTAGTTTAACCAAATTACAGTATTTCTACGTATTTCTATGTATTTATATGTAGTTCAGAAATACAGTAATATGTAAAAATAAATTGGAAATACATAGAAATTCGTAAAAGCACTTAGAAATACATTCGAAATAGATAGAAATATGAAAATACAGAAATACGATTTTCCTCCTTTGAGTTTGAATTGTCGAAAACAGTATAAATGTAGTTTTGAAGGTATAACTCATACTTCAAATATTAGAGTATCGCCTTTCACATACTCTAGAAGACTATGCAAATGCTGCATAGTCTTATGGAATTAAAATAACACAAATTTTGTATAATATCATTTACAATTTACGATTAGAATTTTATATTATCCACATGAAAACCTTAACTGTCCTTGTTTACGTCATCTACAGACCAAATATTTGATGTTCTATAGAAATATGACTAAAAAATTGCGCAGACCGGCCGATCTGACATCTCCGCCCGGACTGGACCGGCAGACCGGCCGGTCCGGTACCGGTCTGCCGGACCGGTTCCATCTATGAACAAGCTTCAAATGTTGCTTTTATAATTCCTCAAACGAAAACGACATTGAATGACATTAAAAAAAAGACTTAGTTTATTTTCAAAATACCCCAAAGCTAAATCTACAATTTTAATGGATGAGATATGTTTTTGAATCTTCACCATTGTCAAGCTTCTCATTTCTATGGAAATAGACGAATATACAATAAGCATCAAGGATGCTGGATAATACATCATTATGCAATATATAGTATAATAGCTATATTGCGATATAGCAGCTGAATTATTTCAGTATTACAAGTAATAAATGACAAATGAATAAAATCTTTCTTTTGAATATAAACTATCGTATGTTTCAGAGCAATTTTAGTCCTCATGTGGATACAACATGAATATGATGCGACCGAAATTACTAGCAAAACCTTAATTTCTAATCGAAAATAGAGATAACAGCACATTGTCATTCTATAGTTTTTGATATGATATAAATTAAATCTAGAGTAGTTTTTTCTCGACTAATCCGACTAGATTCAGTCACATACGTTCGAATTTTATATCTTTTTCATTTAATAGTAAATCAAGCTGAACAAGATAAGAGATTTCCTGTCTTGAAAGCATATCTTTGACATCTTTTTTTTTAATATTTAATTTTTGAAAATGTATTTAGATTTTACTTCTTCGAAATCAACAAACAATAGAATTTCAACAACGAATCATCAATCATCAATTACTGCTCGAACATCATCATCATCGACTTCATCTTCAACTTCTTCGTCCATTGATGAAGCACTTATTCAATTAACACAACAGCAACAACAGCAAACACCAAATGTTAATAAATTGTTCAATGATGAGCCTATATCAATATTTAATTATTCATCCATACAACCAAAACCAACTATTGATAAACAACAGCAAGCTGTTCATGACAATATTAATTTTCTCGCCTCCATGGCAACTGCATCAACACCCATGACATCCGAATCAACATGGCAACAACAAATACCGTCAACATCAATGTCAATAGATTCAAGTATGAATTTGAAACGTAAAATGCGTCCAATTATGCTCCAACAACAACAAATGAAATTATCACAATCGATATCGAGAAATAATTCGGCTAATATGCATGAATTAATAGAAAATCTAAATGAACTTTGTTACAAAGGTTTTGATGAACTTAATGCACTAATACAAGAACAGAGATGGGTAAGAAAATTGTTTTGATGATCATTGTCGTCAGTTGTAATCTTGAGAACAAAAAAAAACAGGGGATTTGTTAACGGCTTACACATTAATATAGACACATACGATTCAAGGTTACAGATTTGCGAATGATAGAGACTAGTTTAAAAAACAACAACAACAATTAATTTCAAAGGAATTTAGGTAATTTTAATTTTGACCTATTGAGCGAATATTAAAAGTTAAACTTTTCAGCTTGATAGCTATGCAATAAAGTAATATAAATTTGTTACATCGTTAATCATAACAAGTGAGTTTGCGAAAGTTCAAGGTTACTATAGAAAAAGCATTGCATCACTTATAAGCTGGCCTCCGATTTCACTTTGTTAAAAATATAGGCATCCTTAGAGGATCAAGGTTCTCAAAAATATAAGATTTTCGATAAAAAATGATAAAAAGAGAAGACGTTTTATTCACCTTTTCTGTTCAATTGTTTTGGTGTTTTTTAACTGCTCCGCTCGAAAATCGTTTTATTGAAGCTGTTATAAACAGTTCAACCGCAGCCAAGATCCTTATGTAATTTTTTCTACTGAAATAAGTTGCCAATTCGAGGATCATTATAAAAGTTTTTCACAAATCGATAATTAATAATAAAGTAGATCGTAAGCTTTGAAAAAACAAATACATGAAAAAGACAAATACTATTTCTCATAATTAAAGGAGACAATTCAGATTACGGACATGACTTTCCAAAGAATCTCAACCTAATTTTATTGTCCTGGTAATCAGTATTCATCGCTCATTGTTTTCCACAAGTTTATTTTGTATTTTATCATAACTCAAATTTTTCTGGTAATAAATAAGTGTAATTGAAAATGCATATACATAGAATGGTGTAAAATTTCACGGGCATTCGGAATATGTCGTTACTTTTAAAAAATATGTTCTTTTGATAACAATATCCTCAACATACAGAGTGAAACTTATTTTTTCCAGGGATATATATATATATATATATATACCGCTTTTATATCTAACTAAAACTTCACTAAAAACTCGAAACTAGTACATGATCACTTTGTGAATGTTTTTTTCCTTTGAACTATTTTGTATTTTGTACTTAGTATTAAACAATTTCTCGGTCAGCCCACTAAACAGGCGAAATGAAATATAATGTTTAAAACAAATGTCACTGTAATACAACAATTTGTCCAAAACACATGATTATACATATTGAAAGTTGTTTTTCGTCTAAAGATAATAGCAAAATAAAGAGGTTTTCGAAAATTTTCTACTTTTTTCGATAAAATATAGGTCGAATCGGAACCCAGCTTATAAAACGTGTAAACAAAGATAAAAATGTTCTTCTAGCCTCTTCGATGACCGTGAAATTTTTATAAGATTTTTCTGATGAGAATAAAAAACCTTGTTGATTTCGTCAAATTTAGGGCAAGTGGCTAGAACAAAATTGACTTTAAAAATGGAAAAACAATAAATGACTAGATTCTTTTTCTTCTGAGTTTCAATTTTATCAAATATCAATAGAGTTAGTAGTTCACCGTGTGTTATATTTTCCATCATGAGATATGTCAATTATCAATAAGCAGAAACATTATTAATATTTTATACTTTATTTTTCTAAATCAAAAAATACATGATTTGTTTATACGAATAAATTAATGTTTTTAATAGAGAGATGAATTGTGAATCAAATAATCTTTGAATTAATATTGAGCTCACACTACTGATACTTGAGTATGCAACAACGTTTTATTCGTATGTTCTTTTTTGAAAACACATTTTAAAAGTCCGGAAGGGTGAATGTCTGTTTCTAGAAGCTTTTACAAAGTCATGTATTCCGGCCGGTCCCATTTTGTATGCTGAGAAGTATGCCTGCACTGAACATTTGGCTTAAGAATAGATGACTGATTTATAATTTATGTATTATATTCAGATAGCTTCCATAAGAAAACGCAGTCTCTTAAAATGTTCTTTTCAATGTGTAGGTGCAAAGTTATGTTAATACAAGCGCCTCATCAATACAATCGCCCAGTTCATCCTCATCAAGTTTGAATGGTACGAATTGTTGTTCATCACGTATTCTTATTGTACCCGAATATTTTATATTTAAATGCAAAAAAATTGAAATAAATGTAAGTGATTTGAATAATTCCTTTGAATACTTGATTTGATTATTTATTTTTAGGCGAGTCATGTTTTTGACTTATTAGCTACGGGAAGAGCAGAACTTCGATTACGTGATTTAATGTTTGTTTTTAAATCATGGAAAAAAATTATTTTAAATGCTGAAATCATCCATCAAGACGAAGAAAATAAATTACGATTGAGTACTGAACATCCACAATCATATTATATGACTGATGCAGTGTTACAATCAGGTAGATGAAATTGTTACTATAAAGGAAAAATCTTAAAAAATGAGATCATTATTTTAAAGTAGGCTTAAAATAAATTATTTATTCATATAGAATTAAAATTCTTGAAGCATAGAAAGATCTTTCACAGTTCTTGATTAGTGTCATATTATGAAAGAGAAAAAAAAAGAACTTTAATATTGTGGAAAGAATCTTTTCACGGATTTATTTTATCGACAAAAATAGGCTTTTATAAACTTCATAGCTGTAGGCACGAACAGTTTTCTAATTTTTTAACTTAATAACTGTTTTAATATAATATAATTTAATGTAATATAAATAGAATACTCGAGAAAACTTGATCGATTTGATAATACAAAAGACAACTAACAAGCCCGTAGTCATTTGACAGGAAGCTTTTTTGTTTTTATTATAAGAAAAACAACATTGGCAGCATATTTCTACAAGAATATTTTAATATTAAAATATTGTTTTTCTTGATGATATAAAAATTTAATGACATCTTTCATTCTTCTCGTCATTCCAATATTCTTAAGTGTTTACGATGCCATCTATACCAAATTATGGGTCATAGCGTAGGCGTATGTACATACATCGAAGACCAGTACTAGTTTGAGATCATAACTCGAGATGATTATTAGAAAAGCTGTTTTTAATGCTCTTATCGTTTAATACAAATGAGTTTCTTTTTGCATTGCATTGAATTATCAAGCCATCCAATGCTTTTTCACATTTCACATGTTTATTATTTTCTACTAATTATCTAGTATTTGATCGAGTATCGTATGCAATACGTGAGCTGTGTAATATAACACAGCAAGCTCGTGCAGCATTTCAATATGCAACATTAAATATCTATCAAGCATCATCCCGGCAACAACAAGTTTCATCTCAATTATCATCAACTATTCAATCATCATCACCATCATCGTCAATTGCTCTTGCTCAATTACAAGCTATGCGCCAACAGAAATAAACATCAACTTTTTGAATAGTGTTCGTTTATACAACGACATGAAATAATAAATTTTCATACAAATGTGAACGACAAAATCAAGCACCGGTGACGAGCATCAAAGAAACAAGAAAGGCCACAAAATACATATTATGAATTGAGCAATTTCAAATAATCTGTATGTCTTAATAAATTTGTTTCTCTTGTCCTATTATTAATTTTTCTCCATAACATCTCGTTTTCTTTTCTATGCTCTAATTAAATCATGCTTTTGACCGAACGAAAGCGAAAGCTAAGAGATAAATTTCTTTCTCGAATTGTTCTTATTTTTTTCCCTCTCTTCTCCTGATAAATTTTTCTTAATGTTCTGTCTACATTGTTGGTGTCAGTAGTCAAAATGTGCATTTTTACCATCTTTGTATTGTCCTGTGTCTTATGCTTGTATGAAACAAAACAATAAAAAGCTAAACGAGGGTCAATGCTTTCTTTTTTGAACCATACTCAATGTTCTTTGTATTTTGGTTTTTGGTTTATCATAACCAAATTTGTTCTGTTTTTTTCTTCTTGTTCTCTCGTTTTCTACTCATTCATTTTCTTTTCTGTAGTCGCATCGCGCTTTTTCCTTCTGTTTTCTTTTTTATAATAAAACATGAGCAAAGAAAAGTATCACAAGGTGTCGGATGAAACAGCGTACTTTTGCCAATCTATATCATCATTTTTCCATTTAAGATGTAATATACATTGTTGTACGTCTATTTACTTGGAAATTAGTTTGATTTCATTCAATCTTGTATACCGGTATCGGCGAATAATTCGTTGATTTGTTCTTTTTTTTGGGCTGCCATTAACAACAGTTACTGGCTGACCTCAAAAAAGCATGAGATGAAATTGACAGCGCATAACGTACGCTAATTTTTTCCTGAGCTATCCAGTTACATTCGTTTTTCATACTTTTTCTTCTTGACGTCATCATCAGCATCATTATAGAATTATCAAAATTCTTCTTTTCGAGTTACTTAATAATTAATTCTCAATGTTTTGGTTCTGCGAACAATACCTGTTCTAGGTATGATTAGTATTCAATTTTCTTGATTTATTATTAAAACACAACGGTGCTAGGGATTCACTTTTATTGACATTTTAATTGGATGTATTATATAAGAGTATGAAAAATATAATATAAAAATGAGACAGTACATTTGTTTTTACTAACCACAAACAATCTATTTTCTAGCATTTCATAGAAAACTAGGAGCTGTTCGAAGCGTGCTACTCTACAAAGAAAACACTCGATTCAGATTGAAACCTTTCTTTTTACTTGACTTACATTTTAAATTAATTTGCATATAAATAATAGAAGCATGAAAATTGTGAATCAGAGCACAATGGCCATAAAAAAGCGAGAGAACTGCTTCAACTTTGGAGTTATTATAGTTTTAATGAAGTTCAACTTGACCTTTTCTCGAGTTCTCAAAACAATTTTATCGATGCTAATTTTAATTTGTCGGCATACGTCCTAAATGAAGTGTTTTCTAAACAACAAGGGCATCATTATGAGACATAGCTATTTTTATCATTTTATTCTTGTTTATTATATTGTGAAAGTTTCGTTTTTATTTTATAGATATTGAAATTAATAATTGGTTTTTCATTTTATAAATATTGATTCAGTATGTATCGTTTTGGTTCTTGAAATAGAACTTATTGTTTTATTTTTTGTTAAGTTTACATGTAGTTTTAATATTTCTTGCAGTAATGCTATTGTTCTATGTCATAACAAACTAATTATATAACTATAGAGTTGCACGAATCGTGTTTATAATTATGATAATGAATGCTATTTGTCAGAAGAAAAGCAACAAAGAAATTTGATGTATAGTACACATAATTACGAAAGAAGCCGATGCTAATTGAATATTTAATTCATTAGGGTACAGCAGGAAACTTTCTTTATAATGATAAGATTTATATGCAAAGACTTTCTTAGAAATTGCAATAATTATTTGTAATCTTTCTTGGCATAGAAGAGATAGTTTTAGATGACAAAAATCTCCCTTCTACTACATTTCTCTTCTTTGACTAATTAAGATTCATTCAGGTCAATTTCTACCCTAAGAGTTGATGATTTTATGTTTTTGTGACTTGTGGTAAAATTGCAAGAAATTTATGAACTAAAGAAATAATATTGATGACAATTATATTTTATGAATTTATAATTGTACTCATCAAAAACTTTGCTGATTAGAAATATATCTTGAAGGCAATGTTTTTTATTATAAAATAATCTTCCATAGTATACGAATTTGTTGTTAAAATAAAGAGTATTACCAACATTAAGGGAATCAGAAATAGAGAATGAGGCTTTCTTCTTCTTCTTCTTCTTCTTCATAAGAACATGTTTAGCATATAGAATTGCCTGTTTATATTTAGATTGGATGGCGTTAGAAACCAGATTCAGTTATCAAAGTTCATGAGCGATGTTTATACTTTTTTTCTTTTAAATAATAATATCGTATTCAATGGGTTTTAAACATCATTAATAGATTGCTGAATCAGTTAACACATGATTTATTCATGATTCATATAGAAAATACTTATCAAACGTAATTAATAGATATCAAAATTTTGTGCGAGTCTGAATGAGGATTTTTAAGGTAAGAATAAATCGTGCATAACTAAAATCTCCTGATATATATTAACGCTTGATTCTGTTCCTGACATATTTCTCATGCAAAATTTAAAATAGCAACATTACATAAATAATTTCTATATATAGTTTTCATCTTCAGTTATTTTGTATAATGAAGTATACGTATTCAATTAACAGTGACAGCTTTTATGGAAACGTTCGTTATCAAATTTGCATGATGAACTCATTTAAAATCTTTTTATAAATAATATAACTTTCCGAGTAAATTTATGAGAAATTATCTTTATATTTATTGACTCGATTTTTCGATTTCTATTGAAGAATAAAAGTTTTATTAACTTATATCCCAATGATAGTTTTATCAGTTGACATCTGTGTTTTGTAATCAAAATAATGAGATTCAAACGACTTCCTATATACCAATGGCGTAGTCAGGATTTTTTAAGTAGGCGGCAATTTACCAGCTAAATTATTTTTATTGGGCGCCAATAGTGGACAATTAAAAGCTCTAGTTAGCAATAAGTTTTTTTTTGTAAATATCTGCATTACAGAAGCCGCTATTTACTGAAAGATATTGAAAATTGATTTTTGTAAAACACTTGATTAAATCTCATCAAGAGAATATGTTTTGAAATAAAACATTCCTTAAATCTTTAAATGTACACAGGTTTGAATATTTTTTAACAATGAGCAATTGCCCACATTAAAAACAAATTAGCTGGCAATGCAATTTGGTTTGGGCGGCAATTGCCAAATTGCTAATCTGCTGGTTACGCCACTGCTTTCTACTATAATAGAATGGATTTTGATCTTGATGAAAATAATGAGCACATTTAATCTAGGGTATTTAAAGTTCCCTATAAAAACTAATTATTTTTTTAAAATAAATAACAATCACTACAGATTATAGGTGTATGTCGATGTTTTATTATCAAAGTCAAACATTAAAGGAATCTATTTTGAATCTGAACTCCATCAAATTTTGAATGCAAAGCACAATTGCAAAGCTATTCATTTTTCTATAAATACTTCAAATAGCATTCTATATTTTACAATAGTGATATCCTTCCAATACATATTGACATAAGAATAAACTATGAATAATTTTTCATTAAATATAAGCAGTCAGTTGACATCAGAATAGATTTGAGAGATCCTTCCTTTTTACCTGATAATATTATGAAGCTTTCAGGTTTTATTCTTCTCAACACTTGACAAGCTTTCAACAAATCTTATCTACAGATTCTGTTAATCGCTATAGATAGAAAATTTCCATTATCACCATTGCGCTGTTACTTTCATTTTCTTGAAATATTAAGCATATGCTTTTGTATTATTCTTTAATATTATTGAAAAAATTCATTATTCATATGTCATGCAACGGCAGATGTTTTTTTTTTAACAAAAAAAAAGAAATTAGTTACATTAATCGTGACTTATAAAAATAAACGCAGAAAATATAAAATTAGGATTTAACTGTGATTTCCTCATTCGAGTAGACATTTGACAGTTCCAATTAGAAAATGAATTCTTTTTATAGATACTTATTAACTGAGTTAACTTCTAAATCAAAGAACTATGATTACTTGAATGTAACATTGTACGCTCACTTTTTCGAAATTAAACTGGAAATTTTTCTACAATAAACATATCTATTAATAAAGAAATGTATTTATTGTCCGTCTATTGTAGATATCCACTGGTTTCTAATGTTATAATAGGTCGACAATCATAAACGGAGATTATCGTACTACAACAATATCTATTACATATACAAATATAGTAATGTCCATAAAATCACGAGAACTTGGTCTCTGTTTAGTATGTAATGATGTTGCTGTTGGTATTAATTTTGGTATACCAACATGTATGCCATGTAAAGCATTTTTTCGACGAAATGCAGTTAAACTTGGCGTATGTTGATGATCTTTTTCTAGATCTATTTTATATATTCTATTTTAGACAACTGATTTCGTTTGTCAAGAAGATGGCGACTGCCCAATAACATGCGATTCTCGTCGTATGTGTAATTGTTGTCGGTTGGCAAAATGTTTTCGTGTTGGTATGCAGAAATCCTTGATTTTATCGGATGCTGAAAAATTAGCAAGAAGAGAACTTATTCAGAAAAATCGACAAAAACGTGCAGAATTAATGAAAACACAAAATTCAAGTCTAGTACGTATAATAAATATTACACATACAATAGGAGAGAATCGATGTAGAAATAAGATCAATAGTATTACAATAGAAGGATATAATATTTGTTATCAATAGATAATCAAGTAATGCATCAAAAAGAATTTTAAAAATAGTTCAGCTATTATTATCATACCATTGACGACAATTATCTATCTATTGCGAAAAGATTTATTAATAGTCTATGTTATTGAGCTAGTGCCTGAGATAGTCCTGGTTCCATCGATGTTTGTAGGATAGTCTAGAAATAGATAATATCAATTCTATATAATATTCGTATTTTGTATTCTAAAAAGCTATATATCTAGTCTTATTTTTAGTAAATCTACCACTACGTAAAGCTCTACATCATAACTTAGTGCAATGTCAAGAATGAGCTTCTCTTGTTGCCTTTCTCTTAATCATCATAGGAGAACAAAAAGAATTGAAGTTTACTCTCTTGTGATTAATATCTCATTATTATCAAAGAAACAATATTTAATTATTTACTTTCTTGCTGCTAATTGTATATTTAGTATTCTTCTTGATTTTAACATTTTTGTTTTCGAAAAAGCTTACACAAACAAGAAAATTTCGTAGTCATCATAGAAACATCTTGACTCACTTTTTGAATAGGATTCAAAACTGAATAAAAAGAAAATATTTAATAATTTTACGCAATGTATGCCGTGTGTTTATAGATTCTAGTCTCAGATCTATGTGCTTTGGGACATCGGCAACCAACATATTTATCGTCATCTGATCAAACTCTTCTCACTAATATCTTTAGTACATACGAGCTTATTTATGAAAAGAAAACCCGATGTCAATATGAATTATTTCCTTCTCTAGCACATACTAGCGTACATTCGTTTTTCAATGAATATGAAGAACGACACAAAATACTAATTGATTATTTTAAGAATATACCTGAATTCTCTAACTTGATCGTCGATGATAAAATACGTTTAATTCGAAATCATTTTGGAATAATGATTACTATTAATGAATTAATGCTTAGTAGAACTATGCATGACAATTTGTCAGCTTCACTAAAAAATATATTTGGCATTCATTTGGCGACGAACACCATACGAGGTTCCGAGAGAATACTCAGTTACATACATGATCCAGTGTTACTCAAACTGGTTCTTATCGTTCTGACTTTATCGAGTAGCATTAATAAATATCGTGATGATACAGATATTGATCGTATTTTTGACAATAGTTTAGCAATATTTGCTGGTCAAAATATTTATGTTGAGCTATTGTGGAGATATCTTGTATCAAGATTATCGACAGAACAAAATACAGTGAAATTTTTCAATAAACTTGTATTAGATCTACTTTTTATTCAACTCGCTTGCTTTAACGTCGAACGTTACATGAGCAATCTACAAGATGAAGTCGATCAAATGAAACCATTGATGCAAAGTATGTGGCCTAAATCAAAAAAACTAGATGAACTGGATTACGATGAAGATATGTGTATGAAAAATAACCCATAGAATAACATTTTTTTAAAATTAACTTTTTCACAACCGGTAGTAAAAGCAAATTTGATTTTAATATAAAAACAAATCTTGTAAAGGATCAAGTGTAATATCGATATTGATGAAGAGTTGCTCAATCTGGGCGAATGATAGCTGATCCATAGTTATGCATACTACTTATTATGGTTGGAATGCAATCAAATATTATATTCGTTCGAGTGGTAATCACGTATGAACATCATTGTTTTACATATAGAAGTTTCTATTTCTTGATTTTTTTGTAAAAAACCTATGTTAAATTTCTAGACAACTCCATTTTTTGTTCTTCCCAGTGTATTTCATATACATAGTTTGCAGTATTAATAATGGATTTTGAATTAACTTAACTCATTAAAGAATACATATAAATATGTATGTTCACCGGTGAACTTTTGTTTTCTTTGTTTAGTCACAAGAAACGTTTTTTTTATTCTGTATCAAAACGGAAATTTCAGTAGTCGGATCGAATGTATGAGTCTAAGAAAATATCGCCACATGTTTTAGATTCTCTTTTGTAAAAGATGTTAATTTAGTTAGATATTCATCATCAACTGTGAGATAATCTTTTCATAGATATTTTATTTAATTCAGATGATAATCTAAATAACTAAATCAGCTATTACATAGTAAATAATACTTGATTAATATACTGCAGATATTTAACAAGTGCTGACAATACTATAGTGAAAATCAACAAATATCTAGTCTTTCCGGTCTATTCAACTATACGCTTTTATTTTTTAAAGATTCATTTGTTTTCTTTCTGCTATTATTTTTCAATCGCTTAGTTGCATCTCTCTGAAATTACATGTAATTAATATTAATAAATTTGAGTAGAGAAACTGAACAAAACATGGTGCAATTGACCGGAAAGTATTTCAAAGCTATTTTAAATTTTATCTGACACTGTTAAATATGTCACAAGGTTGTTTTTTCGAGTTTTTCGTTATAAAAAATAAGTGAAAAATTCTGTCATTGCGGAAAACTTGTCAAAATTCAATATTGTCAAAATAAAATAGTAGCTAATACAAAAGATTTTAATTAGATATGGTTGAAAATAATCTATAGCTTAAACAGAAATTATTTATAGGGTTCATATATAAGAGATTCAAGTATTAATGAATCCGCTATTTTTATAGTAATTAAATTTTAATGAGATAAATTTGCTTCATTAAATGAAAGAGTCTTTTCTTTGAGCTTCGTATTCTCCGCATATATTAAATTAATAATCTATGTCATTATCTACTTTTCTCTTTAATGTTTTTCTTATTTCAAAACGACATGAGTTAAAACTACGAATGAGTCGTAGATTTAACATCTTGTCAACTTCTGGGGATGTATACTCTGAAAACATGTTTTCAAGTCTATTTAAAAGGTTGATCGGCTTATTCTTGAGAGTTTATCGTAGAAAAAGAAAAGATTTGGAAAACGTTCCGACTGAAGTTATAATCCATTTTAGTATGTTCTTTACGTGCAAGTCTGCATTGTTTTTCACGCACAACACTTGTGATTCCACTTCCTGCTCTACTAATTGCAAATTGATTTAAATTTTTGAATGATAACAATCGCTTTTTATTTTTAGATTATCTAGAAATACATTAAATAAGATCAAATATATTGAAGCACTTTACTTCCTAATAATTCACACTATATCTATCATCGATCTTATTTTTAATCAGCCGTGCACGTCATGCGTACACTTCCGAATATATTGTGAAAGTATTAATCAAATTATGACAATTTACACGACCTTAATTTTGGTATGTCAAAATACATGCTCGAAAATATATATCTTCGTTCAAAATGGCGTTCAGGTTGGTGTGTAGTCATTTTTGTGCTTGACTATTACTATTTATTTGCCGACGTTTTTTCTTTCAAGGCGATAGTGATGATTTAGATAACATAGGAATCTGACCTCTGGTATCACTATTTATGGTTACTATCATGTTTTTTTTATTCAAATGAAAAAATCTTGGGTCTAATCCGAAGCGGATAAAGATGCAGGAACAGAAATTATAAGAAAAACATATGAAGTCATTCTCAATTGAAAGTTTAAGATGGTATAGTGCTTGTTTTAGTAACATGTATAAACATATTTATTGAAATATTCGAAAAGTATCTAAATAGTTTTAAAGTACAATTGAGTAAATAACAACTATTGCAGCAGTTTTGTACATTCTGCCTATCAACCATTAAGTTTTATTGTGAATAGAAATTATTGTTCTATGAAAATAACAGATATGTTTAATGTTATTGATTTTAGGATATAATTGACAATCGAGTTTTTCCGTAATGACTATTATCGTATGTGATGACAATAAACTCAGTCGAAAGATCGCGTAGTCATAGCAAATTGCCAATAAAAAAGCAATGCTGTTTGCTTCTATATTAATATTTTTTTATAAGGTTGCCTTGTGTGTTTTTCTCCGATATTGTCAACTATTTCTGCTTTTAATATTAAAATTAATTTTTCGCATAGTTTTGACTGCATCGAGTTCAAGCGAAGTTATGTTGCTAAATATTTGTACATCTATATTATCGCTTAGATTAGACTATTATCATGACAGTTACAAATTCTAAGAAAGAGCATAAAATGTTAGTATATCTATAGGATTACCAGAAAACTGAAAGCACCTCGATGTTCATCATCACTAATTTATTAAACCGGCATACTACACATGTATGAAAGATTGAAATGTAGTCACGGTTCCCATAAGACTGTCAGCTCAAAACATTTTTCATGAGATAAGAGATACTGATTGACAAGAAGATCTTGTCCAAGTTCCCTTTGACACGTAGTTTATGCAATAGAAAATGTTCTGAAATACAAAATTTCTATATGAAGGGTATTAGTATTTACTCTTTAGTATAGTAATCGAATAAAAGAGAGGAGATGCTACAATTATAAATGACTTCGAAATATTCATCATATATAGATTTCATCATCAAATTCATTTCGTTCGAAATACAGCCAATGTGCAGGTGACTATCATATTCTGATCAGAATCTTCTTATGAATTATCTTAATGTTTATGAGCACACTAGTATGACAATTGAAATTTCATTCATACACGTTCTTGATCTACATATCTATTATTATTCTATGAATGTGGGAATCAAGAAGAGTTCGTCGTTGATTACTGTAAATTTATTTCAGGCTTAAAGTAATTATTAACTTACGATAAAGTATGTTTGATTAGAAGCTATTTGTCTTCCAAGACCATCATAGATAAAACAATTCCTATTATTTGAGATGTTACATACTTTATTTTACTGAAAATTTATTGTTTGGAATTATTGAATGGTGTTCAGAGTCACTATAATCTGCATGAAATTTTTGTTGATTCGAATGTTCATATTTAATTATTGCAAAGGTATATTCTATCATGTGTTTTTATCCGAACAAAACACTAAAGTTTTTCTGATAAATTTTTCTCCTTATGTTTATGACTCTATGTCTTAATTTGACATAACAAAAATTTTCTATACAATTTCTTAGATAAAATTAATAGCAAGAAATCATCATTATGGATTATATGGCACGGATTGATGGTGACAGCAGAAACTCATATTTTTGTAAGATTGAATTTATCATAGAAAATTCTAATTCATGAATTTCAATTCAATATTCCAATTATGGTGAGTCTCACAGAAAATTGTGCTCTCTTGGTTCATTGATAGAGCAACATTAACTCGTCTAACAAGATGACTAGCGTACAAGTATCTACTATGGTTTCAGTTGGAAGGAGAATGTTGATTTTTATTCATTAATATGGCCTCGTTCTTTTCGAATTGATTGTTTTTTTTTGTATATTTTTCTGCAACATATTATCATTTCTTTCGGTTAACAAAATTAAATTAAAAATATTTGTTTCAGACGATTTTACTTATTATTTATTTTAGATTGAATTTTGCAAGACCGTAAAAATATTTCTTTTACTAATTTTAAGACTATTGGAATCAAATTTTTCCTTTCAACAAAATTAGAGATCAACTTTACAGGTACATGAATCAGAACTGTGACATCATACTTAAAATCTCGAGTGAAACTTTAGGAAATACGTAGTGAAATTTTATGATAAGTATATTTTTGTGAAAAAGCATGAGGCTAGTAGCTATTTGAATTTTTATTAAACCCATACAAAAATATCTCTATTGAAAGTTTATGTTTATCATATCAATCGCTTTTAATAAATTCGACTTATATTTTAACTGGATAATCTAGTTCTTTTTCTACAATATAAAAACTGTTTATTTTAATCCTTTGCCCACTTTTGAGCATATTACCCCTTTTATGTGGATGAAATCATCGACACACAAATGTTTATTCTTTCCTAAAGTACATTTAGTAAGCATACAATCCGCTGACTAGTTTGTACACATGAGCAGATATACACTTTTTTCTTTCTCTCGGTAATTGGCATGGAATGATCAAAATATTTTCATCTGTTACATAGGTTAAGGATTTATTACTCAAAATGACTTTTTCTTTCTAGATTATATATTTAAGAAAAAAAACAAACATAAAAAGAATAGTCTTATTTTCTTTTGATCTTGTATTCAAAACAGAAAAAGTTGACCATGAATAATTCATCAACTACACGATCATTCAATCCGTGTTTAGTTTGTGGTGATAAATCAATTGGTTTCAATTTTGGTGTATTATCATGTATGGCCTGTAAAGCATTTTTTCGACGAAATGCTGTGAGACTTGGCGTAAGTTATTTCCTTTTGGATAATCCAGTATGTCAACGATATTAATTTTTGTTTAAGACTTATGATTTTACATGCCCAAAAGATGGCGATTGTTCAATCACTCATACATTTCGTCGTATATGTAATTGTTGTCGTTTAGCAAAGTGTTTTCGTGTTGGAATGCGAAAAGATCTAATACTCTCTGAAGCCGAAAAAGAAGCAAGACGGAAAACAGTTGCAAAAAATCGCCAAAAACGTGAACAAGTATTGAAAACACAATGTTTAGACATGGTATGTGTGAATCACCAGCTGCTTGCGTTAAAATAAATAGATGATGAACTATTTGTAAATATTTTACATTTTGCATGGAAATGCTTTTCGAACTAAACATTTTCATTGTGTATCAAATATTAAGTTGAATATTGTTCTACAACAACTTCATATTTATTCGAAAAGCATTGTTTTTGCAAACCTAGACAAGTCATTAATTCGCCTCGTTAATCTTTCAAAGGCATACAATCTTCTGTATTTAATTTCGATGTATAGGTCAATCGAAAAATATACTCTTGCAAGCATAGGCGGCGGAACGATTTCAATCTAGGGTAGGCTCAATTTTCCAGCGAAATTATGTCAGCCCAGGTCGATCAAAACGGAACTCCGTTACGGTCCGTTTACTGGAATCAGTTTTACGGACCGTATCTCTATTGTAAAATAGCCGTAATTAGTCATATTTTCATCGTAAACGATTTGGTATTACTGTGTTCAGTAAAGACACGTAGTATGAACCGTACATTGTGAAAATACGTCTACTTACGGCGATTTTACAATAGAGATACGGTCCGTAAAACTGATTCCAGTAAACGGACCGTGTCGTTCGACCTGGGAGGAAGATAGTCAGAAAATGACGCTCATCATATTTTTTCAATGCTAGACGCCATACGCCTTCTTGCTAGATTTTGATTCTGTATAAGTGTGATAACACTTTATAGTGCTTTATTATTTTTTTGAGATAAAACAAAAAATAACGAAGTATCACAGAACAACTACTTAACAAATTAAACGAGTCTAAAACATAATAAAATCATACAGCACCAAAAAATATTTTTCTATTTTCATTCTTTGAAATAAAATCAGAACAGACGCGCTTTAAATCCAGTAAATCTAATTTATCTTTATGAATCTGAGGAATAATAACGTGATTTAAACGTTGTTGACTCATTGTGCAGCGTAAATACGTTTTTATTCTATTAAGAACACTGAACGATCTTCTGGCAGTGGCTGTTGTTACAGGCACTGTCGAATATAATGTTATGTAATAATGCGTCATCTATCATGACAACAAAAACTGAACTATAAGAAAATACGTTTACATGTAATAGAGCCTACTCAAGCATTTAATTCTTATAGTTGGAGCCTATCCAAGCCTACCCACTTTTATTCTAGGGTAAGCTTGCGGCCACCCACGCCTAATGGCTCCGCCGCCTATGCTTGCAAGTACTTTGAATTCTTTTGAATTATTAATTTTACGCCTAGTCATATATCGTTCGTACAGTAACTCTGCATGAAACTTCAGAGATAGGTTTTCTTTCTCATCATTTCTTAGTTTAATAGGTCATACTTTAAGTCTCACGAAAAAAGCATCTTGATTCATCTCATCAGAATGGTGGAAATGTGGACTACGGCTTTTCTATTTGTTTTTCTTTTTCTTTCTTTATACGTCATTAGAAAAAAAAACTGCTTCCATGGCGTTCTCTCTAGTGTCTTTACCAGAATTGAAAAAAGAGCTTTTTAGCATACGCGTTACCGTCTTAGCTTGTTTCTTCTGGACATAATTACATTATCATATACATAAAATAGATTTATTTAATAACATGACGAAACTTTAACACTGTGACAGAATTAAATGAATCACAGACATGGAAAACATTTCTCTGTAAAAATAAATGCATTCTTTAGACGATCGGAAGAAGAATTTTAACGATTATATAATATTTTAGTTTAACAGAAGAAAAAAACCAATATTATTGTATGTAATTTTTTTAGTTCAAAACATAGAATATCGATATATTTTTATTCTATTCTATACCAATAGAATTTCATCCCAAAACGCTTGTTGTAGGTAATAAATTTCTAATTCATTGTTTGCTTAGGTTCCAGTATCAACTATACAATATTTTACACCTCATCAATTAACATATTTATCTCAATCTGATCGAATACTGTTAGGAAATGTTTTTAATACATATGAAACAACGTGTATTGCAGCAAGAAATTCTCATCTACCAGAGTTTCCTACAAAGAAACATACGAATTTATGTGATTTTTTAAATGAATATTCTCTTATGCATAAAGTCTTAATTGACTATTTCAAAGTTATACCAGAATTTAATACTCTCGCTATTGATGACAAAATATGTCTAATACGGAATCAATTCGGTGTTGTAAACAATATCAATGAAGCTATTGTTCATCCTGGTATTTCAAATAATTTAATTGTTTCATCATCAAATGTTTACGGTACTTATATAACGAATCGTCTCATCAAATCTATTCAACGAATAGCACCATTCACTAATGATCCTATTATACTCAAACTACTTCTACTCGTCGTCGCATTCTCAAGTGGTAATTGTAGAAATAGAAACGACACGGAAATGGATCAAATTTGTAATGATACTTTATCCATATATTTTGCACAAAATATTTATACTGAATTACTATGGAAATATGTTTTATCACGTTCATCAACTGAAATTGATGCAGTCAAATTTTTCGATAAATTAGTTCAATTTCTACTTTACTTATTAGATGTTCATTTACTTATCGATGGTTATATAAATGGTTTATATTTTGAAATAGAACAAATGGAACCATTAATGCAAAGTATGTGGCCAAAACCAATTAAAAGAGATAGTTCGTTGATGAGTGGCATGGATGTAGAAAGTGATTAAGATGCGACGTCAAACAAAAACTAGTTCATTTAAGAATAACCTTGAATTATGGTTTTTCTTGAAAAGCTATTGATTTTTCAATCAAAATAATTTTTCGATCTAAGAAAAACTTGAGCTTCTTTCTTTTCATGTTGAGTAGTTGTTATCGTAGACTTTACAAAACGAATAATTTTCTACGATTCTTCGTTAGATGATATTCAAAACCGGCACGGTTTGATCAAGAAGTTATTCTATCCCATGATTGGTAGTTTGCCAATATTTTATACGTTCAGTTAACTTTGAGTTGCTCCCTCTTGTATTGTAAAGAGGTTTTGATAAAATTGAATGAGCCGCTTGGTGATTGATTGTATTGTATATTCAACACAGTGTATGTGCATCGATGAAATTTCCCAGAAAATATTATTTTTCTTTTAGCAATAAATATATATTTTTATATTGTGAAGTTTTTTTAATTGTAATATTATTAAACGAGCACTTTAAATAGCGATATTTTTTCAATGTTGAAATATTTATATTTTGTCTCACGTGTTTTCAGATAAAACAACAAACCCGATCTAATTTACTATCAATACTTCTTTAAACAAATAACGTGGAATATTCTGAGCCCATCAACATAAGCAGTTGCCGGTAAGAAATGAGTTAGTTTGAACAATAGCATATTATTGCACAGGATATGGAAGGTATGATTATTTTTTGTTAATCTATGGTTAGTTCATAAAACTGCATATACCGGGATGAAAAAACAGTCATTTGCAATCTCGAACTAATTAATTTGAAGAGTTCTCAAAGAGAGCTCTCTCAAATAAAAATAGTGACTATGATATAGCCGCATTTACTAAATACAAAGATCTTTATTTTCTATACCTATTCTAAGATCCATTTCCTTGCAATTATCTTATATTCCATCCTACAGAAATGTCATAGAAAAGTAACCTATATACTATGGCAAGATTTTCATTCATTTTCATTCTTACATCATATATCAACAATGTTCTCAACGTTCAGTGAAGAAAAACAATTTCACTGCATGCTCCAAAAAGCATGGATCCCATTATTGACGGAAAATACTCAGCATGTCATGTTCTTCAAATGTACGAGAAAGTAGTCTCTGAATACTAGTTTTACGAGAAGAAATAGTTATTCAATATGAAGTGCAGTTTTTCTGGTATCGTGCAATGAACTCGATGCAATCAGCACGAAAAAAGTCGACTGAAGTTTAGCAACAAAAGTATCTCACATACACGATAGCAATATGGTGAAATACAACATTTTGGTCTGCGCATATCCGCATCGTTAATAAATATAGTTCTTGTGAAAGAAGACATAGGTAACATCATTTTAATCTATAAACATATATTTTTACAAGATACTACTCTAAATTGATATGTACTGTCACAAAAACTTTTGGTGCATTGATGTTAATATTGAACACGTTCGAGATACTTTGATCCAGTGGTAGGTCATGTCATAGGCTTCCGTCGGTAGTCAATAATGAAAAAAAGTATAGATTCTTATATTTTCTTCTTGTCTATCAGACATTGTAACCCATGTTGCGAATACCGGATCATTTTTTTGCGGTAAACCGCGGTATTTATCCGTTCTGCGGTAATGGGAGCCGGTAGCCGAACCGGTAAAACCGCGGTAAACCGGCGGTTTTTTGCGCATGTTTATCACATGCAAAAGTAAAAAAAAAGGGTGATTAAAATAGTTTAATTGATGATTTGGAAGACTTTTTCTGTCAAAGATTATAGACGAACCGGTTAACCGCTTTTTTTTAGCGGTAACCGCGGTATTAATCAAAACCGGCGGTTTACCGCGGTAAATATCGGATCATTTTTTGCGGTAAACCGTGGTATTTATCCGTTCTGCGGTAATGGGAGCCGGTAACCGAACCGGTAAAACCGCGGTTAACCGCCGATTTTCATGCGGTTTTTATTACATGGGAAATCTATCTACAAACCATTATTTTGACAAAAACCACCATTCAAACCTGACATATACAGAATGTTTGTTCAGTCAAGATTTTGCAAAATCTTATAAGTTTAGACACCGATTAAACTGAATATTTTCAATATTCTCGCGTTGACATTACTGTTTATTTTTACTGAAATGAACTGTACACACATGTTGTCGTGGAATTACAGTTTTTATTTTTAACTATCTATGAAGTATCATGATTATCTTCTTTAACTTTTAAAGATTTACGTGCTTGTCTATTCCATCTTTAAAATATTCGTCTCATTTATTTTATCATAATCTGAAGAATAGAACATACCTCCTTTTTCAAACGTTCTTTCTTTTCGCTGTTTAATTACGGAAAAGGTATTAGACAAAAACAGTTTAGGAGAATAAGAACGAAAGCGAGAGAGAAGATTAGATTTTTCATGTATGATATATATTGAATTTTAAGATGAAAGTTAAACGTACACAGATTAACGCTAATTAAAATATTTTAAAGAGAAAATACATTGCTCGGTTATCATCTAGATTTAATCCTTTAAGATAATAAAATGAATAATTCATCTATGTAATGTGCTACGAGAAAAATTCTCAACAGTATAGTTTTTATTTTATTTTCGTATTATATTGCAACAAAAGCTCAAATTTTTAAAACTAATTGACATTGAGAATGCATTTTCATTGTTAATGTACTCTGCTTAAGTGTTTCTGAATGTGAATCTTATTAATTTTCCAGGATCAGATGGCGTTGTCAAAAACTACTGTTCAGAATACATCTAGATTTCTTAATATTTCCAGTGAGCATCCGTTAAAAACTAGAAAAGTGGAAAAATAGCTATAGAGAGGCGTTTTACTTTAGAGTTTGTGATAAATTTCTTTTGTCGCAAGGCTTCGTGGCGATGTTTTTAACAATTGGACAAGTTTTGGAACTATGTATTTTATGTTAACATGTCTATTTCCTTCAGCAATAGCTATAGTGGAATATTTATTGAAAAAACATTTAAAATGTTCAGCAAATCCTTATAAAAACATATTTTTTCCTTATTTTTCGAAATAGGGTCCTTCGAGCTCGGTTACGAAAAACATTTCTTTTCTATTTTTCTGGGAATAATATTTCTACTAGAATTTTGCGTAAAATTTAGACCGATTACGCATTTGATAGTTTTTTTTGCAAGATATAAATAAGCTTCGATGACAATAATGAGTAACAAATGCATATTTTTATCTAGATTCGAACTTTAAAAAAAATCAAATACCGAATGGCTTATAATCATTATATGTCAAATGATTTTGTTTAGTAAATAAAAACACGAACACCTTTATTTTCCAATGATGTTCATTATTCATGTATTGCTTAGTCACAGCAGTCAGATAAAAATTATAAATTCTAGAGAAACTGGAAAAGAGAATATGTTGCCCATTAAAAAAGCCCGTATGATTATTTTTATCGTTGCTGAACTCATTTGCTGAAGTATTAGAAAAATCACAATAGTTTTTTATTAGAAACATTTATGAAAACTTGAACATCAGAAAAAAAATCATCTTCTTTCGATATCGTTCCTCTTTTCTTCATTGTATTAAGAAGTATAAATATTTAGATATTTTCGGTAAAACATAAGTGTTAACATTGATTGTGACAACGAATTCTCATCTAAACTCAATCCATCTGCAATAAAAGATCACGAAAACAATAAATAAGGTAGCAACAGTACTCGAGATTTATTATCTTAGTGATGTCAAACAAAGATCATGGTTAGTGTTTAGTATGTAATGATGTTGCCATTGGTATCAATTTTGGAGTACCAACTTGTATGCCATGTAAGGCATTTTTTCGGCGTAATGCAATTCAAATTGGTATAATTTTAGTGTCGATATTCAATTTATTTCAAAATACTCGTTGTGTTTTTTGGCAGAACCGTGAATATGTACGCAAAAATGATGGTGGTTGCTAAGTTTCTTTTAAATTTGGACGTCACGGTAACCGCTGTCGTTTGACAAAATGTCATAACATCAGCAGTAGCAGAATTATCACCTAGCAGAATTCAAGAATTCTACTGTTCAATACAAGCAAAGTTCTAGTAAAATTCTGCTGTGAATACAGAATTCTTACATTCTGGTTGTGAGAATTCTGCCCACCCTCATCTAAAGTAGACTGAGCTCTTTCTTCAATGTTATACACTCTCAATTCAGTAGCAAACATAACTGTTACCGGGTAAATTTTTATATCTAATTAATATTTGTACCAAGCTTATTTTCTTTCATTGATACAACTAGCTGCGATTTTAGATGACAACGATTGAAATTTCAAAAATCCCTTGGAGCTCCTTATCGAGCAGGAGAATTATCATGGTTATTTTTTATGTTCTCAATGTAATGGAATTCTAAAAGTTGAAAGCTAGCCCAGTCTTATGGAACATAACCACACGCGACTGAGCTACCATGAAACCTGTAAGAGTGACCGCTCCACAGCTTGTCACATTATATCTGTTTTGGTACCGCTTTAATCGTAAGTAGTTAGAGTCCATTATTTTGATCTGATAGTATAAATAAGAAATCCAATAATTAAAATTTCTTTTATCATGGTACATTCCACAGAATATTCCAAATCACTCGTTTGTATTAAGATGGATTTATTTGATAACATCTATTTCTCCCTTTTCTTGAGCTATATCGTTAATCACGCTCTATTTTTGTAGAACATGAAGACTGGATATTTCGCTGAAAAAGAGGAGTTAATCAATCGGTTAAGAAACTGCTGTATGATCATTCGATTAACTCTGTTTCTTTTCAAAATCCTATAGCAATGGTTTATTGATTAATACTGAATGTTTCGCTGCTTATAGTGCTCTGGTGTTTTTACCTGATAATGTCGTACAATGAACCAGAAAAACTATCAAATCATGCAGCTTTTAAGAAACATTTTATATAGATTTTCGTTTAAACCATATTACGTCGCATTTATAAAGAAGTGTTTTTTAGTCTATTAGTATTTAAAGTCGTTCCACAATCGATAATTGTTTTGATGGCTGCGCTAGAAATGGTCATTTAATTGCATCAGCAATTCACTTTGCATGTACAGATGCACGAATGTTAATTATTTTAGTTTGGTTTTAGATATAACGTAGTTTTCCATAATCTACTACATCATCAGTAACTTTTTCTTTATTAGCTCATGTAAAGTCGATTAGCTTCTAGCTACTAAAAACATATATTACCGACCTACTACACGTTTCATATTTAACGCATTCAAATGAAAAACGGAGAACATAAGCGTTGTTTAGTATGTGATGATGTTGCAATCGGTATCAACTTTGGCGTACCAACATGTATGCCATGTAAAGCATTTTTTCGACGTCACGCAAGTAAACAAGGTGTAAGTTAAATTATGAGAGAGAAGACATTTTTGATCCAATTTCTTATGTGTTTTCTTTTTCTGTCTTGTTCACAGACCAGTAAATTTATTTGTGAAGATGTTGGCAATTGTGTAATAACGTATAAATATCGTCGTGTGTGCAATGGTTGTCGTTTGGCAAAATGTTTTCATGTTGGAATGAAAAAATCATTAATTCTTTCGAATGATGAACGTGAAGCTCGAAATAAACTCGTGGCCATCAATCGACTGAAGCGTGGAAAAGTTCCTAAAGAGGAAACCATAGTATGGGTTCGTATTAAATTAATATTTTGTATTGCAAGTTTCAATAGAATAATATCAAAAAAAATCGGAAGGTAAACGTAGTAAACCGACCCAGGTTGAAGAATTCAGTGACCTGAATTCCGGTCGGATTGTTCGCCTTCGTCGTGGGGAGCTTGCAATACTGTTTACGGAACCATTTTGTTAGGTTTTATGCAAAAATTCTCAAAACCCTTTCAAGTTCCATATTTCGTTCTAGATTCATTATAAATTCTCAACTTTTTCACCGAGAAAAGATTCAGTGTAGCACCTTTTTTTCGAGAGTAGTAAAATTCAACTATTTGAAGAGGTTCAGTACTGTCTAACTGAGTATGAAGTTCTCACTTTTCCTATGAAATGTATAAGTATCTAATGCATATTTACTGTAATTTAAAGATGCAACCACCATTATTACTTCATGTGAAACAGAATCCCTGTCAACATCTGTCTCCCGGTGACCAAGTTGTTCTAGCCAATATATTTTATGCCTACGAAAATACTTGCATAGCGGCCAAAAATACTCGATTTCAGTCATTCCCTTCGATTGCGCATACTTCAATACATAAATTGCTCAACGAACTCTCCCCAATGTTCGAGATATTCATTGAATATTTGAAACTAATACCAGAATTTAACAATCTACTTATTCAAGACAAAATACGAATAATGCGAAATCATTTTGGCAATATGATCAATATTAATCAACCTTTGATGTATTCTGTAACTCCCACTAATCTTCTTGTAACATATACAAATGTATTCAATACTTATATTACTAACTGTCTGTTAAAACGTAACCAAATAGTTAATCAGTTTATGTTTGACCCTATTGTATTAAGAGTTCTTCTTATTATTGTTGTGCTTTCAAGTGGGAACTGCAGAAGCATAGACGATATGGATATGGATCTAGTTTGTGATGACACATTATCGATATTTTCTGCTCAGAATATTTATGTTGAACTGCTATGGCGATATATCTTATCACGTTCATCAAATGAAAGAACTGTAGTGACGTTTTTCAATAGATTACTGATGTATATATTTCATGTACAAAATATTGGCATGCGCATCGACAATTATATGAATAGATTTACGCAAGAAATCGAACTAATGGAACCTATGGTGCAAAGTATGTGGCCAAGAAAGCGCAACGACGAAAATATGAATGTTTCAAATACCGGTTAGAACATTATAGATAATAATTGCTGTATTCAAGTTTATATCAGTGTTTATTTTGTTTTTTCCTCGTGATGGAAAAATTTTCAAACTTGATCTGTAAGAAAGTATATAAGTATTTTTGTTAGCATGATTAAGAGGATTAATAAATTTTTTTCAATTGTTTATTAAGATTGTTGTACATTTTCTGCATAAAAAATCTTACAAACCAGTATAACTACGTATAATTTTTTCTTTTAGATAAATGTATTCGTCGATGAGATCTGCTATTTATGTCTTATTTGATATGATATCAATCGATTCGGTCAAGAGCGCGCCTAGAAAAATTCTATTAAGAACATCACTATAAAAATCGTTGTTTTACAACAGAAACGTAAAATGAGCTAAGACTACAATATATACAGTGCTGTGAAAAATTATAGAATCACATTGTACCTTGCACTTCTTTCGAATTTTATTCTCTATCAATATCAATTTTTCGTTTTAAATTGATCGTATATACATAAAGTCAAATGTGGGCGTGGGTATCCCTGCATCAAATAGAAAGTTTACATCCACGCCCACACCCACACCCTGAGCCCAACCACCGACGCTACGCGTCCCACCACTAACCATTTTTAAAGAAATATTTTTTTGACAACGTTAAACACAATAACACAACATGCTTGCATTCGCTCCTGTCTCTTTTTCGGTTGATACTAAGTTATAATGGCCTATTCAGTATAGTTTTACTCACCATTTTATCTCTCAGAGTAGATGACCCTCTGTCGTTGCATTAATTATTGATGCATTATCACTTGGTCAATGATTTGCTTCTTTTCTTATAATGATCTTACAACAGAAGTAAGCTACACAAGCAGCATCGTGAATATATTCGAAATAGATAGTATTTTTGTTAATTTAGCATGTAGCTGGATAATAAACAATTAAAACCTGGTACTATTCAATCGTTTTTTCGCTCATCTTTCAAGAAGAAAGAACACTTAGTAAAATGAAGCTGACAAAAACCACCGTACGTAATGCAATGTCGAATAGTCGGTTGAATGCGACTTCGACATTAATTTCGAAAAACTTGTGGATAATTTTTCTGATTTGCACAAAAACAATAGAGTTATTTTTAAAATAGAGCTTTGTAATTATGTATTTCTTTTTAATAAACAAACGAAGCGTTGTGTTAAAAACAAATTTCAAGATAAATACATCATTGCATCGCATTCTTGTTCTATGAAAAACATTATGACTCACCAAAAATAACTTTTCGAAAAAACCGTTAGGGCTCAGTCCAACCACCCGGTAAATCTTGGTTACGCCACTAAATGAGACGTCAACTCCAGATGACAATACTTGTTTTTTTTGCTACATGAGCATAATCTCGCTCGCTGATAATAAGAATGATAAAATATTGTGTGAAAACTGATTTCATCGCTGAGGATGTTATACGCACTAGAAAACCTGTGGCTCGTTAGAAATATATTTTTCGAAACAACGCATTTACAGTTGCGTTAGAAAAAGTAGGTCCTTTCTGTGATAAACGAATGCTTTGAAAGGGATTTATTTGCGCGTTTCAAAAGGTCAATATTCGAATAAAATTTCGGTTGAAAATACGATTGTACAGGGCCTGAGTAATTATATACCCATACAGCTAAAAGCAAGTAAAAACAACTAATAAACCATACCAAGACATATTTTTCATTTAGAATGAAACAAGTTTGAATGGTGTTCGAATCGTTTTCTTTTTTCAATAGAGTGTGAGTTTAAAAAGTTCATCTCAATAACATGTAATACATTGTGAAATAAGCAGGTTGGATCAATAAAATAGCCATTAATGCTTATTTCATCGTTATTCGCAAACCTTCAACTGAAACTGATAGATGTGCTCAGTAGCCTCCATAATATAGTCACTTGCTTAATATTTTTTTTGTTAACCATTCTGAAGCATATTTTTGTTTAAAATTTCGAGCATTATTTGCCAGCAGTGTCAGAATTCTCACCTAACAAAATTCTGCTAAGAATTCTGTATTCCTTATGATTAGTTGACAAGCAAAGTTCTAGTAAAATTCTGCTATGAATACATAATTCTTATATTCTGGTTGTGAGAATTTTGCCACCCCTCGTATTTGTACAGCTGGAAATATAAATTTATTGTTCTTAGAAGGTCGCAACAGCATCATTATTACGCATGCGAACAAGTTCATTTCAATATTTATCTTCAGATGGTCAAGTCCTTCTATCCAATGTCTTTCAGTCATATGAAAATACTTGCGTACTAGCAAAAATACCCACTTTCAATCTTTTCCTGTTATTCAACATACGTTCATGCATTTGCTATTAAATGAAATGGCACCGGTGTATCAAACGTTCGTTCAATTTTTGAAATTCATACCTGAATTCAATAATATCATTATTGATGATAAAATAAGGTTATTGAGAAATCATTTTGGTGTTGTAACTAATATTAATGAATATTTTATGTTTTCTGTCATACCACACAACCTTATTATGACGTTTACAAATGTATTTGGAACTGATATAACGAATGGTATTTTCAAACGAAATAAACTTATTGATCAATTTATTTTTGATCCTATTCTATTGAAACTTGTTCTGGTTATTCTTGTAATTTACAATACGAATAATAGAAATCTGCATTATATAGATATGAAAGTACTTTACAGTGATTCATTATCGATATATGCTGCACAAAATGTTTACTATGTTGAACTGTTATGGCGATAGATTCTATCACGTTCATCAGCAGAACAGGATGCAGTGAGAGTTTTCAATAGGTTAATGTTGTGTGTATTATATATGAAAAATGTTGATATCGTTATCGATGGTTTTATTCGTAATGCAAACCGAGAAATTCAACAAATGGTGCCTATGATTCAAAATATGTGGCTAGGGACATGTGATGATGAGGATAAAAATGATACGAATTTTTCTGAAGAAAATTAGTTATTTGTTTATATTTTGAATATAATATACTTCAGAAAGATTGGTGTCACAGAAGCTTGACACTCTTCGATTCGAATTATTGCTAATCTCTGATTATGAAGAATGGTGTTGTCGTTAGATTATTGAAGCTTTTAAAATGTTTTATATTTGTATTTGTGAAATATTTTCAATATTAAGTTGGCGATGATGTAAAATTGTGAGTTTCTAGTTTTATATTTCGAGTTCTGTTTCGGAATTTGTGTGAAAGTGGTGTGCTGCTGTTTTGGGATGGATATTTTTATTTTCGAAGCCTATGCCATCTATTTTACAATATTGATATGAGAAAATTAATTTAGATAAATGTCCTTCAAACTTTGCAACAGGATTAATCGAAATTGTTGTAATAAAAATATTAAAATTATTTTACCTACTGAATAATTTATTCATCTTTTTAATAATGCTTTTAATTCGTTAATATTACTATTATTGACGAAATAGAACCGTTAAATGCGACTGATCATTATTCTTAAGTTTAATCGAGCTGTATTAAGCTTCGATTGAATCACGACCTTGCTATGTTATTTATTTCTAATAAAATAACTATCAAAGAGTATGCTGAATTAAGTTCACACATTTATGTTTCATGAATGGCATGGAATGCAATTGATGCAGCCAGGAGTATCATGAGATGTACCATCTCTCGGTGATTTATAATTTACAACATTCGTCACCTCGATAAAATATAATAAATTAATTTTACACAAAAATTTTAAATATAATACTCGACTAAATTTCAATTTATTGGTAGAAAAGGTTATAAACGAATTCACAATAGATATGAAACCAAAATTACAATTGTAACATAATGCACTGTTTTCATTGATGTATAGTTTTGTAATCACGATTTTAATTTGGAAAAATTAACACTTAACATTGTCTGGCTCATATGCAATGCTTTTCAATTATGTAAAATACACGATTATGTCTACAATTGTCTCTCGTTAACGTTCGATTTTATTTTTTTAACCGCTTTATTTTATAACACGGAGAAGTCCCGACGTTTTGTTTTTAGTGATTCAAGTATAGTTGTTTTATAGAATTAGAAAACTTATCAACTTTTTTAGCATGCAGTTAGAAGAATATTTTATGCGACAAAAAGTATCGATTACTGTTAGATCCGAAACTATAAAAGTTGTTTACATTTATATAGTAAAATTTTTCAATATTGATTATTACATTTCATGCCATTAGAGTGCATCTGAATTTTTCAGAGCATTGACATATGTTTATTGCAACTTTTTCATTGGCAAACATATTTGTCAAGCTCATAGTTGTAATATATAAACTCGATAATTTCAATCTTTCATAGCTCTTGGAATCTTTTGTTATTTTTCTTCAAGTGATTTTCATTTTTTTCGAGAATTAAAAGTTCGATCTTTCTGCTACTTGAAATCAGGTCTCAGAAGATACAGATGAATCTGAAGATCGGGCTGGTTCAAGCATTTTCTATATACAGTAATAATTCCATGAATTCTAATATTTATTCTGATTACTAAACGACAATTTTTTTTTCTAGATTTTTAGATCTTTTTTAATTTGAATTCATTTTCAGAACCAGTTATTTCCATTATTTTTGTATTTAAAACTAACCAACTTTCAATAACTTATAACGAAACGATATTGATAATTAATTATATTTGATAGTTTGAATATATTCGAAATGCCTCGTAAACCTCATGGTCAATGTTTAATATGCGATGATGACGCCATTGGTATCAACTTTGGCGTACCAACATGTATGCCATGTAAAGCATTTTTCCGACGTAACGCAAATCTAGTCGGTGTATGTTGCATATCGCTATAGAATTTTCTTTTTTTTCTATCTGAAAACAATTTTCTTTTTCTTTCTAAGACTCGTGATTTTATATGTCAACATGATGGAGAGTGTTTAATAACATATAAATATCGTCGTTCATGCAATTGTTGTCGTCTGGCAAAATGTTTCCGCGTTGGAATGAAAAAGTCATTCATACTAACTGATGAAGAACGTGAATCTCGTAATAAGGTAGTCGCAGAAAATCGTCTCAAACGTGGAAAAATACCGAAACCGCAAACTATCGTATGGGTATGTGTTATATACATACGTACTTATAGTAGTAGTGGCAGGTTGAGTGAGAACGTTTTTGCACCACAAATCTGGTCTTCTACTTTGAGAGACAGACATAAAATAAGCTAATAAATTTTGTAGACCAATTTGAGAGTAGCATAAGCAAAATATTAAAACCTCAAATGATGAGTATAAATCAATAGGTGTTTATAAGGCCTACAAATAGTTTGTATCTTTCTGCTTCAACTGTATGCTTATAATTATACATATTGAAAACATATATTTATTACTTAAATAGATGCAGTTGCCGAAATTACTTAGCGTATCACCAAACTCAACTCAATATCTTTCTCCGTTAGACGAAGCTCTTCTTTCAAATATTTTTCATGCATATGAAAAAACTTGCATTGCAGCAAGAAATGCTCAATTTCCATCTTTTCCTGCAGCGAAATATGATTCATTACATGATTTTTTCAATGAAATTTCTCTCGCATTTCCAGTATTTATTGAATATTTTAAACTTATACCTGAATTCGAAAATATTATGATGGACGATAGAATACGCTTATTAAAAAATCACTTCTGTATTATTGTTAACATCAATGAATTTTTAATGCATCCAGAAACATCAAGTAATCTTGTTGCAACATGGACAAATTTATTTGGTATCGATGTAACGGAACGTCTTTTAAAACGTAATCAATTACTTGATGCATTTCTCTATGATTTTATTCTATTGAAACTTGTTCTTATTGTTCTCGTCCTTTCAAGCAGCAATAGTAGAAATATTGATGATGTGGATTTAGATCTTATATGTGATAATTCATTGTTGATATTATCTGCTCAAAATGTCTATGTAGAATTATTATGGAAATATATATTATCACGCACAGACAACGAAAAAGATGCAGTAAAATTTTTCAATAAATTGATTATGTGCATTCTGTATGTTCAAAACATTGATATGTACATAGATGGACACATATGTGGCTTAACACATGAAATTAATCAATTAGAACCTTTGGTAAAAAATATGTGGCCAAGAACAGATCAAGAGGATGAGATCACTGACACAATATTAACGGAAGATATAGCTGACATTATCATAACTGAAGATATCGTAGATAACATCCTAACTGAAGATATCATAGATAATATCCTAACTGAAGATTTACCTGATATTAGTTTCATGGAAGATCTTATTTTCTAATGCAGTAATCTATTATTAATTATTATCAATAGAAAATTATCGAGTTTATTTTCTATATATTTTATATTTGTAGATCAAATGGATATTAGCTTCACACCAGGAATAATATACAAACATATTTAGATCACTATAGATGCCGATATTCTCCTGCTTTTTGTGAATATCATTCTTTATTGTGTTTGTTAAGACAGTGTTTTACTTAGATTTACATTCAACTATGCGTTTAAATAAACAACTGGGAAATCTATTAATTAATATTTCATGTGAAAAATTTTCAGATATACAAAGTTCAAAAATATCGTAAACAAAATTCCACTTTCAAACTCTGAAATATAACGTTTTTGTATTAGATTCAAAACAAGAAAAAACTTAAACTATTCTTGCAGCACTATGGATTGATTGGTTTGCAATGAAATTTTGTAATTGATAGTATGAGTTTCATTGCTGCACTAGATTAATCTGCCTGTTACAACCATGGCTTTCAATAAAACAATCTAATTAAATTCTAGAGTTCTTTCGACTAGATACCGCAACGGTTACTAACAAAGAAAAGTGTGTACACATATTGAAACTACTCTGAATCAATATGAACTTGAGTGTCATATGCAGACTACTGAGTAGATGACGTTCTTTTTGCTAATTTTTCATTGACAAGGAAACAATGGTCAAAAAACGAAATAGACGAAAGACATAATTATCTATCGGATAAGTTTAGAAGCAGGCTTTAAACTATCGAAAAGTACTAAATAAAAAGCCTATTGTTTCTTATTTGCCCTCTAAAATCTTTATTGATCAGAAGTAACTTTAGCTACATATTTCTTAATACAAAAGACTTTCAACGGCATTACTGTTGTTGTGTACTCAAGAAAAGTGAGTACACTCTAGAATAGGTCAGTGTGTCCGGCCGTTAACACGATAACTTTTGAAAGCCTCATCCAATTGTCATGAAATTTTGTACACAGATTGATCTCATCAATATCTCAGTCGAGTTCCAAGATGAAAGCAATCCGTCAAGAAATGGTTGGGTTATCGAAAAAATTGTCATTTTTGACCAGACCAACCCTGAGGAGCGGTACAGGGATTTTTTTCAAAAAACAAATTTTTCTCAGAATTATTCACAACATATATAAATCGACTCGGTTTTTAACGCTGATTCCGAATCTGATATTAGCTTTGAACTAAATCGTAGTTTTCTAACGAAACATCGCTTGAAAAACGTCTCAAAATGCACAAAAACTGCATCCAGAAATCAAATTGCCTAGCTTCTCATGATAATTTTCGTGTTCAGACATTCTAGAATGACTCATATGTCCCATGCACCTTTTGCAGTACACATAACTCTCGAATGGAATCCGAATTTTCCACATTTATTTTTTAATTGAATTCTGAAAAGACTTGTCTTCTTACTTGCATACTACTCTATAGTTTCAATGTGTCATTATGCACTTTGGTTTACTAACAAATAAACCTTCACCTGGCTTCATTGCATCATGAGTAGGATATTCAAATCCATTGTACTACTGGAGTCGCTTCGTCTGGACTCACTTTGCATGTCGATCCTCTAGCGCCTCCTTCATAGGATGACTGATCAGGTCCTGATTGGTCATTGCGATTATTGTCTCTATTTTCAATCTGAGTATGAAACCAAATGAAAATAAGTCAGACAGATTTTCACTACTAGTAACACTCGCCGTAACTACCGTATTAAATCGATTTCAAGTGCTTTTTTTCTTTCTTAAAATTCATTTCATTCGTATCTTCCTTTAAGAACGTTCTATTTCCAAACAGAAAAAAAAGATAAAGAAAAAGAGTGATGAATCACAGTTAAACTTGTTAAAGAATAGCAAACTACCTATAAATGCAGGTCTTTTTTTTTGTGTTTCGTTTATTTTTATTAGATAAGAAAAAATGGTCGACACAAAAGACCAAGGTCCATATTATCGAATAAGTGATACAAAAAATGCTGATTTATTACGTGAACGCCAATCAGCAACATTTGATGTTGAAGAACTTACACAATTTATGTTTGCTGGTCCAAATAATTATTTTAATGTTAATATACGACGTCAAATTAGTAAGAGATTTTTTTCTTATTATATTAAACATATTATGTTTCTTTTCTTCAGCTCGTCAAGCCTATGCGTATCCAATCCATAAAACGCATTTGCCATTGGAATATCTCGATAGTGATGAATATTATTCTGTTGTTATTCGTAAAAGTTTCGCAGGTGTTAAAGAAGCTGACCGTTTAAATATAACAAATAAAAAATATCGTGATTGGTTTTTAAATATTTTCTGTGGTGGAAAATTTGCTTTTCAACTACATACAAGTATGTTTATTCATACACTTGAAACATTGGCTAGTGATGAACAAAAAGAAAAATTTTTACCACTGGCACGTTCATTTCAAATAATCGGTACCTATGCTCAAACAGAATTAGGTCATGGCTCAAATTTACAACGGCTTGAAACGGAAGCTGTTTTCGATCGTACAACCGATTCATTTATACTTAATATGCCAACATTGACTGCCACAAAATTTTGGCCTGGTGCATTAGGTCGATCATCAAACTATGTTTTACTTATGGCACAATTATATGCACCAGATCGACATCATCCATGTGGTTTACAAATGTTTTTTGTTCAAATACGAGATTTAAAAACACATCAACCATTACCAGGTAAAATTGCATGCAGTGTTTGGTTAGATTACTCAGAGTTGTTTTTAGGAGTGGAAGTCGGAGAAATTAGTACTCGATTTTTTCACGAAGCTGGTGACAATGGATATCTTCGCTTAACTAATGTACGCATTCCACGAAACCAAATGCTGACGAAATTAGCTTATGTATGTATTTTACAGTTAGAATAAAAAACTTAAAAATTAAATTTTTTAAAATTTATTCAGGTAGATGAACAAGGTACTTTTCATCGTCTTGCTGATCCTCGTCTACTTTACGGAGCAATGCTTGCAACACGTGTTAACCTTTGTGCATTTTTTGCACTTTTACTTGCACGTGCTGTTACAATTGCTGTACGCTACTCAGCTGTTCGACGTCAAGGTCAAACTCCAAGCGGGTAACTTTTAAAAGTGTTTTATTTCGCTTTATTTCAATGCGTTTTTTAAAGAAAGGAAACACTTATTCTTGATTATCCATTACAGCAAGATAAATTGGTACCATGTATAGCTTCAACTTACGCATTTTTTTATTCGTTTATGAAACTGGAAAACCTACGCGCACAAATTTTAGACGGAGATACTATCTTATTCGATCGACTAGCGGAGGTAATAATTATAATTCTCTGTTTTTCTTTCTATGAATAATAAGAGTGGAAAGTTAATATTACCGGATAAAAGAAAATGAATGGTTTTGATTCTTTCATTGAATACGTGTTATTAGAGGAAATTAATGACTTTAGTATAAAGTCTGTAATCAAATTTGATAAGAGGTTATAAGGTTTCTCAAACAGGCGTTTCTTTTTCGATAGAAAAAAAACTCTAGCATATTTTCTTTCATTCGGTATCTGTTATCTTTCCATAATCGATTCATAAAAAATGCATTGATTTTTCTTCTTAAGCTTCATGCTGTATCATCTGGTTTAAAAGCATATTCATCAGGAATAGCTGAACGATTCAGTCAAATATGTCGTGTGGCTTGTGGCGGTCATGGATATTTAGTAGCTAGTGGAATAAAACCTGTTAATAATATGCTTGATGCAGGATGCACTTATGAAGGTGATAATGCTGTTTTATTTCAACAAACAGCGAGGTAATCGATTTTGAATTACTAGAAAGTAGTTCACAATCTTATCTCTATGAATAGATTTCTTGTCAAAGCAATTCAAAAAGACGATGATGAAATGAATATTGACTCATCGATTGCTTATTTATTTTCAACAAAACCAGCTCCAGCAGCGATTGTTGATCTTGATGATTACTGTCGCTTATTTGAATGTCGGTCACAAATGTTAGTTATTATTTTAAGAATATGAATTTTATTTTTGTATTTCAAAAATAAATAAATCGTCTAGGCTTTTAAAATCAATTTCTAATCGATTAATGGAATCATCGTCACCATCATCAACACCGCATGATATATTTGTAAAAAATTCCATCGAGCTCGTTCATGTGGCTAAAGTATGTTTTGATGACAAACACGAATTGATTTTTGTACTCGTTCTCTATTGAACTATTTAGGCTTATATTGAAACATTCGTTTTACGAGCATTATATGATGGTGTACGTAAAGCATTGGGACATAATTCGTTAGCTTTAGTTTTTGAACAGCTTTTTCATGTGTTTGCTATTCATACTTTAAGAAATCAAGCAGCCGATTTTATTCGAGTAAATTGATGAAATAGAAAATCTAAGTAACGAAAAATATACTATTGTATTTTCTTTTCAGTTAAAATTACTTACAGCTGAACAAGTTTATCAATTAGAAACTTACAGTTTACCGGACATGTACAATCGTCTTCGACCAAATCTTGTTACACTCGTTGATGGTTTTGATTTTCATGATAATGAACTTAGTAAGTAGTTTTTCTTTTCCCTATGATTAACATTTATTTATGCAAAAAAACTAGATTCCTGCCTTGGTCGATATGATGGTCAAGTATATGAAGCACTAATGGAACGAGCACGACTTAATCCAACCAATCAGCATAAAGTAAAAAATAGATAGATGAAAATCAGATTTAATCTTCTTTTTGCATAGGTTCATCCTATTTGGACATCAATTAGACAAAATCCAACGTCGAAACTCTAAGATTTGAAATTTGTCTGTCATAAAAAAACGAATTGCGATTTTTACTTCTTTAATTTTAGGTTCTAGATTAATAAAGAACATGATGCATCGATTTCGAGAAATTGAATTTGAAAATTTTCGAAAATTCTCAAAAGAGATATCAGTAAAAGAAATCAATACACAACGAGTAAAAGATTCGAGAGCTCTTTACACTTTCTTTTCCTATATCGATGTTTAAAATGAGCATTTATAAGTAATCTACTGTAAGATACAGATCGTAGAAGTACCTAATTTTATATAGAAAATGATTAACATGAATTTACTAGAATGGAATATGTTCCTTTTTTTATTTCTCAACGAAAAAACTTTCAATATTGCATATTTATTTAAGTTACTGCCAGTATTCTGCAACAGGAAGTCTTCCACAAGATAGCCAATTATGGAACTACCGCTAATATAGTACATATTACAGCGAGTAATTTATTTTTGGAATTTAGTCATTTGAAATAGCGCTAGTTTATTTGTTTTGCATTCATCTTTTAATGGACAATATTACGTTTGCAATATTTTTTTGTTGAAATTACAATTAGTGATTTCTACAATTCTCCTTCAATGATTTGAAGTATAAGTGTTAAAAATTATTTCTATGAGAATAGATATTTTATGGTGTTTTTGCATATGAAGCTCTCGAATATTTTAACTAGTAAATATTTTACTTTCTATTTTGAAATACTTTTACTTACTGTGTTGAAGTATAATATCTCGAATCAGTAATGAGATAGATGCATGGTAGTTTAGTATAAAAGACTTTTTTTTACGTATATTACTTTTATTCATCAATGTTCATATTAGTTACAATCATACTTCACAAACTTCAAGATATTGACTAGAAAACAAGGGGAAAAGGCGGATTTTTGGGATTTTGAAAATCGCATAAATTAAAAAGCATTTTCCGCTCTGTGAATGACGTAGTTTCGACTTGAAATTCTTCCCATATATAGGTTTCATGGTCCATAAAAGATCGTAAAAGTTTCAACTCGAACAAATGTTTCCTTCTTAAAATAATGAATTTCAAAAAAATTGGATTTTCTGACCGTGCCCGTGAAATGAGTATTTCTTGCGCATTCATTATCTTGAGAAGAAAACATTTGTTTATGCTGAAAATTTTAGAATATTCTAAGCATCATGAGACTAACGTATGGGGAAAAATTCACATGGAAATTCCATCATTCACATTTTGGATTTTGAAAATCTCAAATCCGCCTTTCCCCCCTTGCTAGAAAATCCAATAATATAGAAATGATTAGATAAAGTTGATCTAAACCCTTATTCTCCATTAAGATTATTGTGTTTGTTCTATAGCTTGTCAAGAGAAGTTCTAATATAGCTGATAGAAGCCTAACTTTATCCTTGCCAAGCAACCATGTTGGCATTGATCGAATCAATTTTGTTTTACATATGTTGGTTATATAATGATATTTTCAACAGAACTCTAGCTTGAGAAAAGTTCTACTATATAAACTCTCTCTTTTAAAAACCATACAATTTTAATTCTGTTTGTTCCTTAATCAAATGTCTCTATAATCACTATTTCAGCTCTTAAAACGTTGACATTTTTTTGAAAAAGCATTTTGCTAGATTACATATTATTGTTAAAAAGTTCAAATCAAATAAGTGCATTTGAAATGAAATATGGAATATCATAAAACGATCAGATGCTAAATTTATCTCTGCAATGAACATTGTTAGATAGTTACGTTTACCTAACTCTTTATTTCTTCAAACCAACACCAACTAGAATTCCTTTTACAACTTCAACAACTCCTTTTCTCCTCTCCATACATGTGTTAAACCAATTAGTCAGTCTCATGACCAATAGAGATAACAGAAAGAAGATAATAGGCAGTGGTCAAAGATAGCGCCACCACCTAACAAACATCTAAATAAAAGTAGTATCTCGAAGATAGAACACGTGTTTTTTTCTGAACAACTGACGAATGTATTCATTAATTAATTGCCACTGAAACGAACGCCATCGCAAGCTATATCTATCATCATTGCCTGGCTTGTTTCTTTACAATTAGCCGACGAGTGATGCGTATTGAGACGTATGAAATAGGAAACGCGATGTTCATCATGAGTCAATACGAACATTTTCATCTTACGAAACACTCTTTTAAGATGTTCTTCTTCGATTGCATGATTACGATATTATTCTACTGCATAGATGAATTCTATAAGATTTCTAAAAAGAAAACAAACAAGTGTTTCATGTTTCCGTAGATAATAGAAAGGTTTAGACATTTACATTATGAAACGTTTATTTTTACGATGAAAATTTGATGAGAATTGCATTAATAGTTGTATTTTAGTGTTTGATGACTGAAAATTTATACGTATACACGTTTTAAAACTTGATAGAGGCTGTGATTTAAATGATCATATATTTATATTATCCAGGAAAACACAATGAAGTTTGCTTCCTAAAGAAAAAATGAAAACCTACATATCATATTCAAATCTAAATTGTTTTCGAGTCTCATGCAATCAAATCAAATTCAATAAAAAAAATGATTTACTGCCGGAAATCGTATTCCCCAATGGACATGTACTTTGCGCTATAATTTTACTATGATAAATAGCCTGAATTTTAAAGCTTATCAAATTTATATTATGATATTTAGTTCCAAAATTATTAAAAATACTAGCCACAAGATTTTCAAAAAATGAATTCTTCGCTATTTTATTCTAACATCTAATCATAGAATCTTTGGAAGTTCTCCGATTCTTCATGGAATAAGCTAATAGCTATTGACGGGTCGGCTTCCTTCATGACTTCTATGAAAAAAAATCAGAATTTATTGCATCCTTATCGAAACCAACATGGGAAAAGAATTAGAATAGTTCTTTCGCATCCTCTATTTAATAAAAGAATGCTCGCGAAGTGTTAACAAGTAATATTAATAATAGAATATCATGTGCACTAACACATTCCGAAAAAGTTTCATGTTGACAATACACGTTGAAAAGAAATTGCAAATATTACATTTAGCATTCTCACTATTTCTTTCATTGTAATTCTAGAATTTCATATTAGATAGTTTTCATCAATAATTTCAGAGAATAAAATACACATGAATGGAATTGAAAATACAAAAGAAAACGCTAAGACACAACCAACAAATAAAACATCTATGCTATAATTTTATTTCGTTTTACAAAAGAAAGTAAATTAAAAGATCAGTCTAATCGAATTTTTTTGTTGATCATCATCCAACAGATAAATATAAGGATCATGTGTATTCATCCGAAGCTATTTGTATTCTTCTGTAAATTGAGTTGTCTTATGTTTTATTATAGAAAAATAAGGCTAACTTTTCAATATTTTATAGTTTTTTTGGAAAATTTCAACCTCTGGTGAGTTCTATTTCGATGAATGACAAAGATAGAAATTGTAATGTACCGGAACCAGCAGACATTCACTCAAATGCTTTCAAGTTCCTTTGTAATTTGATTTAATTATGTAGTTGTGTAGCAGCTGTTATTATTTTTGCATTTTAGTCGTAAAAAATCATCCGACGATATTTCAAAAATATTGAATACTATTTATTTTTCTTGACGTCTTTATTTCTCAACGTTGTACTATATAACCATCCTTAATAATGAAAACAGAACCATTGATGTTTTCTCTTAAGATTTTTATTTAAATAAAATTCTTTTAAAAACATTATTATTCATTACACTTAAATAAACAAATGGGGTTAAAATAACCGATAGTTTAGCAACAAAAGCGCTTAACGTGATTAAAAAAGCATGTTGAAAAATAAATTTTATATTCAATAATTGTAAGACTGCTATTATTGAATAAGGCGTCCATGCTATTAGATAACTACTGACAATTCGAAATCGTTTTCGATCACTAGCTTCCGTTGCATAATATTTATTTACATAGTTTTTTCTCATTGAAGATCTATGATTGATATGCGATCTAAATGGTGAATTCAAGATATTCTTTGAATAAACATTTCGAATAATTTCATGAGCTTGAAGATTGACAAAAGGAAGAATGGCTAATGGAAGAAAACGAACGAGAATCAACGTTAATAGTATATCCAAATGACCTATATTGGATTGATCTTGCCAATTAAGATTATCTTGAATTTGGTCGAATGTAAAAATGTCGAAACTGAGGTGATACTGCCATACATTTTTTCCTTTGTGAAAATGAATCAGCCAGTAGACTAATTAAAACAAAACGGTTATATTAAAAGAAGACTAAAAGACAGTCTAAAACGTTTTTGAAAACGATTGTTAACCTAGGTCGACTAAGCCGACGGCGGATTCTGGGTTTCGGAACTATTGACGGATCCGACGGAAAAATTAAAAAAAATATCAAAATTCTATTTAGTGCAAAAAAACGCTTTAGAGGTTGACTATAGTAGGTTTGTTTGGTGTATTGTATCCCAGAGTAGGATACGATCGGATAGTATCGGATCCGAAGCCCGGAATCCGACGGAATCTGTTGATTCTTGTCGATTTTCATGTAAGATCTGATGCAACCCGATTTCAGATCCGATTGTAGGAATGAACGACCTGGGAATCCATCTTTAAATAGTACTCAATCTGCTTGATTAAAACTTCTTTTTTACCACAATTAAAGACAAACTTTTAAGGAGTTCACATACTGTAATGAGATAGTTGCTATATATATATATATATATATATCATACAAAGTGTTTATTTGCCTTTTTAATCCTGTCGTTCTTGTATCTTTCGGCTTCGATGCACCAGATGGTCATTCAAGTGTAAACTTTATTTATTCGAACTAATGAAATATCTATCATCGTTGATGATAGATATTGAGTCAGAGGGAGCTATCACTTTTATTTTGTTTCTCGAATAATGAATGATTGAAGATTCTTCTTTGCCCATTTCTTTGCGCTGAATGAACAATATTGTGATAGACGGATAATAAATTTACAATAACATAAATTTATATTTGTCGTGAAATAATGACATCTTCATCACACACTTTTCCAAACAGTCTTTATTTAAACTGCCATTTTTTTACAACAAAGTTTTATTTCAATGTTCGTATTTTCGACATTCTTGCTTTCGACCAAATTCAAGTTTACCAAACTGATGCAATTCAGGATCAAATGAGAATTAAACTAATGAATTGAACATGAACAATAGCAAAATTTACATTTGTCTCGACAAATTTTAATTTTTAGAACTTTGGAATCCGTCTTAAAATTATTGCTCCTCAATTTCCTGTAAATTTTCAATCAAAGAACGACCTACTATTGTTTCTTTGACATGCAATTCCTCCGAGCTATCTGATTCTAGGATCAGACAAATCTGTTGTCATATATAAAGAATTGTGCGTGGTCAGGTCAGGTCACTATGACACTGAGTAATTTCTAGAGACAACATTGAAAATCAGTCAAATTTACATTTATGCAGATAATGATATTCGCACGCAGTACATTGTTCTAACTATGACAATTCGTTGTAATATACTATTTACTTCTAGTTAAATTAATGTAAGTGAGCAGAAACGATTAAGTTCTAAGGTACTCTATGAAAATATCAGAATGTTCTAAAACCACAAATTTTAAGTCAGGATATTATTATTCTTTAGAAACGATGTTCTTCTCTTGCACGACAACCAGCAATGTGAGAATTAATGAAGTATAACTCAACGGTACAGTTTTCTTTAGACTATAAAGTAATCAAAAACGTCTTAGATAAGTCATCGTGTAGCGTATAAAACTAAACAAATTGTTTTTTCCCCTGTTAGGAGCACAGTCGTTAACCAGAAGTTTGGATTTGAAATTCGAAGGTCAATTGGTAGAACGACGGCTCATTCTTTTGAAGATAAGTACAAATTGTTATAAGTAAAATCGCTGAAAATTAATCAGAAATACAAATGTTGTCGTTGTTTTTATCATATTTAACTAGTGCGCATTTGTTCATTCTAATTACTACTTTCGTTTTTTCTTTTTCAATCGATGATGAGCTACTTAATGAAGGTCTAAAGAATTTCAATTATCTAATCGACCAAAATGAATATAACGTGTTGAAAAGAGCATAGACTTGACATTCAAAATTAGCTTCAAATTATTTTCTTGTAACTAATGTAATAGATTTTGATTCGTTGATATGACCTTTGTAATAATTACATATTTTGTATTCTAGGCTTTCTTTTTCATATGAATAAACCTCAGACATACAGCCTATTTGCATGACTAAATAGCCATATCTTGGTTTGAACAATATATCTTTTTATACGAAAACATTTTGATTCTGTCTTTATCAAAATAGAAAAATAGCGTAAAACGTCTCATAGGATCAACATACAACCATTTTGTAAGATTAACTACTATGAATAGTGTCAAAAGTTTCAGGTTATTATCTTATATTTACATTCATTTGGAATGGTGGAGACATGAATGTTCACCAAATCAATCTTTAATACAAACTATTTCTTGAAGTAATGCTAGAAACTTCAATTTCTAAAGATCTTTGTTAAGAATTTTTTATAATTCAAAAATAGAGATTGAATGTCGATTAGAAACATTTTTTTCTTGAATAACTAAGCTGACGATTACATTTGATAATATGTAAATCTAATATTGGTAGATTGCATTATCGTAAAACAAAACAAATATAGCATGTTGAATATCAAATATCTGTTTAAAATAAATAATACTTGGCATATTTGTTTCACTTGTATTGATACTTCTATCGATCACCCGATGAGAACAAACACCGTCTGTGCTTGGCTAGTCGTACAGAATTTATTATTATTATATTCTTTATTCTAAGTATACTTTTCTTTTAAAAATAAAAAAAATTAAAGAAATGGCTGACATAATCGAGCAATCGTCAAAGAAAAATTATTAGATTTTTTGTAATATTGTTTTAAAATATCAATAATTTCATCTGTCGTTACACCACATACAGATCGATCGTTTATCTAAATAAAAAGAAAATTCTCATATTCAGTGTCTAGGCAATCGTCTAACAAGACAAAAGCTCTCAATATTCACTATGATTAAATAAAATAAAATGTCTTTTTTTTTCTTCTGATAAGAAAGAAGATTTTCAAGTATTTACTTTTTAATTTAAAAGAACATTTATAACCCGGCAACATATAGTATTCGGATTCAATATATCAAAATTACTTTTCGTTCAAGTTTCGATAAATATAATGCAAGGCTTCATGTTGAATTGCTTCGAGAGCTTTCATTATTTTAGAACTTTTACCTTTCAACTAGCCTTGACTTACTTTGTCAACACATTACGTTACTTCTAGAAAATTGCTCATAGCGATCGATGCAGTACCTCAAACGACAATCTTTCTATGGATCAATTTCTGTTGTTTCATAAGAAATATCTATGAACAAACAGAAAGAAGCGTAGAAACTAAAAAAAATTCTTGTATTCAATCTGAGTGCTATATTTTTTCGGAAGTATTTGTATAGACTTAAACCTTATAAACAAAGCCTTGAAAGTCTTCTCTGTTACCAGAAAAAAAAATATTCAGTTCTGCTTAGCCGCAATCGACAAGTGCAAGTTTGCTTTTCGGTAGGTGACTTTCGAGAAATTTCCTATGTATAGATAAATATTTTTACTTTTAGTATAATATCATTTTGCTGAAGATCTTTTAAATTTAATGATGATTCAATGGCGGTTACTTGACATATGTGTTTCTGTTGTTTAGAACGAATTTGTTTAAAATGTGTTTGTTTCGAACATTTCAATACGGGTCGTCTTCCACCAAGAATTGAATATGGAACTAATATAGATGCACTGATCTGTACTGTACTTGCCGTCATTGTGTATAGAAAAATATTTTTTGGATCATCGACAGGAATAGTTAATGTTGTATAAAAAAGTTTTTCTTGTGTTGATGATGGTGATTGATTGAATAAATTCGGTAGAATATAATCTTGATCGTTATGATTGATTAATGACTGATTTTCTGTTGAAAAATCAGTTTGTATAGGTTCTTGATGATGATAAATAACATTTGATAAAGTTAATTGATCCAGCTTTTCAGTGAAGTCAATTTGTGAATCTTGGTTAGAATCTTTTTCTAAATGATCAAGTAGATCATATAATTGGTTTGTATCAAACTGTTCATGTTGAATTTCGTTGTCATCGGATGATTGTAAACATGGTAGAAAAGGTAATTGCCGTTTTGATGTTGCACGTGTTTTGAGTTTTTCACTTGAAGTTAATGAACGTGGAAAATGAATGTGATTGAGTAATGAAATGCTAGACGACGCATATGGTAATGGACTATTAGGTGATGAACAAACAACTTCAGTACCGTCCGGTCGACGAGCTTTCGGCGCATATATAATTTGTGTTAACGAATCATTTAATGATGATGTTGAAGAATTTATGGTTTCAGTTTTTTCTAACAGCGATGAATTATTCTCGTGTATAGGAGAATCAATATGATTTGCTTGACTATCGATAAAAGATATATTTACTGATTGAACATTTGATAATTCTTGAATTTCATCATCATGAAATTCATGAGTAATGGATTCGTTTGACGTATCGTTTGGAGTTGATGTGGTAGGAATGGTTGCTAGTGATGGTAATATTCGAGAGGATTTAGCCTATAAAATGCATACGAATAAGTTCTTTTTGTTGTTGTTGATATGAAGCGCAATGAATTAATTAAGATAACGATTATTTTAAAGGAAAAAAGGTTTAATTAGTTCTATTTGATATCAATGGAAAGTTCAAGGAGAATAGATTGATATGAATTTGAAAATTTAGTATTGCCTTTCAATCTCGAAATAAAACCGAAATCTAGAAATCAATCTTTTTATTTTTGACTATCTGAATTTAACAGAAGCAGTGATATGCGTTAACACTCATAATTGTTTCGATATCTATTACGTTCATTATGTAAAAGGAAATTCAAGCTAACGAGAAAAGCTATATAAACCGTTTTTCATAGCTACATGTCTTTTTTAATCATCAATATAACAACACACAATTCTAAGAAAATCTAAACAATTTATGATTAGATCTTTTTTTCAAGTTTTCTCATTTTTTTCAAGACATTGACGTTATTGTTGACATTTTGAAATTTATTTTGATTGCTTATAATGTTTTCTTGTATTTTAAACTATAACATCGAATGAGGCGTTTTTGTTTTGATTTCACTGAATGAAGAATTTTGCTGAAATATTTTCAAGTAAAACACCTGCAAACAAATTTTTCCCATAAAATGAAACTGAACAGAGCGGGCAAAACTCCTCTCGTCAGTCGCAATACAAGGTACCAGAAAAATATATTCCCTGGTTTTATGATTAGATCAGAACAGAAAATGGGTCAAATTACTTATATTATTGCGATTAGACCAAAACCAAAGTATTACCATAGTCGATGACACTGAACGTGCCTGAGTACGTACTAAGGTCGTATATCATTATAACCGTATACGTAGAAAAGCAATGTTCTTTTACAATTTTCGTATACAGTCAAGGCGATATACTACCGTAGTATTGAGTCATAGGAACCGTCAAAATATCATCGGCTACGAGCGTAAGCTAACCCGATAGATCTCCTTGATCTGCCTACAGAAAATTCTTATTAGTGTAATAAACATGTGTGACTATATTGATAGCGACATTTAATTTGTTTTTATTCATTAAGAGTGTACATACGCGTTCTTCATGATTTATTTGTTGTATGTTAACTCCTTTCTTATCATTTTCTATTTCAATTGTTGGCTGTAAATCATTGATAAATTGTTGACGCTGCTTTTGTTCGATTATGTTTATATTTTCATTGTTCAATGTGTTTGTTTGATTGCGTCGATTACTATTTAAAGCACGTAAACGTCGATCGAATTCGTCCAATGTACTATTTGTATCATCATTTAACGCTGATTTATATTTAACAAATTTATTATATCGATCCACTGCTCCATTATCGTCAATCAAATCGCTATCGGTTCGTTTATCAAGAAGTTCTTGTAAAAATTTATTTGCGGTTTGATGTGATTTTGCTCTTCGCTCACGTAATTCGTCGCCACTTTTTTGCATACGCATACGAGACGATGTCCATTCTGATTTGGCCATAACAGCACAAAGACGCCGTTGAACATATGTAAAATCATCAGTCTCATTCATCTTGTATCTTTACTTGCTTTTCTATAGGTGTTTAGATGAGATTGAAACTACAAGTAAGATATAATATTGTGTGAAAGAAGAAGAGAGAAAAAAACGTTAGAAGAAGTAAAAGTGAAGTCAAACGAGGTTGTAAAAAGAAAAGAGAATAGAGCCGAGAAGAAGAAAAAAACCGTGAGAATATTTCAATCAGTTGACTTAAAGTGAGAATTAAAGACAAGAAGAATGAGCACACACTAAATAAACAAAAAATTGAGAAGAGTAGAACAGAATGAAGAACTCTCTATGGTAGCGAACTTGTTGTAACATACAAGAACAACACTACAATTTAAGTTGCATAAAGTTTGTGCTCAGAAAGAAAGAAAAAAAGAAAAAGAAATTCAAATAAATATCAGTTTGTAAGGAATCATAGGTTATAAGATATGAAATGCAGATATTATTTACCGTCAATATTTTTCTGTTCTCAGATCTTATTTTCATAAGTAAATTATAGACGAAAAAAAAGATCTCAACGTTATTTTTTTCTTAAAAGGATATTTAAATGCATTCATTTTTGTTTTAAACAAAGCACTTATATTTTTCATGTGTACAAACTAATCACACTTAGAAGTTGTTTCTATTTACAAAAAAAATCATGTTTCGATTTGTATACAAATATTGTTAAAATGAATTTACCTTTTAGAAAGTTTCAACAAACGGAAAAAATCGAAATGAAATGATACTCTTGTCATAAATAGAAAAGCAAGATTTTGCAAGAAAATTCGAGATTGAGTTATTCGCAAAAAAATTCATAAACAATCGAAAGATTCTGAGACGGAAATAAAATTAGCGAGGAAATGTTTCAAATTTGTTGACATTTCTATATGCAAGAGCGATTCATAGATTTTACTTAGGATCATTCAGTATTGATCATGGCAATTAACTAGTATGTACCAGGCTTATACAAAACATTCTTTGGACATAGACTAAGATTGAAGTCGATATTTTATCCTTTTCTAACTCATTTATTCGTAGTAACATCTCGATTGTACATGTCTTGTATTGCTAGAAATAAGTTCAACTCCCGATAAAGACGAGAGAGTCTAATCCCTAGCAAGTCTTGAGAGGTCACTGGAAGGTACTTTGCAGAGCCTCATAATAAAATCTGGCAGAAACTTGAAAGAAAATAGTTTTTGTTAAAATTCGATTGCTGTTTCTAATAGAATGAGAAGTCATGGGGATAAGATAAAAAACGACTACTTATATCGTTATCATGTAGGTATTTCTAATATATTTTGTCAATTATATTTGAGATTCGATAAATTTATAATACGAAGCTGAATAGTGTACGTTGACTTTGGAATGAGGTTGTTTCTTTTTCAAAACTGTCAATCGGAAAATCTAAAAAATTACAGACCAGTTAGTTGAAGAAGAATAAAATTTTGCCGATACCTACAGCATTCTTTTTCGATTATTGTGGTATAAAGACGGGTTGAATTTATGCATTCATGTTATTCCTACTGGACTAGAAACAGCTAGTAAATCATTTAATGCTATGTACGCTTTGGTCTTAGTATTTGTTGACCGAGAAAGAAAAAGATCTATGCAGATATGTACAAGTCAAGTCATTTTATTCACTTCAATTTCGATTTTCTAACTTGAAATGTAATGGAAAATATAAATGAAGATCAGGACATATGTTCAGATATTCAAATTGCGTGAAATAAGATAATGCTGTTAAAATATGTAGAAATCTTTTTGTCTTAAATTCTATTGGGTGCCTCATTTCCCAACAATTTGTTTCACGAAAATATGTTGTTTTCTTTGTTTTTATAAAAGTTTATTTGATTCATAACTTAGAAAACGACAGTAAAACTATAATATGGGTCAAGGAAACAGTGTTGTCGGTAATTTGCTTTTGATTTAAGAAAACTTGATGAAAATTGGGTTGAATTCCAACTTGGCTTCACTTGACTTGTGACTTGACTCAAAGTGGCTCTGACTTGCCCATCTCTGGATCTATGTAACAACAATCAAATGGGTTTACACATATGGAGAAATATTTGAATTTTCTAATCTAAACGGCAGATTTTTATAGTATAGTGTATGTTAATCTATTAACAAACTTCAATCAGATTAATCTCGTACAATTAAATACAGCTGATCTTTTTAACCTAAAATAGCCGGTTTCCATATAATTTTTAGTCGTTTCTTTTTAGACCAGTAGTTTGATATCATGGATAGTCGGCTACCTTTCGATAGGTGATTCTACTATTGTATAGCGTTGGTAGTAGGAACAAGTGTGCCGCATTAATTTCTATACTGTATTGAATTTATATCACTTGAATGTTCGACTTGCTTTGAGTATTAATTTTTTATGCAATATATTGCTTTCAAAAGCGTTTACTTCTGAAATATTTGCATTCACGCGTGAAATAGGGTTATTAACAATGAGATCGAAATCAAAAGAATATTTTGTTAGTGCATCACACAATATATAATAATTGACCAAGTTCTTCTTCCATATGACCTATATCTACCGACAAACTATAATTATGTCAGGAAATTATCTATCACCAGTACACTTGTCATATTTTAATAAGCGTCGTTTTCTTTTCATATTCGATATCTCAATAGCAGTTCGAGTGTTTCTACATGATACAGCAAACGAGTTGTTTATGTGTTAAGATTTTTATTGTTACTCTGTGGAATAAAACTGTTAAGAGAAATTAATGAAGACATAATAATTTTGTTTTTTTAATACTTTGAAAGCAATGCATCTGATAATGAGGATTTGATTTTCTTCCAATTTATCTTGATTATAAATTTATTATATTTAATCATTGTTTAGCTTCTACTTGATCTGACATCACATGTACTTGAAAGTAAAAGTTATATAACTTTTATCAGTATTTTCATGAAGAAAAGCATTTAAAAAGCGAGTAAAATGCTCAGCCATTCTTTTTCTATTATTAAGCATGCATTTGTTTTTTTTTCTAGGAGATTATCCTGTATCATCAATCCGCAGACAGTTCACCATTTCAACAATAAGAAACAAAGATTCGAAAGTTTAGAATCCAAATGGAAATAAACCTACCAGAACATTTTCATTCCTGTTAGTATTCACACAATCTTAAATGTTCTTGCAGTTTAGTATCAATAGAAAATACATTCACTAAAACTATAAAGTACTGTTCAAATTTCAAATAGTATTTGTTACATTACATTACTGGACGAGAAAGCATTTTTTCTCAAAAATAAAATGATCAACAGATGGCAGGAGTTTTTAGAAAAGAATACTTTTCAACAATGTACTGTTTCAACTAATATATTTATTCTTTTTCTCAAAAATAACTATATCCAAGTAACAGATTGCTTAGAAAGTTTACAGTCTGATAGATCGATTAAAATTTCTATTGTAGCAAAAACGTTTTTTGTTTCCAGTCGGTCTGAAGTCGTGCTGTAAATAATCCTACTCATTATCACGCATGGATTACAGTTTACTTTCGACGAAGACATTCTTTAATCGTTTCAAACTTGAATCATTAATAGTTCTTTTTTCATAACTCAAACACGCTACATAAACTTAAAATATCAAGGGATACTAATAAATAATACATTGAATAGCTATCAAGAAAAAATAATATTCTATTTTTCAAATAAAGGAATAACTATAATACTAACAATACAATATGAATGTCTTCAGTAAATAATTCCGGAATCGATTTACTTGTGTAACAAATAAATGCAATATTATCTATTTATTGTATCGTTTACTTATGATAGTAATTATTTAAAATTATAATCTATAATACTTTCACTAGACTTTCTCGGCTCGTTTCCATATATATCTATACGGACGTGTTCATCTGACTTTGTCTAGCAACTACTTATATTTTGGGATCTGTGTGATTTAAGTAATCTCGCCCTCGAGCCACATAAAATATTAAACAAGCCTTATTTTTATCCATTCACATTCAGAGGTCTCTTGTACTTGTTCTAATAAAGTATTCTTGAAAAGCTTTAAGAACAGACTGTAAATCATATTGCGGATATGAACATATTTCTCTATGATTCTATTCATTCATTTTGATAAATCTATGTTTGATTATTAGTCGTGCATTTTAAAATTTGTTTTATGTAGCTATTGCTATTGTACTATAGTCGTACTCTCAGTTCATTCCCTTGAAGTGATTTTCAACAATAAACATATTGTTAGAATATTTACTTTCAAGTCTATATATAGGTTTTTTTCTATTTTACCAATAGCAATATTTGCTGATCTTTTATTGTTGAATAAATTTGTATAGATTCTATTCTATCCATTGTAATTACTGTGACAACGGAGAGAAAAAAGCGAATGAAGGAGAATTTATTTACTGCATAATTTATAATACGAAAACATCCAGACATAATAATAAATTCTATATTAGAAGTGTTAATAATTTAAAAAAATTAATATCTACTACTGTCCTTTTCGAGGTAAAAGGGTTTTTACGGCTTTATAAATAATTGTTGATAGTCAGACAATAGAGAGCTACGATTTTCACTACTGAAAAAAGTAATTTCGAGGCTGTTGATTCGCCTTGGGAACATTTTCCTTCGGCACGTTCCTGTGACCTTTCTAGAGGTCAATATTTGCAGAAAAAAAAACACATTTCAAAATAATATACTGGAAAAATATCTTTTGAAATTATAAATAAATAATTTATTTACTAAAATATACAAAAAATTAAAAATTCCGCTCCGAATCGTTATTAGGGATCAGCAATAAATTCAATCTGCAAGATATTAGTAAAGGATCTTTTAATAGATTTCAACCGATTGATCGGTTTCTCTCAAAAATGTGCTGTGGCGTCGTTTATCGACTACACCCATTCAAACTATTATAGCGAGTCTTTATATACTGAATCCCTAGAGAATATTCTACTATAATAATTTATGATTTATTCAGATCATAGAGTTTATTTCCCTGTCGATAAATTCATTTTTTTTCAAAGAACGAGATTGAAATGTTTTTTTGT